AATTGCTTTCACCCTTTGTCATCTTCGATTTTAAGTTAAATTTTTGATTTTTTTGCCCTGTTTCCTAGAAAATTTTGATTGTTGAATAATCTAGAACATAATAACTTTAAAAAAAAAACAATTGAAAACAAAAGCATTAAAGCGTAGTGCTGGATAAGTATTTTATTATTGCATGTCAGTCCTTTTCATATTTTTAATGTACAGAGAGAAGAATAAAAAAGGAAAAACTCTGTATTAATTTTCACCCAGTAATTGGATTTTCATGAACTATCATTTAACCTTAACTATATTAATTATTGCAGATGATATTTTAAATACTTTCTCTTAATAAACACGCATTTTTTCCAAACAGGTTTTTATTTTTGACTCTCAAAAGATGGGGGTTGAATAATAGCAATCTGGAAAACATGGTCCCAAAAGTGTGGACAGGAGAGCGATCGAAAGTTTGGACTTAGATTAAAATTATGGTTAAAATTCAGATTAGGCACTAGTACGTGAAATTCCGATCATTATATCAAAAGTTATTCAGCTTGTTCACTTTTTATTTTAAGCACTAATCTTTCATTTTTGTTCAAATAAAAAAAAAAACGATTTATATGGTTAAAATTTTTTACCAGAACACGATGCAAAAACAAATATCTGTTACATTATGGTTGAGTTACGCGCTTGTATTTTATATATTTATAGCCTGCTTTAAGCGGATCATATCTTAATGCATTCTAAGCAACAATAATTATTTTTATTTGTAAAAATTGAAAGCGAATTTTCAAAAACCTATTCTTTGTCCACATGTCTCTATCTTGAGAATAAAGGCTCCTATTATCCATAATGTTTTTGTTTTTTTAACATGATGGACGTATGATATTTTAATGTAGATTTCAACCCCTGAAAGTTTGAATTCGTCAGATAAATACGAGTCTTGTTACCGTAAAGTATCCCAATTAGTTATTTGTCTTCCTATTTTGTTTATTTCATCGTTTTCTTATCTTAGTTTTTGGGTGAGACATAGATTTTATCAACTTTTAATTTTTATACACTGGACACGTGAGTCTAATTTTTGCGCAATATACCCGCATATAACCTCTGTGCCATTTCACTGTTTCTTTTTCTTAAATTTATTTATCCTCAATCCAGTTTGTCATAAATTTCGAAAAATAATAATTTTCTGCCTTTGCTTTACAAAATGAAACAGGAATCTGAATACCTGAAAATGTTCTTTTAAAACATTTTACCATTAAGCATAGAGTAAAATCTTGTATTTGACAGTATTCTCTGACAGTTATGAAATGAATTCCATTTCGAACAATATCAAAGCTACCTTTCAGTCCACCTTTCCTAGTCATCTCTTCAATCTATCTTCTTTTACCAATGAGTAATAATTCGATCCAAAACTGGCAACAAAAGTTTTTTCCTTCATCAAACCGATGATAAGAAATCGAATTTCTCTCCGTCCGGAAGCCGAAAAGGTAGATCCCGACAGGAAATGACGTCGGTGAAACAGGAAGTAAGAAAATTCCTGTTGCAAAAACATCAATATCTGGCCACTCTGTCTGCCAAGTTACCAGGCTCAGACGGAACTACATTTTTACGCTTTTCTCCCAACAATGGCTTTCACCTTTCTCTCTCTTACTAAGAAGATGGAGATGCGGTGAATTCTTTAGACTACATTGCTTCTTTCTCATTTTCATTTAAATTGAAAAAGGATACAAGGGACCGTATAATTATTTACTTTTTTTGGACTTAAAATGTAATGTTTTACTTTTTGTTGTTTAAATATTGTATACTTTTGTTTTAAGTATGCTTTTAGTTTTGATATTTAAATGCAATTACATATGATTTATTAAAATGGATAGACATAATTTATTTTTGTTTAGCTATATTTACTGTTATATGGAGAAAATATTCTATTTTACATGGTATAATATAATTTAAGAATGTTATAATGAAGCGGGAAAAAACTTAAGAACTGTTTTCCAGTTTATTGACTAAACTTATGGGTAGACAAAATCAACCTAAGTTGAGATTATTTGTGATGTTTCATGCTCCGAAAAAATTTATACCCATCATAATTCTACAATTGAATGAAATTAAAAAAATATTAATCCATACATTAAATATAAACACGTAATATTTGTGTATTCTATTGCTCGAAATAAATATTACTTTGCATGTACATGAATCAATGCATGGACAAAAAATAAGTAAAAAACTAATAAGATAAAAACAAAAAGAGAACATTTTGCCCTTTTATCATTTAAAGAAGACCAACACATTTTTAACAAGGAATGAAGAACAAAACCAATTTATGACAATTTTGATTGATTTCCTCGAATTACTTACAATCCTTTTACTCGAAATCTGCCTCGTTTGTTCTTAGCAATTGGTTCACTAATTTTTTTTTATTGATTAACTGCGAAGTTTCTGCGAATACATCGCAAATAGGCAGACGGTTATGTTTTATTGTATTTATAATCAATACCAGCCCTCACATAATTCTTTTTCATTTTTCTTACGATTCGGCTGTTCGGAATATCTACACTGACTGTAGCAAGACGTTTTTAGGTGTTTTCAATGGAAAAGTTCACTCGATCACAAATATTAAAAGAAAAAAAAAACATTAAGTGTTCCAAAGATAAAATAACCATACTAAAATTTTTATAAGTTTCCTTTTATAATAGAATTAAGAGTAAAAAAGAGCAATAAATATGGTTTCCATTAGTCTTTCTAATACCCATGAAGAGTTTTAAGCTCCCTACGATCCCTAAATCAAAGAAATGGAAACATGCATTTCAACCAATTTGGTGATTTTTGATGAGATCATAAACTAAAGGATATTTAGTTGCACACCTAGGTGCTCTCTTTATCCAAGTATTTTGCTTATAAATCTTATTTCGGTGTATTCAAAGTAAGTTACTTTAATGAACATATAATTTGAAACAGTATCCAAATATTTCGATAGTATTTGTTTGCTCTGATAATTATTCTACGTATTAATTCATGTTTCTACATATCGTTCTCACTAACTTCCGTAAAAAAAATATAAACATTTAACGCGTGTGTAAAGTTACTCGTTTTTTACTTTTTATTAATTAATATATTGTGCTATGAAATTTTTATTGCGAAAGTATTTGGATTCCAAAATATGGACAGGAGTACGTTAAGCCGATTATTTTGTATAAACAAGCAATAAATTGCTTTAAAATTTAGACAGGCTTTAATTTCGCTTTAGACGCTTTAAATGTTGTCAATTTTCAATGCCATATAAGTGACATCAATTACATATAACATTTCAAAGACATATAATGACATATATATTTCTCGTGCCATCACATTAAATGATATGCCACATACTCGTAATGTAAGAAATTACGCGTATGTACCATATAATTTAATGTGATGGCGCAAAAAATGGAAGTGGCTGTACTGCTTCCAATAAAGCAATATTACGCGTTTAAAAAATCAAAAACACACTCTGTTATAAACGAAGTTTGACGACAAAAAACATTTAAAAAAGATTTAGGACGATCCCTTGAAACATTTCAGGATCATGAGACCTGTGTTTCCCCTAAGAACACTCCATTAGGGGTTGGGTTAAAAATATACCTATATCCCTAGTTTTGAAAACTCACCCACAATTTTCACCTCAGATGTGCATAAATTTAATGTGATGTTACTATAATTGTTAAATAGCTTTTACTTTTTTGCTGGGATAGGAAGAATTGGGCGTTACGCACCAAGAATTTGATCTAAAAAAATAGATTATTTCTTTTTAAGAACAGTTATTTTTATTTTGTAAACTATATTGATGTATAAACTCAATATCAATGTATCTTTAAGGAGGAAAAAGATTACCATAGAGGGTACCACCTATTAATAAGGATGTAATATGGCAGCCGAAAATCTTTTAAATTTGAATTTGTGGCATTGAGTTAACAGTTTGTTTAATAGTTAAGATGACACTGTACCGCAGAAGAAACATGTGATACCCGAATTCTGTTTTACCTGCATCACTAATTTGAAATTAAAAGCATAGAAAAAAGTGCGTGAAAAATAGAAACAAATTATGTTATTATTACTCCGGAATGCGTTGTCGAGAATTAATCTTAATGTTTTAAGGAGAAAAAAAAAGAATTTCACAATTTCAAACATCGTGGTTTATCTGATCTCACTTTTTTCTACACTTTAACATATGTTTTCGAAGCTCTGTCGCCAAGGAAAATAAAAAAGGCCACAGTTTACAGCCTCACATTTGAAACAAAGATTTAAACTATAAATCCATCATGTTCCACTGAAGGTTTTAGAACGGACAAATAACTGAAATATTTTACATGTTAGCAAACTTTTTTAAAAATCGCCAATTTGGCGACATTTTTCCACCTAGATGAAAATTATCAAAATTAATGTCTTATTCTTAATTTTTACAAATTTTTATGACCCTAGATAATGCAGCATTGGAGTAAATATTAATATTAAAAATTAAATACTAAAAATTAGACCTCAAATGCTTTTTATTTTCACAAAACTTCTCAATATTGTTTGCGCCATTTACAGAATAAGCATAGACAGCGCTGACTTTAGACAGGCTAAACTTGACCTAGCAGTCATAAGTAACTATTGCAAACTCACAGAAGTTATGAAAATAGCATATTATTTTCAAAAAAAGCATTTCATAGGACGATGGAGCCTTCAAAAAACAGCCTAAAATTTTAAATTACTAATGTAAGTAAAACCTAATTTGTCATGAAATGATTCTCTCGTGTTATAGCGTCTTTTTAAAGGTCCATTGTAGCTAGAGTATTCTGGTGCAGGTTCGCAAAGTAGAAGAAGTATATGCATCCTGTGCGCAAAAAATAGTTTAATTGAATTTAGCTAAATGGAATTTGCACTATAGTTTGAATGAGAGTTATTTCACAGTAAATTAACGTAGACATTAATTCCTAAGTTTTAAAAAGCATTTTTTAATAAATTCATTTAAAAACTGTCGATTCTTTCCCCTCCAGAATAATGCTATCTTCTGCCCAAGAGAGTAATGGAAATCGAATGTAGTCCTTACGCGAACATAGAAGTTGTAAATGAAGTACAGAACTGCTGGGATCAAGATGTGGACTCTGACATTGCTGTGGACATTTTGATGCCCAATGGATATTTCATGACCATTAGCGTCAACAGATATGCCACTCTTCATCAAATTAAAGAGGTAAACATTTTGAGGCATTTGAAACTTATTAATTCTCGCTCAATCTTATTTATGCTTTGTATATTCTTTAACGGTTAATCTCGTTAAACTAGTTAGACTAGTTGTCAAGTTAGTCTAGTTAATCTAGTAAAGAATAAACAAGTAATACCGAAAAAATTTAAAGTCAATTCCGACTTCTTACTAGTTAATTAATTAAATTTAATTAATGAATTAATATTTGTGAAAACAGTATTAACATCTACTGTTACTTTTGAATGAAGGTCCCACTACGAACTTCCAAAATGAATCATTGAAAGGTATCACTTACCTTGCTATGTTCTATATGTATAAGCAGTACGACCAACCTTTTCTATATATAGGTCCGGGGTTGGCGTGAATATACCTAATGATAAATATCTAATGACGACAGCCAATTTGAATAACAATAGAACATTTTATTGTTCTAATTAACAAATCATGACGATGAAAATGAAATATGAATGAAATGTCTACAAGTTCAGTGATGATGAGAAAGTTCGACTTCCTTGCCTGAGTACATATACATATCTGCTTCAGCGTAAGGAGTTACGGTTGCAGTTCGACAGCATAAGGAGTTACGGTTGCAGTTCGTAACATCTACTGTTATCCACACAAGTTTAAAAAAATGTATTTAAATTTGAGTGGATGAATAAAAAGTATTTTATTGAAGATTGAAAATTTGAACAAGATATAATTGAAAAATAGGATATTTCATAAATATTTGTTTCACAGAAATGAATGAAAGGGACTTGTATGTTTGTTAGGTTTCATTACGTTATTGCAAAACCTATATCGATATGCTAAACACGCGGTTAAGAGTTTGAAGTTGTTGAATGTCACATAGTGTTGATATGATGATTGCTTTTTACCACGTTTACATTAACTTGCCTTCGTGTTCGGGTGGAATTTTGTAATAGATTTTAAACTAACTTCCCGACTAGCTATAGACTTCAAATTTAGCACATAGTTCAGAATTGGAAGACAATGCATGAAAATGAAGAGAAAGAAGACATACAAAGTAAAATAAATTAAAGAAAAATTGATATTTTCGCGATTGCCTTTTGTTGTCGATTCGATTATTTCAAATTAGTGTCACATGTCAGTTGAAAAGTTTTGTGTACAGTGAGTGAAAAAATTGAGATTTTGGAAGTGAGTATAAAAAAAAATCAAAATAAATTTTTTTTAAAAATCACGCTTTTGTAGTGAAGAATAATAATTAAAAAATAAAAATTTGAAAAACGAAAAACGTGGGGTGCATGAAATACATAACAGTACATATACACATTTTCTTACTCATACACATGCACATCCACATACACATACACATACACATACACATACACATATACATACACATGCACATGCATATACACAAACATATTCCACATACACATTCAGATACAATTACAATTGCAGATATACATACACATATTCTCATGAGCACGCATACACACATTAATATAACTTTACTGTTATGTATTTCATGCTCCCCACGTTTTTCGTTTTTCAAATTTTTATTTTTTAATTATTATTCTCCACTACAAAAACGTAGTTTTTAAAAATATAATTTTTTATTTTGATTTTTTTTATAAATAACTCAAAATGTAAAAAATAACATCTCTTATGCTTTTTTTTAAATTTTAAAAATTGATTTCTCTCCATATTATGAAATTTTTGAATTATTAGAATTCGGAATACCTTTAAAAACTTCGGGTGGTGAACAATACAACTGTTTATCTGGTAATTAATTAGTTCATTTGATTTTGTATTCCCGCATCACACAAACTGAAGTCAAATTATTCTATATTTTATATGTATGCCCTTATTTGATTTTATAACAGATAATATACTATCAAATTTAACTTTTTTGAGCATGAATTGATCTGTTCTATGCGTTCACAATACAAATTCTGATTTATATTTGTACCATTTTATATGTTTACAACAATGGCAAAATTATTAAAATATTCTTTTTCCAATAACTTATTGATATAAGGGAAAAAAACAAGAATTCTTCATTTTTAAATATGTTTTATTTGCATTTTTAAAGCATTTACTATTTTTACAATGCCATTTTAATATTTTATAAAATTTTCAGTTTCCTGAATCAGTATTCGATTTGGCGAGATATTGATTCAATGTATTTTTTACTTATGCAGAAAAGGAGTACAAGAAAAATCTTTGTTTACTTTTGTTATTCATAACAGAATAACACTTAACAGAACTTGTTCAATGCATTACCAACATAAATGGAAAGTTTAAACAAATTTTTCATCTTATCTTATGCTGTAAACACTGTTATCACATTCTGGTAAAAACATGCTGATTCTGTTAAAATCTTACATTTATTATTTAAATTTGTTGTACATGTTTAGATGGAATTCGTGACGTATAAAAGCATTATTTCCTAAAAAAATGTCATCACAAACTTGAGATTAGAGAAAGTAAAATATCACAATAATTTTGCTAGTATTGTGTACAAACAAGTTCATATTTCTTTTTGGTACACCAGTCCAAATCTATTTTTATCTTTATTAAGAAATGCAATTTTTTCTTCTTGTTCTATAATCTATTTCGCATTTATTAATCAATTATTTTGATTTTACTCGTAAATTTTTAACTGTATTTAATACAGTCAAAACCCGCTGTAGTGAACACGGTTTATAGTGAACTCCCGGATATAGTGAACGAAATGTTAGGTCCCGTGCCTTGCTATACACGTATAATGTTATTTTTTTGTGGATATAGTGAACCAAAACAAGAGAGGAAGTTGCATATTAAGAACTTTTTTCTGTCTTAGACTGATTTGTTTTCTTCATTTATTTGTAATAATTATTCAATTTCTACTTCAAAATAAATACATATACCGATTTTTGAAACCATCTATAGCTTGGAATGTAGCAATAAACATTTTTTCCTGTTTGCTTCATTATTGAACAGCAATTTTAAATTGGTTCAGTATTCAAAAAATCCGCAATCTTCCAGTATCTGAACAAATGCTTCAAGTCAAAGCAGATGAATTTGCTGAGCGATTTGGTCAGACTACTTTTATGCGTTCGAATGCCCGAGTAGACAGGTTTAAAAAGCAGAATAATATAAATTCAGGATGAATTATTTTCAGAGAGTCGGGAAATATTTCCATATCTGATGTGGAGGATTGCTCATCAGCTAAAGATTTGAAAAAAAAATTGTACGCAAGACGAATGGTAATAAAAAATAAAAGTTAACTCATTTTTGTTGCTAACGTAATATTTTTCAGTCATTTTTGTATTTCATTTTATTGGTCATTTATTGAACACTAGAAAGACGGAAACTTTAGTATATTGCCCAAAAGCAGTCAAAATTACTGGATGGTAAAAATGTAAATAATGTGTAAAAAAAACTTTTTTTAATTAATTTTTAATGCTTTTCAGATTATTTACAGTTATATAGCAAGTTATTAGTAAATATTAACAATTAAAAAATTATATATTGTACAAAATTTTGAGAAATTGTGTCATTATATACATCACTGTTTTGCAGTCAAAATGACTTCCTTTGGCAATCTTGTGTTAAATAATATGTAATAAAAAGGAGGAGTTTGAAAGCATTAGTTAAAATTGCTTGCGGAACGGATATAGTGAATTCCCGTTATAGCGAACCGAAATTTCAGTCCCTTGAAGGTTCACTATAGCGGGGTTTGACTGTATTTAATAGTTGGATCTTTAAAAATTACAGTGAAACAGAGCCTATTTATGGCAATCTATGGATTTCCAAAAAAAAAATTTGAATTCTCGTACACGAGCAAGGCCTAAATTAAACTTTTTAAATCTAAACTCTCCCTACATTAAACTAATGCTTTGCATGATCTAAATATGAATGCTTATTATATTTATTTACTCAAAAGAATTTAAATAATTTTTGTAGGCAATACAAAAATAGTCATTTTCTTTCTAAAAGTTCCAAAAAGGGAAATAAACATTAAAGCATGGTTTTGTTTTTAAAGGGTAATCAAGGGAGATTACGAGTAAAAAAAGGGCAATTTACCAGATCACTACTATAAATCTAAACAGCTATGAGCTATTAGTTAAAATAGCATTGTAAATCACCGGATCCTCTTATGACTTGGTTTTTTTTAGTAACTGTTTTTCTCATCTTGAATAGCAAGTTTTTAGAATGCAAATAATAGCTTTTATTTTATACATATAATAAAATGGCTCCTCGTTTTAAATGTGAAACTCTTAAGAATTCAAAATTGCATATAAATTTAGGCAGAAATTTTAATTTCATTAAGTCTTTTGCCTAGTTTGTTATTTATTTTTGGCCAACTTTTAAATGCCACATTGCATTAACAATTGGATTAATATCCTAGCTCCCATTAATTGTATAATGCTCTTTGAAATTATAATTGAACTACGTTTTTTTGACAATTTTAGGCAAATTGTATAGATTATAGGAAATCTTGAAATATTCTTTAAGGCAGAATAACTATATAAAATTCAATATTTCTTATTTAAATCAGGAAACTGTGCAAAGCCGGACGCATATGAGGAAAAACGCTAAATACAAAATCACAAAATTATAAACTCACAGATAATTTTCTTTTATATAATAGACTGCGTTTACCAAACCTCAGAATTTCTTTTTTCATTCAACATTGTTTCATCCTAACGTGTCGATATTTTTTGCGATAAACAAGTAAAAGTTTGGTAAATATAATTCTTAAAGAAAGAAAATTTGTCAATAAAATATTTTTATCAAGCTCTTAATATTTTGTTCATGAAAATTTTGAAACTTTTTTCTAAACCCATTTTTAGTTTCAATGTGGAGATTAATAGTAATAACGCAATTGAAAAATCAAACACATTTTAGTATTATAAATGACAAATAAATGCATACTTTTGATTGTTAACAAATAGAAAATTATTAAAAACTGGTAGGACGTCAGAGGTAAAGGAAACATGGACAATAAATTTGATTACCCAAATCAGTGGCTGCGGTGGATTTACTTACTATTTTTTTTTTATAGAGAGATAAAATATTATATTTACATTTTCTAAAAAGTTTTGGTAAGTTTTAAAAAGTTTTTGTAAAAAATGTTTTGAAAACTTCATGCACTTTTTGAACTGTTCATTGAAAATAATACATGCTGACTAAAAGAAAATCAAAAATTTAATAAATTAAGTATTTGAAAATAAATAACATTTTCAAACCTTTATTTATAATCTTTACATCAGTGCCAGCAATATTTATAAACAAGATTTTCATTACTTCTAATATTGTTTCCATACATATTACGCCAAAAATTAAAACACCTAGAAAGATTTGACAGGATGAAACGAAATTTTACATATCTAAATACAACGTTGATATAAGTAAGTTATTAAAAAGTCAAAGCAAACTGATTATTTATTATAGGAAAAAATACAAGTTAAAGGAGGTTTTGCTATCTTCTAGCGCAAATACAAGATGCGATACGGTCGGACACTGAGACATGCAAGTATTTTTTGCTGTCCTACGACATCTCGTTCCATAGTTACTGTGAAAACACAGCTAAATAATTGACTAAACTCTGAGGCTGTTCAACTTACCATCCCATGTGATTCCAAATAGGCTCGAGGATCGATCAAGCTAGTGAATGGTGGTAATGTGATGATGGAATTCTTGTGACACCCTTTCTGTGTGTGGCCAAGCAATGTCTTGTTGAAAAATGTCTCCTGGGAGCCCTGTTATGTTTGGCAACACATGTGGCTGAAAGATGTTACGAACATAACGCTGGGCTATCATGGCACAGTGGATCAATATTAGGGTTGATCATGCGTCGTATTCGATGGCTCTCCATACCACCATACCAACTGCAGCAGTGGTGTGTTGCAGTACAGTGTAGGCAGAATTGAAGCGTTTATTACGGAGCCTCCACACAATTACACGATGGTGATAATTGTAAAATTAAATCTGGATTCATCTTTGAATATGACCTGGTTCCATTCGGTTGCAGTCCTATCCTGTCGAGAGCGATACCACTCGTAACGGAGATAACGGTGGATGGGTATCAATTCTGCCTACTCAATACAACTGACCAGAAAATGACTTAAAAGTGTGATTTTCTAATGATAAGAAATCGCGATAGATGTACTAGTAAAAATCCATTTCAAGATACATTCTGTTCTAGACTCTAACTGAAAAAGATCAACCTGAATGTTCTAGAAGACTGGCAATACTAGTTGCCCAATCTACGTATCAGTAGAAAGGTATTCTCGGGGAGACAAGTGGACGGTGGTTCTGTTATGGTGTCTTCCAGATTCAGATTACCTGGAAGAATTAAAATAGCATTTGTAAACGGTCATTTAAATTCTGCAAACATTCAACAGCTGCTTGAAAAATATTTTCGTTTGCCATCAAAACAGAGTGAAGATCTGTTTTTCATGTTTGAACAGGGCGATTCTCTAGTGTCCACTACAAAGTCAACTTTTGAATAGTTTCTAAATTATAATGTACACAGTTTTCCACCTTTCAGCTCATACTTGAGTCTTATACAAAAATAAAACTTAGAAAAACTTATAAGAAAACACGTAGGCCTACTCGCAAAACAGTACAACTATTCTACGGTCTAGAAAAAAGCTTTTGCTTCCGATTTGGCTAAAGTCGAAACGAATTGTTCATTAAAACTTATAGAAACTATGTCAAAAAATGTTAATCATCTTATTTTGAAAAAAAAAATCAATGAAATTGAAGACAATTTAATTTTTGGTGCAATAGTCCGATCGTTTTAAAACAGTTATTTTTTATAATTTTGGTTTCCTTTATTATATATTATGATTTATGAATTACTTAAATATTATTTTTCATTGTATGAAATATAGTTTGTAAAATATCATTATACATAATAATACATTATTAACTAACATTACTTTAAGTTAACTCGTATCATTAGTATAATAATGGTCTGATCATTTCGATACGCTCTGTGCAATGTATGTCATGCTATTTGCAGATTTCCCCTAACGGCATTTTTTAACTTTTTTACATCATTGCAGGAAGTGTGGGAAGGGGCACAGAACTGTCCACTGTTTTCTCTTCTTAAGGATAGTGATGCCTACGTCTTCCAATGTGTCAACTCCTATACTGGAAATAAAGACGAACTGGTGGAAGAGGATCGCATGTTATTCGATGTCAGACCTTTCCAAGCTTTTCTCAGATTGGCAGAGAAGGAAGGTGATGTAGAGGAAAAGAAACAGAACTCCAGGCTAGGAAATGCTATTGGGCAGAGTAATGCACAGTTTAAAAAACATTTATAATTTAAATTTTCAAGTGATATGTCACTTACAGAGATAATATGCAACGACTGGCTCACTGATTTCTTTTACTTAACTATATCAGGAACTCCCAGACTTTTTATGCAAAATGCCACAGTTTCTATACTAAGTCCCAAGATATAAGAGGCACCTAATGAAGGCATTTAGGAGTTACGGGTTTTCCTCTTGCCTTTTCAGAATTTTCAGAAAAGTTTCTCAATTTTCATGGTTTAGGGAATAATTAAGGCAATTTCCATTTTACTCCTCTTATCCATTTTCTGGTAGGGGTTTTACTAGCTAACTCATCATACCGAGGCTTAACTAGATCAGTAACTTTACTGTTACATATTGTTACATATCGTTACAATCAAGTTCAGCCTTCCTCATACTGACTTACTGTAGCTTTTAACATATTAAGGAACTGAGCATATCTATGATGCTAGAATGCACCACTAACTTTAAGTGCTTGGAACAATCTTCAAAACAATTTTTATAATTATATTATTCAATTTCATTTAGTATAACAGTTATTGTGTTTCTTTTGATTATTATTATTCTAAGACATTTTTCAAATTACTATTTTGTTATATTTAAAATTGTCAGTTTAGTTTTAAACATTTGAAATTAATCGTGCTGGGTTAGATATTTCGCATTTTAGGCTTACTACCTCAGCCCAGATTTAAACGGTATTTTAAATGTACTTTGTAGTTAGTAGCCATAGTTGATTTTAGTTTCTAATTGCTTTAATAAAAATAACTAATTTTGCTGTTAGAATTTGTTATCTAAAAAAGACGCTTTGAAATCTGAAACTTAAGTGCAGTTAAAGCTATTGTGTACTTCTGACATAAGGAAAGGTTCTAAGATAAAATATTACAATAAGGAGAACAAGAGAAAAGTGTTTCTGAGCTGATAACATTGATAACATTGTTGAAAAAAAGAAGAAATTTCAATCGAGGATTATTTAATAAAATCATACTCCATTTTCGCTATTGATATAAAAGGAATCTTTTGAGGTGGAGAGATTTCCTTGATAATTTACTACTTTTAACTTTCACAAAAAATGTCTGATTTTTAAGTGAATTTCGTCTAGCATAATGAATAAATAAATACATGCAGGATGATTTATAATCACCATTCTTAAAAAATAGTTTTAAAATCCTTTTCAAGACATTCGCGCAACTATGTACTTTAGTGATTGCAACTTAATAATTAAGCTAGTAGAAAATTAAAACCTTATCAAAATCTAGCAAATCGTTATTGAAGAAAGCGGGATTAAAAGCATCAAAACCAGTTTGATTGCTAAAGGAAAATTGAAAGAGTTACTAATAATCATCACCTTTCAACTCTTATGATTCTGGATTCGTTTCCAAGGTTAAAAAGCAACCAATCTGTTTGAAAATGATTTCTTCCTAAACAGTGCAGACAGTTAAACAGTATAACAGTTTCTCCTGTAAGTCTTTCCTTTTAAGAGTCTCCTCTTTTACGATAGGAGTCATGACACATTAATTTGTCTCTGAAACTTTTGTGGTATAAAATGGATCATGTTATGCATACGTTCTATATAATTAAATACTATTTCTAATGATGGCTAATCTATAATTAGAAAGATCACTGAATCAATTTTCAGTAAGTGTATCTCTATCTTCAAACTTTATACAAATCCAGTGTTATCAAATAAATTAATTTTACCGTTGATGTTACTTGAGATTGTAAAAAAAATTATTTAATCTGATCCATCACCTAACTCGAAAAATTCTCTATTCCACTATTGCCATTCCTCAGTTATCCAAATGAAAATGATAGCGACAGAAATGCAACAGCGATAGTAACTCCACCCTTCAGACTTGCGCTTAACTGGTTAACCAGTTTACGTGAAAGCAATCAAAGAGAAGGTAAAATCGAGCTAAAGATTGATATTGTGGGGGCGGAGCTATCGACCATGCCAACCGCCATCTATCAAAAGGTACCTCGTGATTGAATCAAGTTAGCATGTCTTATATACCAATGAATTGATGTTTAATATTCGAAGTGGTAGTTGCGCCACAATACTCCCCCATCAGAGTTTTATCAGGGATAGAATTCGATGAACGGATCTCACTAGTTGCTGTACTTGAGAAAGACCGGGAGAGAGAGTCAGCAGGTTTTTGAGTGCTGAATGTGAGAGGTGTATTAACTTCACAGTCATAGTCGCTCCTGTGTTGCTATTAGCAGTCGAGTGTATGCAGGCAGCCGTTCTGTTTAATCGAGACGAGACTGAGTAGCAACAGCGTGAGGAGGTTTGGATAATGTTGCAATCACAAGTAGCAAGTCAACTGCTCAATGTGGTCCATCCAACGAAGCAGGCGTTACCAGATTGAAGTAGGCGTTACTGCATGTACAAATCACGTCCAGAGGTCACCAAATGTGGGGGCAGAGTTATCGACCATGCCAACCAATGATCAGCAGTTGTAACTCTTCGATTACCTCATTAAGCGTCAACAATAGTAATGAATTCAATGGAATCATGAGTTTACTTACCTTCGTCTTAGCTCATCCGATGCTAATATCCACCCTTCACAAAAACCTTACGCAATTTGTTTACAGACGCTAATCCCAAAAAATACTCGAATTTTACTGACTTCATTTGATGTTAGATTCCCAGATTGTGCAACTTAAAATCGTAAACACCCGCTCTTCTGTCCTGGATGCATTTATCTTTGGTACGATTTGACATTCACTTAAAATGCTCTCCCGTGAACTGATTAATCAGATATATGTCAAATATATTACGTGAATATCAGTACAATGTGTATCAGTATGAATTTTTGGGGCACGAAGCGTTCCACTGTTTCTTTAGTCACAGAATACTTCACAGATCAACAATTTTAACTCTTTAATTACCTCATTACGTCAACAGCAACAATGGATTAAATGGAGATCATGTATTTACTTGCCTTGATCTTGGCACATCCGATATCCACTCTTTGCGAAAACCTTGCACAATTTGTTCACAGCTATGAATCCTAGATTTTACTCGCCATAAACAGCCTTCATTTGACGTTAAATGGCCACATTAAGCCCTACTTTTGTAATAAAAAAATCGTACTACCTCCCATTGTTCTGTTCTGAACGCATTTATCTTTGGCACGACTTCATATTCACTTAAAATGCTCTCACGCGATACGCCTAAACAAATTTGTGACGCACTTCTCAACTTTTTTTATAACATTGAATGGTGGCTCTGCTATTGGCGCTATATTTTGACGCAATCGCTAATGTCCACTTTTCATTTGGACAATCCCTATGTTCTAAAACTAAACTAAACTCAGTGGCGCGACAAGCCCATAGAGGGCCAAGGCCTACTGTGCCCATCTCAGTGTTCTTGACCTTGGGCTCAGGGGTACAGGAGCAGATGTTCCGGTTAAGTGGTCAGCCGAACGTGAAACCCCCAGTGTTTAGTTCCCAAGCATGCTTGGTACTCATTTATCGACCCCTATGTTCAATTGATTAATATTTTGCAACACAACTTCTCTAATTAAAAGTTCTTGAAATATTATGAAGACGCCATCATGCTAGGGAATTTGGTAAATTTATATGCCAGACGAAAAAAATATAACAATGAGTAATTAAAGATTTCTTAAACAGTTCCTTCAATAACTCCTTACTTTCATTAAAGGTCTTGAAGAATTTGATGAGCAGAACGACTCAGAAATAAATGACTTCCGTAAGCAGATGAGACAATTTTGTGAATCTGTATGCGCTGAGTTAGAGCTAGAATCTTGGGAAAAACGGGTACTTCGGCAATATCCTGTGTCTATGGAATCCAGTCCAAAACTGCCCACGTATTTGCAAAAGAAGATTTTCGATGACAACTTGGTTGTAGCCATCAGTATCGGACAGCAATGTTCCGAAGTAATTTGCCTTCTTACTTTTAAAGTAGTTTGCTTTTTTTAGTGTTATTTTAGTTTGTTTCTTTACTGTTTTGCAGCTTATTTTTTACGAGTTTAGTTTTTACTGTTAATTCTTTCAAATATTTTAAGTTAGACGGATATGACATACATTGTTTTATAGCTTTTCGCTGGCAGCAGCGCCATATATTATAACTAGTTTTGGAAATTTGTTGAGAATAAATTATCTGATTTTAATAGCAAAACTCAGCAAACTTTACATTTTTATCCTCTTCTACGTTTCTTTAATTGGATTTCCACTTCATTATTCAATTTTGCAAATTTCAATATCATATGTGGTGTTTCAATTTCTTTCAAGTTATATATTTCCCATTAAAAAATTTTTCCCTTATTTATTATTGAGTGTATTTTAAATTACCTTTGGTTTTTAGCTTTACCGAAGATTTAAACATCTTAGTTAAATAATGTTATTAATTAATTCCTCCTTTTGTCAACACAGAAAGTCTTTTCTGCGTCTTGTACCACTTGAAATTAACAAACATACTGAACTTTTCGAAAAATTAATTATCAAATCAGTATGAACTAATTAATTTTCTATGTTAAAAAGAAATTGCGGGTAAAAAAAACCACTGCATTCCACATTCTACTGGTTCTATTTAAATTTTCCCAACTGATGTAATGATAGTAAAAGCTCCGAAATATTAACCTGGAAACATTTTGAAAGAATAATCACTCTTTTAAAGTTATTGTATTAAGTCAACCCGCTTTTAAATCATGCGTAGGTAGGTACGAAAGATAAGCAGAGAACAAAAAAACACGATTAAACTCAAGTTCCATCTGGTCGTTTGCAAATATTGATTTTGCGCTTGATTATCACGGCAAATATTTGCAAAACAATCACACTCCATGAATGTTACTTTAAAAAAAAATTTGTCATTAAGTTTAAATTGAGAGCAATTTTTGAACTTACTGAACATCAGATTAAAAGAAACCTCAAGTGTCGTTTTATGGGACTGAAAATGATTTTCTCAGTGGCGGAGATCGTGACAAAATCATTATAATTCTTATGACGGACGAGGTGTTCTGTTTTTAAACTTCTTTTTTAAGTGTTTGTTCATCTCTCTAGATGAATTTTAATTAATCTTAATTACAATCGAGTAGGCGGAATTTTATGAGTGTGCAAGTTTTTAATTGACCAAGAGCTCTGGAAGTGATTTGGATTATTATTTAGGATTTTTTTTTTTTTTTACAAATTAAAATCTGATTTTTTTTATGAGAGTCCGCGTAATGGTTTGGGGAGTTGAGATTAAATTTTGCCAGCATTTGAATAAAAGAGTACTTTATTTAAGTACCAAAAAGAAGACTTTTTTACGTTAACTCACAATTTAAGATTTGAAGATTTAATTAAGTTTTTAAGAATTATTTTGCAAATTTTTTGCAAAAGACATTTTATTGTGAAATAGTTTTAAATTTTTAGCATTTTTATTACCCTTGGTTAAGTATCAATGTTTAAGTAAATTTTTGTTGCTTATTATTAGAATATATATGCGGTTAACACGAAAACAAAGAATGTCAAAACTACTTAAAAATGCCTGAAATAATTGTTTATAATTGATTGTTCTTGTATTAATATATATATGAACGCGAATATTAAAGAATATCTAAAATGTTTCGAATCAAAAGTGTCGAAAACTGGCTGTAGAGATAACCAATGTTGGGTTCAGAGCCACCTTTTTTTGTGTAGCTGTATTGCGTAGCTGTAAACTAACTATAGCTGTAAAACTATGTAATTGTAGCCTATAACCGTAAGTACGTAACTGTGACTCTGTTTCCAAAAACTCGAAAGACAAGCTTACTCGTAGATTTATTATTTTATTATATATACGATTAATAATGATTTATATATATATATGTATATGATTAATTATTTCTTATATTAAAATACAAGATGTTCCGAAATCACCACTCTTGATATATGTTTTTAGAATCGTCAAAACTAAAGTAAAAATAAGCGTTCATATTGGGGACGCACGTTAATATTTAAATGAAAAATAGAAGAACTTTTAAAATCTGGCTGAAATCACTATTAAAAAAAACTAGTGAAAATAATATAAAAACGTTTTTTGATTTCCAGTTGAAATTTGAATGCTTTTAAAACAATCGCTTGTGAGCGCCTCTTCACGTCCTTGAACAATCAAATGGGTTTTGACTTTTTTAATCCCTCTTTTCTCAATTAGTCAAACTTTGAAATCCTATTGTTTTATCCTGACTTAAATCTCAATTTGAAACCCCTACTTCATATATATATATATACTTGACATGGACTCTAAAAAGATATTTTGAATTTGGTGATTATGGCGCACCTTGAGTTTAAACATGTAGCAAATTGTTTAACTTATTTTAAAATTACATAGTTTTAGTTTATTATTAATATTCGATTTGATGTTTTAGAAAATTAAAAAAAATACCCCAATAAAAAAATAACATCAGATAATAACGTACCAAGATCTTTAACTTTTTGTTATTTAAGCACATAAATAAATCAACAGAACACATTTTTTAAAAAAAATGCTTCCTCCTAAAATACATCTTTGACTCAAGCTCAATTCTCCAAAGAATAGTTTCTTTTCTTTGATAATTCACTCAACTATGATATAAACTTGTACAAGAGGCCACTTCGGAAGTTCAAGTGGTTTTTCTGGATTTTGTTAAATGTTGAAGCTCGGATTCTTTGATAAAATAAAGAATGAAAGATGTCTATTACACTCTCGAGGGGTATGAATTTACAGATATCGCTCTTCATCATAAATTGTTCCACAACTTCATGTTTCTGGATAAAATGCGTTTCATATAAAATCAGTAAACAGTTCTTGTGTTCAAGTGGATAATTGAAGATCATAAAACATGGATAAAAGTAACTATTTATTACTTATTTATATACAACTAAAAATGTACTTTATGAAGGTTGTTGAACTAAGAACAATTATGTTTTATTTCTATATCATTCTCTTCGTTCCTCAAAATAACTCTTTTATTAATAATATTTACATAAAATAGCACACATTCTAAAATGTTACCATTTAATCAATTAAATTAAATGGTAACATTAATTATAATAATTGATTATTAATTAGAAAATTAGTGTAAATTAATTAATTATTAATTAGAAAATTAGTGTAAATTAATTAGTGTAAATTAATTAATTATTAATTAGAAAATTAGTGTAAATTAATTAATTATTAATTAGTAAATTAGTGTAAATTAATTAGTATAATTAGGGTAAATTAATTAATTAATTATACATGTTAAATAATATTTATAAATCCTTAAATATTATAAGTGCTATTACATACAGACATTTTGTTTTATTTAAATATATCTTTACGGCTTTCTCTTTCAGTAAAAATTTAAAAACCAAGTGGGTAAAGTTACCCAAAATAATGGGGGTAATTATGACCACCAGGCGTTTTCGATTGAAAACTGTTAAAGATAGCTTCTGGAATTGTTATCTTTTCTGAAGCTAAAATGCTTTTAAAAAATCTGAAAAGAGTTTTAAAAAAATTTTATAATTATTATTTATAAATTTCATAAATTAGATTTATATTAAGAACTTGCGAAGTTCTAGTTTTTTTCTCATAAAATCTTAATAGATAATCATTAGAAGAAAAAGAAACCATTTATGAAGCTACGTAATAATTGTAATTTGAACTATGCTATGTAATTTGAAGAAATTTTAAGTAATTTTGTTCAAATAAGGGGGTTTTTTTGTAGTTTCATTGAAAATGAAGGATTCTTATAAAAACAATATTCTTATAAAAACAATATTGGGTCAGAGAAATGCTAGATTCTTTTTTTCCACTTTTTTTCCGGAACTACTTCCTTCAGTCTATGTTTCTCAGATAAAAAATTTTCAAGTAATAAGGGTTTAAAGGTTTTGTCAGGAAATGCTTAAAAGTTTTTCCTTCAAGAAATTTCACAATCACTAAGCCTTATGCTTGGAGGTTAAAAGTCTGGACCACTGAAATTTATTCGAATGGTTATGAAATTATTATTAATTTCGAATGATCTGGAACATTAAAAGAAATAGAAGATATTGTTTTAAAAATTTTCCTGTCTCTTCCCAGTACCATCTATTGTTGAAATTTTTAACTAATTTTGTAATTTGATGAGAATAAATAACTTGTTTCCGAAATAGAACATATCATATCGTACATTGCTATCTCCTCCTGTTTTTATTTATTTGATTTTTCAAATCATCAATTACTTTTGAGACACCTGGTAGCAATTTATAATTACTGTGTAGCTATTGTAACAAGCCATTTAGAATTATTCATTTGAAGAAACTAAGCAAAATTTTTTATATTTTGTTATATTTGTCGTTACGAAAGATAGCCAATTAATGTAAGATGTTCTATACAATTAGATGCATTTTATCATACCATTCAACTGTTTTAATCACTATGCGTAACTATTTATTTTACGATTCGAACTATAACAATTATAACTAAATTTTTATCACAAATCTTATAGAGGGACAACCTACCAAATTTTCAAAACGCTCTATTCAAATACAATTTTTTTTCCTTACAGTCTACTTTCAAAATCTCGGTTTCACCAAGTTTGAAACCAGAGGAGCTTTTAGATCTTGTCTTACAGAAGAAAGGACCAAGCATTGGACTGTATGACAATCATATCACTCAAAGTCACGTTCTGAAGGTATGTGGGTTAGAAGAATATCTCATTGGAATATGCCCACTCTCACAATACCGGGTAAATATTTTGAAGATTTTACAATTATAATATTAATGTAGAAGAGCAAAAATCGAAGATTTGCAATTATTACTCCTTTAAATCATTTATTATCATTCTAAATCATTGGTTATAAATAAGAATTGTTACTCGTAAGTTGAAGTTTATATTCTTACTAAAAGCATTCCCTCAGCAGCCCGTTGTAAGTGGGTCCATAATTTCATGACCAACGGCATGATTGTGGCAGTGTGGTCAGCACTACGCACAGGACGTTCTGGTACCCATAGATCTGAAACTGGGTGAGATTCAAGCAGCCACTGGAGATTGAGCCCCAGTTCTTCATAATGATGGTTCTGCGCCTTAACCACTGAGCCATCGCGGTTCTTATAGTCCTACGAGTTGCCTCAAAATGGCGAGGGGGTGACATTGGGTACAATGGATGATGTACGTCTGGAGTTATTCTCCTGGTAGGGCCCTCTTAGGCATAAAAGCCATTCCATTGTACCCAGGTAAAACTTATAGGTGAAATTAAAGCGAAATTAGGCCGAAGACTTCCCGTGTAGTTGGTGACTGATGCACGTTAGAATTCTGTCGACTTTCAAAAGTCCTCCATGTTCCCATAACAAATCAATACCTCTGGGGTTACTGGATTGGAGATCGATCTTTCTCTGATTCAGGTCAAAATTACGATCTGTGGATGAATGAATGGATGTATGAATGGGTCCGCCTTATAAACAGGTGTGACGTATGATGTGGCTGAAGTCGAATTCTTGGCCATAGATGGCGCCACTGAAAAACAAAGATCGCACTCTCTTCCTTATTTGCTCGGTTTCACCAAGCAGGCTTGCCTGTGGGGCAAGTGGCATTAGAATCAACCAACCAGACCGAAGTCAGTCTTCTACCTTACTCTGACAAACGTGCCACTAGACGAACAGAAGCTGCAAAATCTCCCTTTTTCCTTGAACAAAATCTTTCCTATTGGTAGAAAAAGTAATATCTCGAATTCCACATCCAATCATCTCCCCTCCTGCCTTGGATTCGGGAATGACAGTTTAAAACAAAGAACCAGTCATGTTTTGTATTTTCTGAACGTATACCGACTCCTGAAACTGATCTAGCCAATAGGCTAAACCAGTTAGATCATTACAAGTAATCAATTACTCGTAATCATAGCTTCACAATTACTATACATGAGATTACAATTAATCATATTTTCAGGAGCAGTAGTGGCTCAAGGGATATAGCGTTCTCCTCTTAATGATTTAAACTGGATTCGACTCCCAGCTATGGCTGGTCGATACGAATCCGCATTCGGTTGCACCGACCACAGTGCTGACTTAAAATATCATCAGTGGTAGACGAATCATGAGTTAGAGTCCCCTTGTCGTCAGATTAATCGTGGGAGGTTTTTGTGATTTTTCTCTTTATGTAACGCAAAAGCAGGTTAGTTCCATCAAAAAAAAGCTCAGCGAAAGCAAAATTTTTCGTGATACTTGATCCTGGAGTTCCCTTGTCTTCTCGATTGGGCTCAAAATAACAAGGCTACGGAGTTGAACATTGGTAGTCGTAAACTCAAAATTGGGTCGGTTGTTCAACAACTGTTATAAAATAAAATAAAATCATGTTTTCAGTATTTTACTATATCAGGAGAAGGGCAATCAATTACAATGCTTCTACTACTTGTGATAATAATTACAAGCAATCGTAATTTCTTTTTGAGAGATGAAATCATGATTACAAAACAATCCTATGTTCTCTAACTACAAGTAATCATTTAATTATAAGCCAAGAGTACAACTAAATTGATTACTTGTCATTGTGATGTCTGAGTTGCATATTTAATGAAACTAACAATGCCGATCTAATTTCACTTTTATGTCATACTGTAAAGTTTAAAATATAAACCAAGCAACCAAATAAACCAAGCAATATAGTTTTATGTCGAGACAAAAGATTTTTGACAAAATTTTAAATATTTTATATCGCAATGACACGTAACCAATTTAACAATAAACATGCTTTGTAATTAGTAATTATTTATAAGCCTAATCATTATCTTTTCTTTTTCTTGTTGTTATTGATCATATAATTAATAATAATCACTATTTCTTGGAATTATAGATCAGTTGTTTGTAGTTATGTTTCTTTGCTGTAAAAAACCATTGTATTTTTTGCATAAAAGAAAATAAGTTCAAAAATATGCAGTTGTAAATCCTAAAAATTCCACAGCCAGATACTTGCTTACAATGTCAGATGCCAGTTTGTCAGATGGCAAGCGTACAGTCTCCACATGACATCTTGCTATATTTCTTGAATAGGGGAATTTTTGACTAGGGAAAATAGTACAAAATTAGTCATAAATTGATTTTTATAAATGTAATGTTCTTAGGCCTAGACTAACTAATAAGATGCTGAAAATGACATTCAATAAGAGAACTTAAGAAACTAACATCTAGCAAATAAATTATTTAAATTATCTAGCATACTAGTAAACCAGTTTACGTGAAATTTCATCATGCGTTAACAACATACTTTCTGTTTGATAAGTGATCTAAGTGCTAGATTTAAAGACTAAATCTTCAGAAGGGACATTTTTTTTCTTCCAATTTTTTAATGAAACCTTAAACTATTTTTTTTCAAACGTCATTACTATTTTACGTTGTTGTCCCCAAACATTTTCCCGAGATTCTTAATTTTCCATTCCTAAATCACGAATTAAGTTTCTAGTATTTCAATTACATTTTTTTGCACATAACTCTATTGATATTTTACCTAAAATATAACTTATATAATAATTCTGCTAAAACATAGCTTCGATGTTAGTTTTTTTTTCTAACACAAAATTTTGATGATAATTTTTAAAAACTTACAAACGCCCTCAGCACTGAAGCTTTTCTAGCTTCAGTATATTTCAGTATATTTTATTTAGTAGTTTTTCTGGACATCTAGTACAAACTTACAAACTAGTGCAAAAAAAGGCTTCGCTTTTTGTACTATTTTAAGTGTTTCTACCTGTGAACTAGACAAGAAGCCTTATGAATGGACATAGTCTGAACTTTTAGCTGAATTTCAAAAAGAGTGTACAATTCTAAATCAGTCATGTGACAGGATGAACAGCAGCGCTGATAGAAAACTAAATTGAATTTCCGATATATTATTTTATTTTATTCTGGAAAAACACAATTTACTGGGTTTTTGCATACTTTTATTCAAAATTAGAAATTATTTAATTTAAGAGAAGGATTCTCTCAAAAACTGTCATGGGCAAGAAGGTTTTGTAGATTAAGGCTCCACATCGTGACCAACGGCATGATAATGAAAATAGGGTCCGCACCAATGCCGCATTTCTTCCCAGACAAAGTGACGTCCATTGATCTAAAACTGTGTGTGCTTCAAGCCGTCTTTGAGGATCGAACCTCAGGCCTTTACAATGACAGCTCAGCAACTTCACTGAGAGATCATGACTCAATAATTTAATATACAAGAATATAAAAGATAACTGCAAGAAAAAAAGTTGTAGAATATTTTATTTAGTTGGATTTGTAGCAGTATATTTACGATATCGATTTTTTTCACTTTTAGTACATAAGAGAATGCATATCATCTGACAAGACTCCAGAATTGGTCCTTGTATCACGGGACAAGGTACTGTGTAAGTAAAATTTTGACTTTCTTATTTTTGCTTTCGAAATAATAGTTTAAAATGATATATAAAGGGTAAACTTACCCCTTTCTTGGGTTTTTTTTTGACGCCGGGGTCTGTAAAAGATTTCTTAACAAATAATAAATGATCTGAAAAACATGTATACATTTAATAACATAAGTAAATTACAAAATATGCCACTAGTAGATAACTGACATGCTTCTTTTAATGAGTTTAAACAACAACTGCGCGTTAGCGCATGCGTTAGGAAAGTTCTGTTCGGTTACGGTTGTATTTCCGACACTTATTGCATTATACAGCGTCTTCTAAGTTACAAGCAGGGTATCGTGGTAGGAGATATTTAGTTAGATTGCCATAATTTTCTCTGTTGTTTATTCTAAGATCTATACAGAGTATCGTGCAAGGAGGTGTTTCTTTTGAATACCATGATTTTTCCTATCGTTTATTTCAGAGTACATACAGAGTATCATAAAGGGACATGTTTAGTTTGATTGTCATAATTTTTCCTGTTGGTTTTGCTTAGTTACAGGGTATCATGATAGGACCTATTTTGAATACCATAATTTTAGCTTTTGTTTATTTTAAGATCTATACAGAGTATCGTAGAAGCACATGCTTAGTTTGATTGCCCTAGTTTTTTCCATTGTTTATTTTAAGGTATATATAGGGTATACTAGTAGGGCATATTTAATTTGATTTCCATAAATTTTCCTACAGTTTTTGATAAGTTACAAGGTTTGATAAGTTTATAGAACATTCTTAATTTGATTGTTATAATTTTCCTATTATGCTAAGTTATATACGCATAGTGATGAAACATGTCTTGTTTAATTGCCATAAATTTTCCTATTGCTTATGTTGCGTTATGCACAGGGTATTATAATAGGACATATCTAGCTTTTTTTTTATTTACAATGGCAAGGCAAACCAATCAAACGTTTGTTTAAAAATCGAAAAAAAGTGTATTAAATTTTATCTTGAATCCGAGCCCACGAGAAACTTTTTTTGTCTCAATAAACGAGCAAACGGCGGATCATTAGTATATGGATATAGAAAAACAGTCTCTCTTATGAGGAAATTTTGTTTCCAAATCCTAACACAAAAGTATTAATCATATAATTTTCATTAACGATTTCCATTGCAGTGTAGGCAGTCTGGTAATAATAATTCAACAAACGTTACAAACTACAAGAAATGTAGTACCAGCTACAATTAAATGTTTAGCGGGCAATATTCTTTAAACAAGAAAGGCCTAAAATAGTTCATTTCATTTGGGTACTGTCTAAGGTCACACACTTGCTATTGTCCTGTCTGACTGAAATTTTCAATTCCTTCTGTAAGGATTAATAATAAAATTCTTCTTTTTAAAAAAAATCATTTTGAACAGTTACTATAAGCACTTGAAAGCCATTTTATAACTTCATACCTTGCATAGAACAGTTACTATAAGCACTTGAAAGCCATTTTATAACTACATACCTTGAATAGAACAGTTACTATAAGCACTTGAAAGCCATTTTATAACTACATATCTTGCATAGAACAGTTACTATAAGCACTTGAAAGCCATTTTATAACTACATACCTTGCATAGAATAGTTACTATAAGCACTTGAAAGCCATTTTATAACTACATACCTTGCATAGAACAGTTACTATAAGCACTTTAAAGCCATTTTATAACTACATACTTCGCATAGAACAGTTACTATAAGCACTTTAAAGCCATTTTATAACTACATACCTTGCATAGAACAGTTTCTTAATTGTAAATCTCTGAAAACCATATTCAAATGAAGCTTATGATGAAATAATTCATGTAATGGTGCGAGAAAAACCACAAGGGGAAAAAAAGTAATAAAGCTGCGAGAGCCTTAATCCTTTGGAAGCACATTAATTCCAGAAGCGAGAAGTGACATCGTTGAAACACCAGACATTATCCCGAGAGAGGCCATTATTTTCCCCTTCATAAGTACTACTTGACAATCTACGCGTATAATTCCTCAGCGATGTGGAGATAAGTTTTAGGCTTTGTTCCAAGACTCGACGGACGTCACAGAAGAAAAGAACCTTCAAATATGAATATCGATATTTAATTTTTAGATGCCAGTCTGACTGCAAACTGCCTTTCTTTAGATATTCGAAAATCATTAATTTACTACTCAGTCGTTTCGGGAAATAAAATACTTATAGTTTAACATCTTGTCACTTTAGAATATAAATTTTAACTGTAAACAGAAAGATACAGAGATTATTTTTCTTGGTTAAGTGAACCACTTCTACACGTCAGCAGGTAATTTTAATATTTATTTTAAAGAGCAGAATTCATATCGATTAGCCGTCGCTGGGATTCGAACCTGAGTCACTCAAATGGGAGGCGAGTTTTCGATTCCTCTGAGCCACCGCGGCTGTGACAGCAGGTAATTATCAAAGATATAAAAAGATGTTCGTGATTCGAACACAGAATAAAAAAAGATTGTTCCGATTTTCATAAGGAATTCAACACTCTACCTTTTCTAGCATGTTGCAATTGAATATTTTTGATAAGCGCATCCTAAAATTTCAGTCAATTGCTATTTTATAGCTATTTCGAGTGCGTGACACATAATGGTGACTATAAAGTTAACTATTATTCATCATGAAAATGGCTCATAAGGAAAGAATGAAGAAAAACCACTATTTTTGAAATTGAAAAGCATTTGCGTTTTTTCGTTTTATTGAATGATGGGTCTCATTCGACGCAACGCGAAAAAAGACATAGTAACGGTGTTTCACTTGTTTAGATAATGCATAAATAGGTATCCTCTTAACTTCCAAAAAAAAAAAATTTAAAAATTTCTTTAACTTCGAAACCAATAGTCCTATCGTCTCAAAATGGGCGTCATTCGATTTAGAGTGAGAACTACATCGGAACAATACCGTTGTTGTCGTCGGCTATTGAGGCAGGACGGAGGGTGATTGTTCTTGTTTTCCAGTGGCGCCATCTATGGCCAAGAATTCGACTACTGCCTCACCCACACGTCAAAACCGTTAATAGGGCTGACCCATTCATACTTCCATTCATTCGTCCACAGATCGTAATTTTGACCCGAGTGATCAATCTCCAATTCAGTACCCCCAGAGGTTTTGATTTGTTATGGGAACATGGAGGACTTACAGACACTGTCAGATTTAACATGCACCAGTCACCATTTACTACATGGGGAGTCTTCTGCATGCTGGAGTGAACTCCCGTTCTCAGAAGCTTGAGTCCAGTGACCTGCCAACTAGGCTATCCCGGCCATCGAAACAATAGTTCATATGTTTAAACAGCAGTATGCAATGTTCTGCCCCCTCCCCTCTTTTCTCCCTCACGCCAAAAACCCATATCAGGAGATCGTTTGTTGGAAATAATTAATAAGTTAATTAAAATACAACTTTTAACGAGGAGAAGGGTGCTTAATAGTTTGCCACAGGCTTCAATTATTTTCAATTATTTTATATTTATTTATTTATGTCCAGTCTTTTTTTAATTTTTTGAGCTAAGTTTAGATAGAAATAATTAAATTTTTAGCAGCACAAATATGTTTGAAAAGCGTATTTTGAATCGTTAACCTTAGTACGTGAAAATAAGATAAAAAGTTACGCAGAACATGATTTGTTATTCCTTTATTTTAATTTTCACCTATTTACAATAAACAAAATTTAGTTTTTTTTAAAATTATGTTTGGTCTCATTATGTGTTAAATTAGGGCAGATCATTCTTGTTCAACTCATGCACAATTTAAAATTAAAATATAAGACATTTTTGTCAAAATAAGACTTCTGAAAAATTAATGGTTTGATATCGTACAGAGAAATTTCCTCCTCTTTCACTGTCAATCAAAATAATTAGTTAATTTATAACAATTAATATCATGGCGATATTTTGGGAAATATGGATTGATCATTTTGTCAAACTTGATCGATTGGTATTCTGAACTACGGGAAATTAAAGGGCATGTATGTGATACATAATATTTCTTGCGTGTCATTCTTTATCGATTTTCTTGGCACTATTACATCGTATTTTCCGTTATTTTAAAAATATTCTTATCAGGTATGTCAATTTTCTATGAAAGCTTTGCTTAAAATTTACCATTACCTCTTCTGTAATTTTCGATTCATTGAACTTAACTGCTAAGTCAATTATTATGGGATCAATTAAAATTATATTAGAAATTTAAACCTGTTTATAATGAATTCTAATTTGATTTTTTTTAATATTTGATTTTAAGACAAAAGCCAATTAATGGTTTATTTTTATTCAATTAAATTCAATATTAGAACTTATGCTGTAGAAGGAGATTGAAAAAAAACTCACTTTTCTCAATTAAAAACTTATTTTCTACCTCATCTTATCAAAAATTCAATCCAGCTTTACTATTCGCGATATAGTAGCTTTCAGTTATGCAATATTTTGAGACTTAATGAAGCATATTTATTTGTAGGAAATTCTGATAGCTATGACGTTTGGTGAAAACATTGTTAAGGAACAATCGTATATTTTTATATTTTCTGGCGTGATTAAATCCCAAAACAATGTCCAGTTTAAGAACAATTTTGATGCTTTTCAATCACGTTGACTATCCCGATTTGGGTGATGCTTATTTGAATACTTAAAAAATAAAATTTCACCAGATATTTCATAGAATGTAATAAAGCTATAGAATTATTGTAAAAATTGTTTATTAAAATGTATTTGGAGTGTAAGACATTAAAATACTCTATGCAAAGCTCAGATTAGTTAGGACATTTTGGACACAAAGTTGATTTTTTTATTAGTCCATTTCACAATTAATATTTAGTGAATTCTTTTACCAAAATCATTTTTGCAAACTTTGATATTATCCTGATTTCGTCTAAAAGGAGGCTTGGTTGTATTTTCAGACAATCCAATTACTTTTGCAACTATTGATTCACGAAATCTTTTAGAATTTACCGTCTTCTTCATCGTAATTTTCTAAACATCTAGCGAAGGGGAACAAACTCAGGAACATTTTAGTGAAGTTGAGAAAATTATCCTTACGGTTTATATGTTATTCTTTCCTGTTTTTGTGAGATGCATACAATGAAGAAAAACACGTAAAATTTACTGCTGAGAGAGAAATAAGGTTTATGTCTTGTTTACAAGCGCTCGATCATCTAAATCAATACAGCGACAACACTCAAACAGTATGTTGCGTCCCATTCATGTCATCCCTTCCCCCGAGTACATCGCATACTTGTTGAACTAAATTTATTGTGTTAAAAGCTCAGTTTCGTTCCTAATTGTTTCCGATAATAGACTCAATACCCTAAATTCGATTTTAACTGTTCTCGTCTTTGCGTTCTTATATGCTAAAAAGTGGTTTTCTGAGGTTATCTAACCTTAACCATTAACCTAAAGGTTTTTAACCTTAAGGTAAGGATTAAAACCACGAACCTTACGGTGTTAAGGTTAATGGTTTTCTATTGTTTGTTACCAAATACTCTTCAAATTTTCTTCCACTCTGAAAATACTCAGACTATCACGTTATTCTTTCCACTGAAATCTTCAATACTTAATAACTTTGTAAAATTCATAAAAAACATTGTTGAAGAAATCTCCTTTTTTAAAAAATGACACCGAAAAACGTCTTCAAAAGCGTTTAAATTGGGTTAATTAAAATACCAGTTATGAGTTAGTTAGTTCTAAAATTTAAAAAGCATCCCTTTGCGATGAATCTTTAACAAAAATCTATGAGGAGGAAAAATTGTATTTAAAGGAAATTTTTAAACAAAATAACAAGGAAAAAAACCTATTGTCGTGTTCAAAGATTGAGATTTGAGCCAGTTTAAAGTAACTTCGGAATTTTGGTAAAGGAATTAAAGTAATTTCGGAATTCAGAGGGGGTGGCACCCCCGCTTCGGAAGCCCGACGACCTGCACACGACGACGAGGACAAATACCGCACACCCTCGGTCCCTGCGCAGACTAATCCAAGTGGTCACCCACCCGCAAACTGACCACAACCAGTGATGCTTGACTTCAGTGATCTGCTGGGAACCATGTCTTAACGATCAGTCCACTGCGGGACCTACTTTTGCTGCCAAAATACGTTCTTAAATTTAGGGGAAATGCTACCAAAGCAGGGGAGCCATCCCCTCAGCAGAGGATCACAATTGCGATGGCATGTCTTCAGATCATCTTTAGGCATGTTTCCCAGACCGTCGCCAATAGCCCATTGTACAGCTCTAGTGCGACGTAAATAAAGTACCAAGTACCTCATCTAGGCATATACTTCATGATAATACTATGTTAAAAAAATAAAAAATAAATGTCATTCACCCAATGAAGGAAACCGGTCGCCTTCTTTGGGCCAATCAGTATCTAGGAAAAGGCAGGCAGTTATTTTATATTTGAATAAAATATCAGCAAAATACAGGTGAGTAAAATGCTTAAAAAATCTTATGAGCCTATGCGACTAAGGAGTAAGATCATAATTACGTCATTTTTAAAGCAATTATTAATGCTTTGAGGTTTTTGATGTGTGTACATCGATCTAAAAAAAGTAAATTAGAATAGAATAGAATATAATTTAGATTTAATTACTGATGATATACTCAATCAGGTACAATGATATTATTTGTTTAATTCAGAAAATGTTAACTCGAAGAATATTTCTATGGTTGGGTAGCGAGTGCATTTTACAACTGGTAACTGAAGCATTTGAAGCTTATTGAAGGCAGCTATCAATTAAAAAAATAAACACTTATTATTAATATGATTAAATACTCAAAATAGTTTAAAAACAAGCTTTATAATATTATCAATTACATTTAAAACACTATTAGCAGCGTCTCATTGATATCCATAGTTTGCTTTCATTGAAAATTTAGACGAAAATTCCAAATTCAGACGTTCATATACGGGGAATATATTTAATCCCGATCTAACTCACCATCACTATATCGGTGTTCAAACTTCATAAAGTGTACTAAACAGTAAACGGAGAAAATAGCTTAAAATAATATAACCTGATCAAGTGATAACAGCTTTCCCCTAATTGTTTTGAAATATTATTTTATTTTATTTTGCAAAGCCAAACCTTTACAGCCCTCCTTGTGGCGATGTTTCGAACACAAAACCTGATAAAACTATTTTTTAATATGTTTTTAGTGGAAGCCAGCGTGGTGAAAACCGAAAAGAATTATATTGAGAGGCAAAGAAGTCATTCATTTACCAATGATTCTGTCACCTTCCAGAAGCTAAAAAAATCTGTAACCGTTTCTGCCTGGACTATTGACGATCCCATTGCCATCACTTTGCATTTTGTTGGCAAACTAGACTGTGATATTAAAAGCAAGGTATGATTTTGTTCCATTTCCTTATTATATAAATAAGCTTACCTTTTAAAACTAAAGTGAGTTTAGAAAATAAAAGCTTTACAATATTTGCTTGCATCGAGAAATTTTTTTACCAAAAAAAAGAAAATACGAATAAAATGTCTTTTTAATTGAGGTTTCTATCATAATTTTTTCTCCAATGGCCACTTGGGTAGTGACCTTTCGTCATACAGGTATCTGGAAGGCAGATTTGTTGGACACTGTTTCAGGGGCATCATATTAGGTGGACCACCGTTGCTCCCACAGTAATAACAGATGGTACAGAGAATGAAAAAAAAATCCATGACTTGTCCGGGATTCGAACCCAGAACCTTTCGGATGTAAGGCCAATTCCCTGACCCTTACATAGGCCGGATGGCAGGTTTCTATTATCTATACCTAAATTGTTTTACTTCGACCTTTCATTTAAAGACGATTGATTTTTTGGGGTATTTTATGACCCCAACAAATTTAGCGTGAACCAGTCACCATTTCGTGCACGGGGATCAAACTCACGACCTTTTGGACCTAAGCTCAACGCCTTACCAACCAGGCTATCCCGACCCACAAGTGTAAAGTGTGGTACACACATCGCGTCTTTAAAATTGTATATCTTTTAAAACAATCCTATTTTTCGCATTTTATGACTTATACTGCATCATTTGTCGAACAGCTTATTTTATTTTCTGTCACAAAAATAATTCCCATTGATTACAGTATGCTACTTAAATGATATATCATGTATACTACAAATGATATATCATGTCATTCTGACCGTGGTTCTTTTCGTACAGCCTTCTGAAAGTGGAATTTTAGCTACCATCTATCTGTAACCTTGAAATTTAGGAACCACTTGACTGTGGCAAAATATATAAATAGTTCTAAAATAATTCTACAAAATTCTAAAATATCAATGGTTTATTATATATATTTCCATTTGAAAGAGAAAATTATGTGTGTTTAAATGTTTCCACAGTGAGCTTTCCATACAGTAATAAAGTTTTTCATTAGTTCTCATTAGATCTCGTAATAAGATTATCATTATAAGCATAAATTACTGTTTTATTCCATGATGCATTTTCAGATAGCTGTGCAATGTGCTATTTACTACAGTGACGAATGTCTTACTAGTATTATCCACTCAACTGAAAAATGTCTAGAAGAAGAAAAGTACCATTGGAATGAAACCTTTAGTTTTGAGTTAGAGTTGCATCACTTACCTCGCATGGCCAAGTTATGCTTTTGTATATATGAAGTAAGCCCCACCCAGAAAAATGGACGTTTTAGAAAATGTCAGGTAAATATACACAACGCATCATTTCTTTTGGTTGTAAATTTACATCATTGAATAATAGAGGAACTTAGTAACATATGGTATAAAATTATCAAGTATAAGATGTTGTTCCATGATAAGTTCTTTGGAGTTTAAGGAGGTACTCGTTTTCCGTCGGTTTCCAAGTTGCTTCTCAATGGAGAGTAAATTGTTGTCTTTCTTTTGCAGATTTAGAATCGTAGGAAATGCATATTCACTTCACGATTAAGAACAATTTTTTAAAAAAAAACAAGTTTTGGAATAAAGTTGCGATAGTAACTGAGCAGAATTATTAAATTCAAAATTTTTTAAATAGAGTCCGAAGTACAAACCTGTATTTATAAAATGCAAAATTCTAGACTCTTCTAAATGAATATAATTTAATTTTAAAGTAATCATCTGTATATGACAATGATCATGAAACAAAGATGATTGCGAAGCATTTATGTTATTTGGGGAGAATAAAGAGGACCGCAGCCCTTGGTAAGTAAATATCTTTCTTGTATAGCAAACAACTATTTTGAAACGAACTATTTGATTAGCAGGCCTGCCTACTTTGTACAGTCGTTTAAAAAGATTTTAAAGTGATAGTAAGGTAATAATTTAAGTAGAAATAATTTCTGATGATTGTACTACTTCATAAGTACTTTAAGTCGTAAAACCTTAGAAAGCAAATATATCGTGCATCTATATTAGTTGTGGTGGTTAAAACAAATAAAAAAACTTTAAAATTCATATTTTTATATTAAAGCATGAATGATGGAAAAAACTTTTTTAATCACCGTTCTAGACGGTAGCTATGAATTGAACACACTTATTTTGCCGTTATATAGGTTTCATAAATATTGGGAATACAGGAAATATACACCGAAGAGCCATTACATTATGACCACCCTGCTAATAAAATGTAAAACCATCACCTTTAGCCCTCAAAACTGCTAGCACCAGCCGTGGCATTGGTTCCACAAGGTGCTGATAGGTAGTCTGAGATATCTGGTACCAAACGCTCACCAACTGGTCCTGCAATTCCCTCACATTGCGAGGGGGTAGCGTAGCAGCACGAATTTGGTTTTTTTAAGTAGGACCACAAATGCTCTATTGGATTAAGGTCAGACATGACTTGACATGATTGAATACATGATTGAAGACATGACTTGAAAGTCACTGGAATGTTCCTCGTACCAATCCTTGACGATTCGACTCTTATGACATGGTGCATTATCCTGTTGGTAAACACCATCCCCCGCAGGAAAAGCTGTTGAATGGGTGAACCTGGTCTACAACTATGTTCAAGCAGCTTACAGACGTCAGGGATTGTTCGATGAGGATTATGGGTCCTAATGTGCCCCATGAAAACATTGTTCCTGGGCGAGAAACCATGAAAACTTGGGCGAGCCCATTGTTATAGATGGAGGGTGGTCATAATGTAATAGCTCTTCAGTGTATATTTGTGTTGCCGTTTTATGGAAAGTTTGGGAAAGATTCGCTGGAGATTTTTAATGAGGAAAATAGTTTTTCAGAATATAAAAGAAAACGCATAAAATTATTGTCTAATAAATAAGAACGATTAAAGTTAATAAGTATATTTTCCTCTTGATCGATTGTGTAATGTAAAAAGATATTGTTTGCTAACCTATACAATATTTATTGATTTTTTTTTAATGCAGGACAAATTTGTGTGCCCTATTGCATGGGTGAACACAACGGTTTTTGATTACAAAGATAATCTTAAATCAACTCCTATAACATTATCTACTTGGTCTTACCCCCAAGAAATAGATGAAAATTCTGCCGTCATGATGAGACCCCTTGGCACGATTGCCCAAAATCCAAATCCAAAAAACAGCCCAGGCGCTTTATGTTTCTCATTCAAGAAATACCACACCACATTCCAAGTTGTATATCCTAACACCAGTGAGGTAAGTTTCCAATTATATATTTAAACCTCAGCTGATTGCACTGAAAACATGTTTTGTTTCTTGTAAATACGCAATTAATAAAATGGCTCTGAGTGAGTTTGCATCCAAAAGTGTGGTATTCATCTTTTCTCTTAAGTAGATTGCGTCCGTGTGATCGAAATAAATTCATTGTGTCTAAGAATGAATTTCTTGGTTTGCATTTCTAACCGATGCCAATAATTGACGGACCCGGAATTTTTTTTTCTTTCGCTTGATGTGCACGGACGCATAGTTATCTGCATCGAAATATCTGTTATTGTAACTAATTAAGATAACTAGTAATCGTAATTAATTTCGGATTTGGTTAGAGGGTAGATGCAAAAAAATCTGTTATTATATGATTTAGATATTGTAACTAGTCAAGATTAGGTAATTGAAAATAAATAATTTTAATGCTATGAAATTTTAGGGGTTTGATGGGCTTTGGGTATCTGCTTTATTTTAGGGGTTAGGCTAGACCGAACTTTTTCATCTTCTGTCTATTTTCTGGCAGTTTCCCCTTCAATCCTTTATTTTCGCAACATTTTATCGACTCGTGTCTGGTTTTTTGACTTATAAGGTGGCTGGACCTCAGAGTCCCTGTTCAGCGTGACATAAAGAAATGAGATATAACCATAATAAAGACATTAAATAAATAGAGATGCTCATATGAATGATGATTCCCTTGTTAGCGACATTAGTTCTTCACCACCTCTCCATATCACGTGGAAATGCATTTCACCTTAATTTACCCCTTTCACTCTCTCTCGACTACTGTGGTTTTTCTAGTTTTGCTTCTCGCCTTTATTTTTCATTTTTTCGTTAGCACTTTTACGTTTTTCTTTTCTTTTTTTTTTCTTTTTTTTTCAAATCACTTTTTTTCCCTTCTAAGAAGTCTTGAAAATAGGTACCTATTTTTTGAGACGATTGAAACATGACGACTGTTATTTGCTATTTATATATATATTTGAAGTGAATGATGTTTTTTATCAGGTAACATAATGATGACAGTTTATTAAAGATTAGATTAATACTGTTATAAGAGTAAACATTTCTCTCCATTCTTAACATCTTTCTGTTGCAGGTAAAAAAAATGCCGTAATTTTAGAATTCAAAACTTTTGAAATTTGATTAAGAATAATTTTGTCCGTTAATAATTGATATTTTTGAGTTATTTTTATTCATTTAGAACGTAGTTTCTAANTCGTTGAATAGAACTAGTGATCCTTCTACGACTGCTGATTCTTCTACAATTAACGTCGCAGGTTGCGAAGTTTAACTTCTTCCGCGCGGAGGGACTCCACGCACTATTTTTTTTTAGGGGTTAAGCTAGACCGAACCTTTGCATCTTCTATTTTCTTGGAGTTGTCCCTTCAATCCTTTATTTTCGCAAGCATTTTATTGACTTGTGATTGGTTTTTTGACTTATAAGGTGGCTGGACCTCAGGGTCCCTGTTCAACGTGACATAAAGAAATGAGACATAACCATAATAAAGACATTAAATAAATAGAGCTGCTCATATGGATTCCCTTGTTAACGACATTAGTTCCTCACCACCTCTCCATATCGCGTGGAAATGCATTTCACCTTGATTTACCCCTTTTTCTCTCTCTCGGCTACTGCGGTTTTTCTAGTTTTGTTTCTCGCCTTTATTTTTCATTTTTCCGTTAGCACTTTTTTCGTTTTTTTTTTTTCAAATCACTTTTTTTTTCCCTTCTGATTCACGTCTAAGAAGTCTTGAAAATAGGTACCTATTTTTTGAGGCGATTGAAACATGACGACTGTTATTTGCTATTTATATATATATATTTGAAGTGAATGATGTTTTTTATCCGGTAACATAATGATGACAGTTTATTAAAGATTAGATTAATACTGTTATAAGAGTAAACATTTCTCTCCATTCCTAACATCTTTCTGTTGCAGGTAAAAAAATGCCGTAATTTTAGAATTCAAAACTTTTGAAATTTGATTAAGAATAATTTTGTCCGTTAATAATTGATATTTTCGAGTTATTTTTATTCATTTAGAACGTAGTTTCTAACTGCAGTAATTTAAAACGATGCATGACATACCACATTAAGGATGCAAAACTCTAGTGTCTGTTTTGTTTTCCTCTTACCTGATAACTTCAACTTCGTAAATACCTCATTGTTTAAAAAGTTAGCTGAAAAAAAATGACCCAACGGTGCTATTTCAAGACATTTTGATAGAAGCTTAACGTTCTCGACAATTATCAGCTTAAAAATAAACAATAAAAACTCGTTGATTTATAAAGTGGACTTTTAGCCATTTAAAAAATGAAAGATTTTTCATAAAAGTTGGCACTTAAAGTGCACCAATTATTCATTCATACGATTATAATCTCTAAAGATTTACTTAATCGCTATTTTTTGCATTTTCTACTTTGATTAGATGTAAAATCGATAAGCTATTTTTTAGGTGTCACATATCATATTTCACGCTTAAAAAAAATTTTAAATCCTAACTTAGAAGAAAATATTCAAAAGTAGAAGCCACTTGAACAATTCATTAGCAAAATTCTCTCGTTAAATTTAATGGATCATCTGCATAATTTGGTCTGAATAGATTCTTAAGACTATTCTAAACGAATAACTCTCTCTATGGCTTCACTTTTTTTTTAAAAAAAATGCTTAATTCCATTTGAAATTTTAAAAAAAATTCTTTTCTTGTGTATAACTACTTTAGACATTATTGAAATTACACATTTGAAAAAACCGACTTGCTCATTCTGCGTTTAACGAAATGGACGTAGATCGATAGATGGGCTTTAAAAAATGGATATAGTAAATTGTAATTTGAAAAAAAAATAGACATATCTTGAAATATGTATTTGAAAATAGAGATGTGACCGGAAATTAGTGTTAAAAAAATTCGATATTCTTGAAATGTGCGTTTGAAAAAATGGACATAGCTCAAAATGTGTGTTTGAAAAAATAGACATAGCTCAAAATGCTCTTTTGAAAAAATGGACATAGCCTAAAATGCGTGTTTGCGAAATTGACAAAGCTATTTAAGAGTATGAGATTGAATTTCATTTTATTTTTTAATCTATTGTAAAGTCTGTTTTATTTTAAAAGAATTAAAGAGTGAATAAAATGATTAGCCGTAGTGATTAAAAAATTGAGGTAATTTCCGCATGAAAAGATTCCGCATGATCTTTTTTAAACAGTAACGCAAGTATAAAACATTTTGGTTCTTTCTTTAACATTAAAAAGGCGCTTTTTGTGTTATGCCCACTTTCATAGCTATGCATTTTGAGCTTTGTTCATATTTTTTTAGATGCGCATTTCATGCTAAGCCTGCTTCCTAAAATACGCATTTTGAGACAGGTCTATCTTTTCAAAAGCGTATTTCAAGTTATGCCTATTTTCTTAAACAACTATTTTGAGCCATATCCATTTTTTTTTCAAATTCACATAGTAAGCCGTGTTCATTTTCTTAAACGCGTATTTTTAGCTATATGTACTTTCTTAAATGTGTATTTTGAGCTATGTTCACTTTCTTAGAGGCGTATTTTGAGCTTTGTCCACTTTTTTGCTCATAGTTTGAGCACTGCCCATTTCCATGAATGCGTATTTTGGGTTATGTCTAATAAAGTGCTACTGATGAATCTTTTGTATTACACAATAATCAAACTTTATATTTTAGCTTGCATGAAATTATTTAAAAATACATGGTAACAGTTTTAAATGGATAAAATTTCCAAATCTGTCCCATCAGAGTAAACAAATATTATTCATAATATTTTGCCCTCTATCAGTTGACATTACATTTTCTATGTATGAAATCAAAGTTCATATTATTTTTTTTAAACGAATTAAAACTGAACAAAAATATACGGGCGATAGTTCCCTGTAATACTTTATTTATATTTTGTTAACAGTCAATTTTTGAATTAAGTAAAAAAATCTAAATGCCAACTATAAAAATAATTATAATAATAATTATGATTAAAATAAAATAAAAAGAACGATTTTAAAACCTATGATTGTGATATATTTTTTCTGAAATTGATATATATAAATATCCAACCTTGTTTATGATAGAATAAAAATTCGATATACTTAACAAAGTATAAATATTTTTCTTTTTTCAAGAAGAAACGTTAACTACCAAGTAACTCCTGACTAAAGTGGTTTTCCTCGTAAACTGCTGACCAAAAAGTAGTTTTACCTCACTTAGTTGATTACAATAAAAACAGGGCAGATTACGATCCGCCATTACTTACCCTAAAGTCTAGATTTATTAGACTTTGAAATATTGTCGCCATTTTTTGTTTCTTAGCAAGATTTGATTAGATTCAACACTATATAACACGAATTTTCTCTTAAATAATAAATATCATTTTAAAATTGGTTCTACAGAAAAAAAATATGAAAAAACTTTATTTTCCTGCAAAAGAATTTCTTGTGTTCAGAACAACAAAAAATGGAAATTTTTTTGTCATGATGGAAACATACAAAATGTTGGGTTTCTCTTTATTTAAAGACTATATTTCACATCAATAATAAATTTTAATTAAAATTCTACAAATTATACCTCTTATGCATGAAGTTTTCGTTTGAGTTTTAAAAAATATTTAGATGCTATGAGCCCATTTAGCATCTCAAGATTGTGGTGCAATTTTAGAAAATTTTGACATGCATAATCTAAAATTGGAGTCTAAGTGAGTATATACACTTTCGTGGTACATATTATCAATAAAGTTTTAATCCTGGAAAAAAATGAATATTCATATTTCATTTATAAGGTATAAAAGAAGAATTAAAATACCACCGTCCTTTCCAGTAATTTAATATACCTACCCTTCAAACAAAACATCAGATTTTCACTTTGTTCTGCAATCCTTTATTTCAGTGTTTCCCAAACTTATGAGTTTTGTGTACCCTTTCTAAATTTTTCGTAGCGCATTGTACTACTAATAAAAGAAATTAATATATTTTTTAAAAATATGTTTTTTTTTCGTTCTAAATTTTGTTAATAAGTTTATTTGCATCAGTGATAAGGATGATATTGTTTTTGCTGTGATAACAGCTGTTGTGATAAAAAAAATTGCACAAAAGTTAAAAAAACCCATCTAGCTGCTGACACCACTAATTATTAACTGTTAACTCTGCAAAAAATAGCCAATAAAAAAATACATAATCGTAAATTTTCATGGTTAGCTTTGTTTTTAAATAAGTTGCAAGATATTTCGCATAAGAGCGCGTACCCCTGCTAAACTGTTCCCGTACCTCGCACCCCTGAGGGTACGCGTACCACACTTTAGGAAACACTGCTCTATTTACTTCCAAAGAGATCATATTCTTTCAACTATGTTGAATGGTCTGCCACCTGGTGTGGTTTCCAAGAAGCTCTTGGAGTCCTCAAATGAGGATTACATGCAAATTACGGCACATATGGAAATTTGAATAATATGGGGCCAAAAATATATATGTTCTTATATGTGGCCTATATGCATGAAAGGGTTAACGACAAGGAACCTAGAAATGTGTAATATTGCGATTGTTTACCATGTGAATAAATCTCACTGACTGCGGGTACGTGGTAAAAATAAATTTCATTATTAGATTTATGAGCAGACAGTAATTTGTCCATCATATCGCTCATGGGCTGCAATAGCGGCACAACTCAAAAAATCAAATTTTAAGATAAGTGGGTTTAAAGTTTTCATTGCTAAACAAAATGCATAAGAAATGCTTTTGTTTGCTTCATTATGAGTTGTGCTAGCATTGCTGCTGAAAGAATGTGTATTTTCATATTCTCCCCTGCTCTTAGACCAAAACGCGTGTTTTTTGAGTTGCGCCACTATTGCAGCCCATGAGCGATATTATGCAAGAAAAAATTCTACTCAACACTGTATTAACAAAAGAGTGAAGAAAATTTTTTTTAAAGTTTACAGTATTACGAAGAAAAAAAGAAAAAAAAAGCGACGTTTCCATCATACTGGGGGCTCAATTATGTAGAAAACAATACTCTCAAACCAGGCAGAAAATTTAATTTTCTTTTCTGAAAAATTGTTATATAGTGTTATTCAGTATAAACATAAGACTATATATTAAAATCAGATAAAGATAAAAGACTTTATATATATATCAGATAATCGGGAGAAAAAATATACATTAATTACATTAATGAATCAATAAATGTATTTAGCCACATGTGAATAAAATGAAATTCGTGTGATAAATGCATTGAAAAGTATTCTGTTTTTTTGTCATATTTTTTTTCTCTCGATAGTATGGTGGAAAATTTAAATATTGAAATTTTATTGACAATATCATTATATTTCAGATTTTGGAATATGCAAAAGAAGAAACTAGTTTAACCAATGGCAGTATGGTGAGTTTCATGAACTTCAGATTGCCAACATAAATTTAATATGATGTGAATGTATATCAATGTCAATCTTATATCGTTTCAAATGTTTAACAAATTTAAGTTAAGCCTTTTGCTTAAAAAATCAGCAACATTTGTTTTCAGATATTTTACGAATGAGACAAAGTACATCTTTTAACTAAAACATAACTAGAGTAAGATTGTTTTGGGGATCTGAAAAAAAAAGGAAAGTCTGATTGTTTTTCAGATCACCTCTCCTCAGAAATATTTAAATTTTATGTAATTTAAAAATTTTGTTTTAAATCAAGTCTGTTTTGATGCAAACTAATTTTCATTAAGTTTGGTAAATAAGCATGACTAGTTTTCATCCTCAGTAAAAAAACTTTTGCGTAAATTAAAAGTGACATTTCGAATCAAGTCTGTCATGAATCGGTTGTGTTTGAATATATATTTAATTTTCTCAATCCAGCCTCAAGCCAGCAAATCCTATTTGCAACAACTGAGACAGATTTGTGAAAAAGATTCCCTGTACCAACTGCATGAGCAGGATAAGCAATTGATGTGGTTTCTTCGCAATGACTGTTGTGAGCAACTTCCGAATTCGTTGCCGAAGCTTCTGAGGTGCGTCAAGTGGAATGACAGACGAGAAATCGCTCAGGTACATTCTATTCATTATCTTAAGATTAGAACGTCCCAACAAGAGCGTAAAATTTAATTTCCGAACAAAATTATTAAAATTTTTTCATGAAATTTTTTATTTAATCATAAAGTGGACAGATAATAATCTAACCTATTAGTGGGGGAGGGAGTTTTTAAGTTAATTAGAATCTTTCTTGATCCTGACCAAATTAATATTATTTTGCCATGTTTTTTTAATTTAGAAGGTCTCGTCAATTAAAATTACTGAGTGACAATCCTTGAAAGTTTTTGGAGATGATGAGTGGAGGTCCATCTGCAGTTGGTAACAAACATTCAACTAGTAAACCGCAGACCACCGTTTGGAGAACGCTGGTCTAATGCTCTATCGGTGACTTTACGGTTGCGAGGTTAAACTATTTCAAGTAGTGGTATAGGGTAAACATTTAGAGCAAGTTTTGACTCAGATCCCGCGAGAGAAGTTATTATTCAGCCCATAGCAGCAGACAGACTCAATGATGGGAAGAGTTCTTTGGTTAGGCAGACTGTACAAGAGGTCTAATAATGCCTCCAATCATTTCAAATCCAAACAACGACATTTTTAGCAGATGCATATTCTTCGGTTTTTCCTTATATGAATACAACATATTTACTTGTCTACTTTATGGTTAAATAAAAATTTGGTATAAAATGAAAAAAAAAAGCTGTATTTTGTTTAGAGTTAATATTTCGCCCGTTTTTAGTGGAACTACATGTAAACTTTGAAAAGAAAAAGATTAGACAATATCCTAGATAATTTTTTATAAAATGCATTGGTTATTTTTTCATGTTTGTAACTATATACAAATTGTAAGTTTAATGTTATTTAATAAAACGTTTCAAATTTGCACTTAAATGTCATCAACTGGCACTCCTTCTAACATTGTAAGCATTCGAAGATGGCGTGGAGAATATATAAATACAGTCTAACGATGTCCGTTATATACAATCAGTAAGTGCATACAAAACAAGTTAGCTTGGAGGTAAGAATAAAAGGAGCCAATCTAGCGTCTCGCGGGTGACAGAATTCACCATATTGTTTAGTCCCAAAACCCAGGGTCAAACACTCTCTACTATTTTAATTTAAAGACATATTTTTATTCTCCACTATGCAACTGCACTTATGAACACAATTTATGTTTGAAAAAAGTGCTTTTCTCTTTTCTTCTTTACTTCGTCATTAATTTCAACTGAAACTTATTTCGATGCATGCGATCAGTAAGCAAAATAATAAACGAAACAATTGAATAAATTTTGAAAATGAACAAATTTCAATGCATGAGAGGCATAAAAGTTCAAGTTTCTACAGGTGTGAGCCAACTTAAAAGGGCAGTCAAAGATTATCTTCGTGTTTCGCTACACCTTTGGTGCTTACATCTTGTTTAAAATACATGTTACAAATTTTCTAGTACTGCTGTCTGGAGTCTGCCCGACAATATCACGGGGCATGAGAAATAGAGGGCGAAACTTCACAACATAATTTTGACGGGAGAAATAAGGAAGGGGTTAACAAGGATTCTAAAAATATTTAATGATGAATCATCTCTATTTATGAATAAAATAATTTCAGATGACGCAACTAATGGAGGTTTGGCCTCAGTTAACGCCTTACAAAGCATTAGAATTGCTAGACTATGCTTACCCTGATTGTAGGGTACGAAGTTTTGCTGTGAAATGTTTGGAGAAAATCACTGACGAAGAACTCTCACTTTACCTACTACAGCTGGTACAGGCTTTGAAGCATGAATCTTACTTACAAAACAGCTTAGTCGAATTTCTGTTGGAAAGAGCTTTGAAGAACAGACACATTGGACATAGGCTGTTTTGGCTGCTCAGGTGAGATATTAATTGAATTTATCTGTATTTTTAAAAACATTTTCTGCTAAATCGATAGTGTTTCCATGTATTTTTCCTTGTTATTGTCATTAATTAGCGCGTAATAAAATGTCTACGTTTGTGCCCTTGCTATATATGAACTATCATATTGTACCTTTTTTCCCTTCAATTCGGTATTGTATTTGGTAATTGCAAAAGTGCAATTATTATTTTCCACCAAATTATTTATTGCAAATTTGTATGGCAATATTAAATAGAATGAAAATTTCAATTACAACTTTTTTCAAATAGACTGAAATAATTTTTCACAGATTTAAAACAAAAAAACGTTAGGTGGATCCATTTCAAAAGGCGTGGGTAGAGTTTTCTAGAGGTGATAGAAGTTTATTTGGAGAGTAATGTGTTCTACGTTTTAGGTTTGACCTAAATAAAATTATTTTTCATATCTATTCATCTATTTAAATTCGGTTTTTAGAAGTTTTGTATATTATTTCCCATTTTAGTTTTCAGTTTATTTTATATCCAAAAATAATCAAAATTTTAAGTATTGATAAGAGGATGATAATATTTATTTTTACTATTTAAAAAACTATTGTTACTTGTATAGTCATCAACATAAAGCTGTATTTAAAATGTAGGTATGCTAACTGGACGCATATTGGTAAAATTTGGACTGGTGCTTAGTTTTATTTGGCTATAATATGGCAATAAATGCTGTTTATATCAATCAGCAAATGATTGAATCTTGTAATTTACGTTAGGAACGGAACTTTAATAAAGATTTAAGTGCTCTAGCTAATCAGAAAGTCATAGAAATTCTGATTTCATGATTCCACCGTCACAGACGCAAAAGCAAGCGAATTAAAACTTGATGACTATTTTTTTTATTAATCAAGTACTTAAAAACGGGGTGCTACGCAAATTAAGAACTTTGTTTCCATTGCTGAGTAATAGTTTGAGCATTGTTAAATCATACACAGTTGTTGATCGTGCAATTCCTCGTTTTGATTATCAGAATTAGTAGCTTTAATCATGCGATATATATGACGCCCGGTGGCTGAGCGGTAGTGCTTCGCGCTGTCGTGCCACAGGTCCCTGGTTCGATCCTCGGGCCGGGCAAGGTTGACTCAGTCTTTCATCCCTTCAATGGGTCGATAAATGGGTACCAAGCATGCTTGGGTTCCGCGTTCGGCTGACCACCTAACCGNGGTCTTCGCGCTGTCGTGCCACAGGTCCCTGGTTCGATCCTCGGGCCGGGCAAGGTTGACTCAGTCTTTCATCCCTTCAGTGGGTCGATAAATGGGTGAACAATACAACTGAACACTGGGGGTTCCGCCTTCGGCTGACCACCTAACCGGAACATCTGCTTCTGCACCCCAGAGCCCAGGGTCAAGAAAACTGAGATGGGCACAGTTGGCCTTGGCCCTCTATGGGCTGTTGCGCCACTGAGTTNTTTTTTTTTTTTTTTTTTTTTTAGTTTAATCATGCGATATAACATCATTTTCAGTCAAACGTTTATACCAACAAGCCCATAGCCATCCGCGCCTTGAATTTGGAAATCTAGAGCTACATCAATGAAATTAGCACATTCATGCGTAATTGTCATCGAAATTTTTAACAAAAGAGTACTCTGAGCTAGCGAAACCGTGTGTGCCGTTTATCCTCTGTGCTGTTCCATACTTAACTCTATGCTGTATACTTTAGCATTTAATAAACATGTCTGAATCTTTAGTCAGAAATCTGTGTTTTCTATCAAAATTTTGGGACACTCTATGCTTAGAAATTTCACCTCACTCAAAGTTGTGACTTAATAGTTTTCAGGAATCAATTTCTCGAAAATTGTCAATTACTATTTTTTGCCTAAAAAATTTTAAGCACAAATTTTATGTAAGCATTAAATAAACTACTAATTGTAATAAAATATCCGAATTATAAACTTTTAGATCTGAGACTGATTTTCCAGAGGCATCTTTAAGATTCAGGTTAATACTAGAAGCTTATTGTAGAAGCTTACCGTCTCATTTAGAATCTCTTGAAAAACAAGTGGAAGCTTTAAGAAAGTTGAGATCTGCCAACAATGACGTGATGGGTAAAGTGTATGTTAAGAAGGTGAGTCACTTAGCTTGATTAAAAACTTTGTTAATAATAACATTAACACTATCTAAAACTTTAACAGTTTCTTTTCTTTCAATTATGAAAAATTTGATTAATTTATAAGATGATTGCTAAAGTTCGTACGTATTGAAATTGATTGAAATACAACATATTTTCATATTCATTCACTAACTGAATTTATTCTATCATATTCTATAATTATCTCTTAAAATTTTAAAACAATTTTGATTTTTTGTTTGAAGGTTTTTTTGTTGATACTCTTTTACCAAGAAAAAAGTTGAGTTGAGAGACACGAGTAATTTTAACTCGAACATGTTGAAAATAATGATAACATGTTAAAAATAATTTCTTAGATTTTAAAAAGTACAAATGGTTTAAGTATTTAAGAAAGTAGTTAGTTTTTTTTAAATAAAATGTTTATTTGATTATATCTCCCCTCTGATTAAAGTCATTAAAATCAATAAATAATTCACAGCTTTTGCATATTTTTATGAGCCCAAACAATATAGTGTTTGGTCACTGCACTGCAGGTGACCAGCAAAGCTGGTTTGCAGGTTATCTTGGCCTTCTGCGTAATAAAATATTCCCAGGTCAAAGGACCTCGGATTGTCCAAGGATCCAGGCCCATCGAACCCGGAACCAACGAGCCGCCATCCACAAGCCTTGCGTGAGGCTTCCGTGCATCGAGTGCTCAATTCTACAACCCTACAGACCCACTAAGCCTGTCTGTCAAGGTATGCTGAAAAGGAAGAGATTAGTACAACAATAATAAGAAAGCAATATTTAGTTAAAGCAATTAAAGTTAATCTAGTTTATGATGAGGTAAGCTAAGTTACTTAGTTAATTTAATTTAATTCTATAAGAAAAAGAGGAGAGAGTATACTGTTTTACGTAAACGTGAATCCAGAAGAAAAAAAAAGCAAAAGAGCTTTCGTTTTCCGTTTTGCCATGGTAAGACTAATGGCTGATTCCATGGAAATAGCCAGACACTTTCTGTGTAGTTCTATTACACCTTGTGTGATAGGACCAAGTGTAGTAGGACTACAGCAGCTTATAGTTGGAGATTTGGTGAATACGACACGAAAAAAGGAGAAAAAGAGGAATTTAAAAACGCCAGCAGATCTTGAGAGCATATTGGAGCATAAGCAATTAAGCTGTCATCCCCGGCGTACTGCCAGTTGATGAACATACCCTTTTCCCCAGTGAATTGAAAACTGGCCCACTTCCTCCAGACAGGTTTAACTTGAATATAATGTTTGGATAAGACTTTAAATATTGAAAAATTTAATCGAAACACTTTCTTTTTCATAGAGGGCAATAACTAAAACTTCGAAAAAAATTTGAGCTGTAAGATTTTACATCGATTTAATCTACGTAATTTTAAATAAAGAATCTGAAATTTGAAGGGAATTGATTAGATAGCTTTTAAGTAATTAAAATTTGAAAATACTGCTTCTTTAAAATAGAACTTTCAACAGCTATTTTGGTTTAAATTATTACGACCATACTTCTAAACTGTGCTTACTTTCATATTTTGAGAGTCAAGAATTGAAATCTGTCAAGAAAGGTAACTTTATTCATTTTATTTACGAAAACTTAACGTAATAGCCATTAATAACAGTTTCAAACTAATATTTCATAAAGATAAGAACCTTTGAAAAATAGCCCAAAGAAGGCCGTGAAGATTGGTTTTGCTTTATCAAAAATACTTTTTTGTGCATTAAAATAATTTTGCAGGCAAAAGAGTAAATGAAAAGGTAAATTGACAATTGTGGGTATAAAATAAATGGAGAAATTAATTTTTTTTTCACTGACCAAAATGTGGTCAAGTTGCTTGAATTTTAACATTTAATCAGATTATTTGTTCTTCACACTTTTCTGCAATCTCAATGTTATAGCAATACTTTTATTATTTATTTGCTAGATCCAGCACGAACTTTTGCAATCTAGATTTTGCAATGCTAGAATGCTGTATTCGAAATATTTTTTTTACAAATATATAAAAATTAGGATTGAGATTGTTTCAATCAAAGAAAAAATGTAGTACAGAACTTTTTAAATGTTTTAATTATATTCTTTAAAAACGTATTTTAAGACAGTAATAAATCAGTAATTTTAAAAAAATGATAACAAATTTCTGATTTAGTGCCATGGATAATACGACAACTTCGATTTTAAAAAGATGTCAAGAAACTATTTAGTACAAAATACGTATGCATATGCATATGTATGCAAATATTGTGCACGTTACTTCATCAAAAGCATTAAAAAGCTTTGTCAATTTTTTTATCAAAGATCATACATCAAAAATATGGTATATATGTCTCATATATTTTATCTCAAGGAGCTTAAACATGACAGCCTTTTTTAAATTTTTATACAGAAATAAATAATATGTTTGACAATCAATAAAAAGAAATTTTTAGATCCTTATTACAATAAAGATTCAATATTGCTAGTTGAGTTACTGTATATGGGGTTTAATCACGAAACGTTTGAATATTGAAAAAAAAACTATAAATGCCTCTATAGGTTTTGAACTGCTCTTAAGTGTGGCAGTATGTAGTTTTGAACATATTTCAAACTGATATTATGCTTGTATAGGTATTGAACAAACTTAACAAAAATTCAGCAAAATTTTAAAAAGCCTTAATTTCGCATGCATTAGGTATTATGAAAGCTCTATTTTAATTTTTGTAACATAAAACGTCATAATAAATAAAATAGTTTGATTATTATTGTAAAAACATCAGTGTGTGTGTGCAAGATGTTTCATTACGACTACAGTTAAGATAAATTTTTCAAAACATAGTAAAATATCTAGGGGAAAAACGCTCATTGGTTGCAAATTAATATTTAATAAGGAAAAACTTAGTTTTGATCAATAATTAATCCCCAATAAAAGCAAAGAAGGGATTAGAGTCATTTAAATTCAGGATATTTGTGGGTGAAACTTACAGGAATTTCCTAGCTAATGCGTTTCAATTTTACTTCATAAATAAATTGGAAGCTATTATTCTGACAGTTTAGCAGTCAAAAATTGGGGTCCCTTAATGTTAATTCCCATTCTTTCGCACTAAACAGTGGGAAAAAGTTGTAAAACCAAAATCTAAATACCAGGCCGAAAATTCATATATTATGCTCAAGATAAAAATTTAAAATCCGCCGATTAAGAAGGATATTTAATTAGATGATTTACGTTTTTATATCTGATATCGCGATTTAAAATATTCTCTGTAAAAATATTTTATTAAGGCCTATTTAATTTAAGCCCCTCCAACCTGCAAAATTGCATCTAAGTACGCAGAAATCCAACCATTTGATCAAAAGTTAATTGGATATATGATTTTTGTTTCTCACGCTGAATATAGTTTTCTATATTTAATTTTGACAAGGATTCTAAAATTAAGAGCGTTCATTACGGAAAATTCTCTATAAGTTACTAATATTGAAGTAAGTTGTAAGTTTTATTATTTTTTTAGGAAGGAAGGGAGAAACTAAAATCTAAAATTCAGAAGTTATTGGGTAAAAGTCATAAAAATCCTTTCTGCAATCTTCATAATCCTTTGGATCCCAGATTCAAATTTGGAAGAATCAAGTAAATATTTCTTCATATTTTTATTTTAACTAACTCATTACTTATTTCCTGGTAATTGATTTACTGTATGAACTTAACCAAAAATTTGATGAACTATTGGGTGACAACTTCTGACGCTCTTTAACTCTCGAAGATAGTTACGCAATCTTATATGATTTACTTTACAAACCGTGCAAACCTAACTTTGCAAACCTACTTTTGCAAACCTACTATGTAAAACCCATTTGAAATATGTATTTAAACAAAAAATTACAATTGTAAGTCAATTTTACGTAATTAAAAAAAATATTAAACTAAAATAAATGACATGCAATCGGAAACTTGCAGAAACAAAACAATAATTAAGCTTGTAAAAAACAATTGCTATTGAAGATTCACAACTTTGTACAAAATATAGTTTCAACTTTCAGAACTTTGAGCTGCCACTGTTAAATGATCGAACTATTCAGAAGTTTAACTGCATAAGTATAAATTAAACATAATATTGAACACTTTGTATGCTGATATGAACTATTCGCTTTTAACTTGTCAATTCTTCCAAACTTATTGATCAGTTTGTTCTGTCTTTCTTTGTTGTCCACTCGAGAAAAGAACTTTCATTCAGAAATTTATAAATATGTACGTTTACGCTGATGCTTATCACAGCTCACACGCTTGATATATCGATTTTTATTGCAAACACGAAAAAAAAATTGCTAACTTTCTTTGTTACTGTGTAAGAGAAATATATTTACGCAAAGTTTGCAAATTGAATTTTTCTATGACACTAAAATTTTAAAGACCAAGAATTTTTTTTTCGAACTTTAAATTTAGTTGGTAAAGTATAATTTGTTGAATTCTATTTCAAAAATTTTTTGAAATTGTAATAGTAGATTAACTCAGAAATTGTATTATTTTTAAGGCATTATAGAAACGCAAAGAAGAAAAAAAAATTGAGAATTTAAACCGAATTTTGTTTTTTTAGTGAAATTATACTATCGTTGTGATGCTTAGCAGGTTTTTTTGTAGAAATTCCATTATTCTTTGATTCTTTCAATCTTTTATTCTTTAAAAAAGTTATAGCTATCAACATAAAAACTAAAAAAACTTCCTTTAACCATGTGCCCCAAATACACTCGACATTTATCATAGGAAACGTTTAATGAAGATTAAAAAAACTCCACCAAATTTGTTAAATTTTAAATCTCTGCTATTTTGATTTATTTTTGACGAGAATTAAACAAGGCTCTTTCTTTGTGCATTTTAATGCGTTTTTACATACTGTTGATTTTGATCCGCCTGAAAAATGTCTCTTTTTTCATAGTTTTTGTTCTGCGAACTTTAAAAGAAAAATATTACCTAGAATAACTTTGGCCTCTAATGAGCAAATTTTCACATACTATGTGCCAATCTCAATATTCAATTAGTTATATTAATTAGTTAGTGCTAACTCTTAATTAAGTTATGAAATGGGATACACTTTGAATAAACATACCTTTTTTGGACATATTTGGATTCTTGAAATGAAATATGCAGGGGAGGGCAATTTGTAAACTGCGATTTCCAGCTTATGTTTACCTGGACTAAAGTTTATTTTATGTTTTGCTTATTTTGCTACGTCTTAGAAACTTCTGTTTTTAAGCAATAAAAAAACATACCCGCAATTATAAGACTCATTTACACAAAAATATTACTTTAAAAAAATAATAATTTGCAATAATTTTTCATCCTTTTTCATTATTTTATTTAATAACACCCAAAAGAATATTGTATTATAAGGTATATAAAATATTAAGCTATAAACGAGAAAATAAAAAGTTTATGCGAAGTCAATCGAACCTTGTAAAATAAAAATTTAAAAATACTACTTTTTTTAACTCAAAAACTACTCGACTGATTTCCGAATTTCGTATTTTAATATTTAACATGACATAGTTTCAAATGAAGCAAAAATTTGCATATCTAGCTATTTAAAACTCTTTCGGTTATTATTAAGCAAAGTAATTAGAAAAAATAGTTATTAAAAGTTATTTTTGCATAAATTTATCTTCGGAAAAACGAGTTTGTTAATTGTGTGCAAAACTTTTCGTAATACTTTGTGTTCAAAACTTTTTGTAACTTTTCGTATGACGACAAACGCAAAAAGTAAAATAACAATTGTTATTATACGATCCAAAATTTTAATACCCTGCCTTACTGAATTACTGAGACCATGCGTTCTAGATTGCAGCTACTTTATATCCCAATATTTTAACAGTCAAATATCCAAATTGGCTGGAAAAATAAAGGTACATTTATTAAGACAAAATGTGCTTTTATATCTGATTTCGTAACTCAATTCAAACTTAGAACTAATTATTTAGCATATTTAAAGTTCACCTAAGAACCTGTAAGTACGTGATAATTTGACCATTAGAATAAAAATTATTTACAGTTGTATTCTTTTTTTTTCCACTTCTTCATCGAGTCACTGTTCATTAAAAAATTATTCTAAAATTAAGTTTTTTTCCCTATTAATTAAGCAATTAATTTTTTATTTATCTATAAATATCTCAAAATAAATTTGTATTTATTAACGTTTTCCTTCATATTTAAATCCTATATCATGCCGTATAGCATGATTTCCCATTATTCTAAAAATAAACGTATGAACACGAGCTCCATTACCTATGCTTTTAAGAAGAAAAAAAGTTTATTCTTTAGCGTTAGCAAAGAATTGGGTTTTTAGCGTCAAAACAAAGCTCAACAATCGATTTTTTAGCATTATCGGATAAAGTTGTTGGTGAGCTAAATCGATAACTCTTTCCTACGAAAACCTTTTATCACTTTTAACTCCTTATATAATCATAGTCTTCATTTTTTTGTTTATTTCCCAAAACTAATTTAATTAAAAGTTCAATTTATTATCAAAAAGAAAATAGTCTGTTTGAAACGAGCAATTTTATTTGCGTATTCTGATAAATTATAGAGATTGTTTTGTAAGGAGAATTCAAGTAACAAATTTATTAATGAATACATAAGTTTTCTTTGGAATTTTTTAAGCGAATCAAACAATTTTTCCACGAAGCGAATCAAAAAATTTTTATTCAAAAATACAAATTTTTGCATCAATTTAAATTATGCAATTTTATACGGACAAAATATCAAACATAACCAAAATCGAATCTTTTATCGAATCGAATCGAAATTTTTAAAGGAAAATATAACATTTCTAATAATATATTGAACAAACAATGAAAAAACATGAATTTTTAAAATATTTCATTAGCGTTTCCCCTAGCGCTTTTCAAATGAAAATTCTTCATGCAAATCTGTTGCCGTAATAACCATTTTCAAGGTTTATTCTTCAGTTTTTAAGTTCTTTTTAGTTTTCATTTCGAAATAAACCATAATTCGGCTTATTTTAATCATTTTCAGCTTATATATATACACCAGAAACAAGTTCATAACTAGCTATATATGGCACAAGTACTACAAATTTAGCTGTCAGACATAAAACCTCATTTAAGATTATTAATGATAAAAAAAAAATTCATTTACATAATTAAATATTTAAAATAAATTCCTTTATAGGTTATAACGTATACAATTACATTAAACTTTATATTTATAAAAATGGGGTTCTGCCGAAAGAAGGTTGCAGCCGCAAAAAATTTTGAACCGCTGAGCTAGAGCACTCAAATTTCTACTTTGGAACCCTGTGCCTGATGACAATATAAGTTTTAATCGTTTTCAGACCGTTACAAGTGTGGATTTACCGTCATTCCAGACCTTTTTTGACTAACTGAATTGCTCATAATGTCTACTCTTTATCTGATAACAATACAATTTTCAAACGTTTCCTAACTGTTGGGAGTTGAATTTGTCGTCATTAAGTTCATTTATAATTATTAGGCGCAGACGAAAAAGTTTTATCAGTTCTGCTCTTCTGGAACAAGGCTGAACTAGATTATAACTCTGGGTGTTTTAAAAACGATAGTGCTGATAATTTGCACCAAAAAAATTGAACCAGTTATCGTTTGTACATTGTTAAATGCTACTTTATTTTGAAAGAAAGAATTAAACTCATTAATTTTACAGAATTTGCAAACTTTGCATGTTTTTTTTTTAATTATATTTCCTGATAGCAGATTTTATTTAATTTCCTTAACGGAATTTTATTTCGACTGATTATGACCCGTCCGTCCCGTTCATTTAAAAGATATCGAAAACAAATCTGTTGCTTTCATATGTAATTCAGAATTATATTAAATGAAATAGGGTAAAACTACGAAGATAAAAATAAAAACCAAGCCAACTCGTATCAAATTTTTCAAAATTTATCCGAAAAAGCGATCGTTGTGGCTTTGATATTTTATAATAAAATTACTAATGTGTTTTTCATATTTTATAATATATAATGTACAACACTTATTATCAGAAAGTACAAGCTCGTCAACGGTCGTATGTACCTTAAAACGACAATAAACGAAGTTTTATATTAAATGCATATTCTTGTGCATAACGATTAGGGTAAACTTTTGTTTAAATAAAAATAAACACAATAACTAAACATATGACTTAGGGAATAAAAAATAAAAAAAACTATCTTTGGTTCTAATTTATGTAATACCTATTTATATAATTAAATTATCATTTGTATTATCAAATTCTGTAACAATTAGGTTTTATCAAATGTAATCGATTTCCTTTTTTCCCCTTGCCTTTTTTGCTGTTTATTCACTTATTCACCCAGTCAGGCATCTTGGGGATTTTCGTTAAAATTTAAGGGGCTTATAATCGGTATTTTATAGTATTTTTTATTCTTACTGGGAAAAAATGCATGATTAATCGGAATTTCGACATGCCGGTAAATACAATTTTTGAGCCCTGCGTATACACTATAACTTAGTTTTATATATTTTTTGAAAAATAAATAATTTGACTTTCTGAATTTATTGCTTCAAAATTTTGAGACAACAATTCGCTTTATTATAATTCTCTTAAAATTTTTAGAATCGAAAAATGTAAATTCCTTGATTCTAAGATGAGACCATTGTGGTTGGCATTTGAAAATATCGACACTTATGGGAAGGATGTCTTCCTCATATTCAAAAATGGAGACGGTAATATAACTTTCCTAATTGTTATGAATATTTTCATTTTCAAAAAATTTTTGAAGATAAAATAATAAATTTTATGTGTCTCTTTAAACATACATATTTAAATTAAAACAAATTTTTCATAGTCATATAAGAGATAAGACAGAGTAGCTAAGATTCGAAAGCCTGATGGAACTAAAGTATTCGCCCTATACGCTGTCAAGACTGAATTAATATTCATTGTTTAGTTGTGTGCAATATGCCACTCCAGAAAAGTTAGAGATGTAATATTTTTTTAATAAATAATTTTCTTATACAAAAAGTTAAATTACCACTAGTGTACAAAAGTTACTCCACTAGTAGGATAAAACCGGGTATACTCGTTGACTCTTAGGGAAATTTAGAAATACTGGAACTTTAGTGAAAAAGTAACAGACATTTTTTTAAATGACAATTTAAGAAAAGTGTACATGAAGCGTACTGAAAGGAAGGGAGAGGAAAACTAAGTCTCGGGTCTGCTAAAGGCACGACCAAAATATGTTCATTAATTAGTTTGCCTGTTTTTTTAAGAAAATTGCAAAGAATTTCTTATAAAAGTTACTATTTAAGTTTTAAGGGTTTTCAAAAATTTTCGAAATGAACTGAACTGAATTTCGAGTGAATGAAATGTACATACACCATTGTAAATTTTTTTTCTTTCCGGATTTCTGCGCATTGCTTTACATTTTTCTCATGTTCTACGTCTTTGATCATAATCCTGGATGCTTTTAATTTTGGAGTTAAAATGTTATTAAAGATTAAATTTCGCATCTCTTCCTTATTATCTTTGACAATTGACCTATCTAAAATACAAAATTTAATACACGCAACCTATCACGCCAAAAATTCATCATACATTCAACGGCAAGTGCTGTTTCAGATGGTGTTTCACATGTTAAATATGCTCAGATCTAAAACATTTTTTAAGGAACAATTTGTCTTAACTAATTGCACAGTTTAATATGAATCACATTTCCATGTCTCTTTGAAAATTATTATTTTCTCCCGCAGATCTACGGCAAGACATGCTTATTTTACAAATGTTGCGTATAATGGATAGGCTATGGAAAGATGAAGGGTTAGATTTCAGGTAAGCATTCAGTCAATTTAAGTAATACGGCAAAAATAACATAAAACCTTAATTGTTTGTAGCACAAGTTTTCAGTTACTCTTATTTTGAAATCCATTAAAACATTGGCTTAAAAATTATATAGCTTTCGATAAATTTATTTGGTACCGCTTGCTGTTGTTACATTCAATGCGTATTATATATACTATTGTAATTATTTTCTACCTAAAGCTTAACACAGCACAACATATCTGTTTTTTTGTACCATTATNAAGAGCTAAAGCAGAAGCATTTTTGATCATTTTTAAAGAAGTTATGACACTTTGAATTTTGCCATTTTTTTTATAAGTTTCTGGGTGTACTGATACTTTTGAGCGGTACTGTATATTGTAATTACTTTCTACCTAAAGTTTAACACAGCACAGCATATCTGTTTTTTTGTACCATTATGCGTATTCGTAAAGTATCCGCTTTTTGAACAACAATGTCAATTAACATTCATATCCGAATTGTAATGACACTTCTACTTTGTACTGACAAATTGCACTTTTTCCTTCCTTTTGTTTTTGCATTAGATTTAATTTCTAGGGCTGTTTAATTTTATTATTCTAAGAACTAAAATAGATTGTTAAAATTGCTTTAAAAAACGTTGCTTGGCGTAGCATTGCCGCATTCGGCTTTTGCAGCATCAATCTAGTTTTTTGTGAATATTTTTAATATTATCATTACTTCATGTTGTATTTTAAATTTTCTTTTCTAGAGAACTATTTGACCGATTCCATTCAAATTTTAAAATTTGTCATTTAAAATTACATAGTAGGAGGCAAATATTTGAGTACATTTCTAAATTGTTTCACCATTCTTAAAACGAATAGTAGAAATTTATAAATAATACTTCTATTTTTAAATATTCAGATAAACGAATTTTATAATTGTGTGACAAAACCATTTGATTATCTTAAACTGTTCAAGAGATCTGGTGAAATACATACATAGTGAAATTAACATTAATCGGCCATTAAAGGCCTGGAATCCTTCCCCTTATGCTTTAGGTGTCAAACATCAAAAGAAAAGGCATGCTTTTCGTAGTATATAACTAAGTTTTTGTGTCGAATTTCGTTCCTTAAAATATCGTCTGCCAAAGAATTTTAGTATATTTAAGGTTAGTCTCTCGAAAAAATAAAAATCTAATGATAAGATCAGTTATTTAATTGTTCTTTTTTTACTTTAGCTTAGTACATATATCACATAGACTCTGTCAATGCAGCAAATTAAAACTAAATAAAGAAAATCAGATCAAAATTTTCATTCTCAGAAGAAGAAAAAATGTGTAATATTATGTGCCGTAGACTAATCAAAAAATACAGCGCTTAATCATTGATGTCGGTATTTTCCAGATACTATAATGTGTAAGTTTATTGCTGTCAGTCTATATGCCTTTAGGCTAATTAAAAAATGCGTAAAGAACTACTCAAATGGACTTTGATCAGGCTTATTGCAATAAAACTTCGCTTTATTAAAAACTCCTTCAAATAAATCAGGGTAATTTTGAAATTAGTGATATATTTTTTTAATTACCCTACAGGTGCGTGGGCTCTCTGCAATGAACCTAAAAAGTATCATGTTGATTAAAAAATACTTTTCCAATATATAGCCTGGTGAATTAGTAAATAACGGAGGTTGTTATCAAAGAGCAGGTTTGTTTAATTAACTTAAGACAAATGTTCTTAAAGTTAATACTATATACTATAAGTATTTAAGAAAGTTAATATGGTAAAACAGCAATTGTATTTAAGAATCAAAAGCGTAGAATCACTGTAAAAGAAAATCAAAAATTGATCATATTAATAAGTAAACTTAAGCTCGAAATAACCTTGAATATTCCACGGGTTTATTAACTATACCAATGATATTTATTTACAATAGAATGATACCTTATCAGTGTATGGCAACGGGACACAAAGTTGGTTTGATTGAAGTTGTTCCAGACAGTGACACCATTGCAAACATTCAAAAAGAGAAAGGATTTACTGCCACTTCCGCCTTCAAAAAGGGGTCTATTTTATCGTGGCTGAAGGATCATAATCCGGATGACATGAGGTATTAGTACACTCTTTGATATTCTGCTGATCAGATCTGTTGTTGGAAATTGCTTACAATATCTTTCTTTGCATATTTGAAGCCTGAGTAAAGCTGCAGAAGAATTTACTTTATCATGTGCAGGATATTGTGTTGCAACTTATGTTCTGGGGGTGGCTGACAGACACAGTGATAATATTATGATCAAGACAAATGGTCAGGTAATACTTATTTTTGTTTTTTAAGAAAAGTCCTGGCTGTGTCCCTAATATAATATAATTTGAATTAAAGCATGTACGATATTCAGGAGTACAAATTAAATTATTCAGCCAAAGGAGAATACAAAATTTAGATACAAAATTCCGAAATGCAATTTCTAAATTCGAGAACAAGAAATAAATAATAAAATTACATATTTATTTAGCATTTCGGCTACCTTTATGATTTATTTAAAGTGGCATGCCAATGAAAAAGAAAAGTTTTTTTTAAAATATAATTTTTTTAAGAGCAATAGAATAAACTTTAAATTGGAGATGCATTTATAATAAATTGCATTAGTATTCCCCATAGCACTTTTCAAATCAAAATAAAATAACGACCAGATTTGTTAATATATTTTCCGTAATAATCACTTTCTACGTTTATAGCAGATATTTTTAGTTTTCATTTCAACGAAAACCATTCATTATTCATTTTTAGTACTGCGAATTCCAATGTCGATCACTAATAACAGGACGATGAAAAAATGTCATTCCTTTTATTAATTTTTTTCGAAATAAAGTAGTCCTTTATTGGTTAATACGTAACGTACACAATAGTCATTTAATACTTTAGAAATAAAAGTCGGGGTTCCTCCCAGAGAAAGTTAATCATTTAGGGTTCCATAACTACAAAATATTGGGAATCTCTTGCCTAAACCAACATTTCCTTCATTGTTTTCAAGCATGACTCAAAATATTTTTGACAGTCACAGAATCAATGATGATTACTTTAAAAAGGTTTTAAATATTATGAACTACACTCGTTTTTATTTAGGAAAGCGTACTGTTGCATTTTCCATTACATTTTCTTCGTTCATCCTTTGTAAAGTACATTTACCTTAAATTATGCAACTAAATTTATTTCTCATTCAATTTGTTTCTTACAGTTATTTCATATTGACTTTGGACACATTCTCGGAAAATTCAAAGAAAAATTCGGTATTAAGCGTGAAAGAGTGCCATTTGTCTTAACTCATGATTTTGTATACATTATCACCAAAGGACACACTCAAAAATCTCAAGAATTCACCAAGTAAGATTATGTCAAATATCACTTATTAATTTCAAACCTCCTTTGTCCATAGTATTGTTTTTTTTTCTTCACAATTTCAAACTCTCTCTTTCTTCAGATTTCAGCAATACTGTGAACGTGCCTTTATGATCCTGCGACGCTGGGGTCCATTGGTCATTTCACTCTTTGCCATGATGTTGTCCACTGGCATTCCAGAACTTAGCAGTGAGAAAGATCTAGATTACCTGAGGGAAACGTTGGTTCTCGATATGTCGGACAACGATGCCCTCAAGCATTTTCGTCTGAAATTTGATGAAGCTCTCAAAAACAGTTGGAAAACTAGTGCGAACTGGATGGCTCATAATTGGGCTAAAGACAATAAAATGTCTGACTAAAAACCACAACAATGGCTGTGAGTTACATTTTCTATAGTTTATCATTGAGTGTTAGTTTCTTGAAAACCATTATTTTGTATATTAAAGGTTATTCATCATTTCATGTACTCAGCTATATCTATATAACACTTGATAAGCATCCGATAAATAGGCAGGAGATTTTCTTCTAACAACATATATAACATAATACATATTAAGCAATAATATATATATAACAGTTTCATTATTGCTATCAAGACAATGGACAACAATTATTAAACACTAAGGAACACACAAGGAATACATACGTTCCATACTGAGAGAGAGGAAAACTGAACTTTTCATTTGAAAAGAGAAATTCCCAGATCTTAAGAAAAATAACCCTGAAGAAGCGTCTCTAGGCAGCAGTAAACATGTTAGCTACATATGCTAATACTCTAATTGTTTTAAAATAGGTGAGCACAACCTGTGGCCCATATGAGGCCCACCGACTGCTGATGTGCTGCCCAATTTTTCAGTCAACACTTTCAGTTATTGCTACAAAATTCCGCATCCCAGTATTTACGATGCGCGAATTTCGAAATTTGAGAAATCACTTTTCGACTCGCTTTATTTTTACCGACTTCATCGTAAATCCAAGTGACGTTTCGATCGTTTTTTGGAATTTATAACTACCAATTGCCACGTGGTTTTTAAAATTCCAATATATTCAATACGATATTACAATTCGTGAATTATGAATCACGCATTTAATTGATTACTTTTTGTCGTGCTTTGTGCTAATTTCATCGTAAATCTGAATGATTTTTTTTCCTTCTTTTTTTAAAATCTTTGCTACGTTTTTCCACGTGATTTTGAAGATCTCGTATTTTTACTACGATATTATTGACTTGTGAGTATCAAATCCCACAATTAAATACTTACTTTTTGACGCGCTTTGTTTTTGCCAATTTCATAGTAATCCAAGTCATTTTTCAATCATTTTTTCGGCAGTTTTAGCGATGCATTCCCACGTGGGTTCAAAAATTCTGATATTTATTTCTACATACGAATTTTAAATCACGGATTTAAATAATTACTTATTTGCGATCTTTATTCTCGCTAATTTAATCGTAAATGTAAGCATTTTTTTTTCTCTTTTATTTTTTTAGAATTATTGCGATGCTTTTCCACTGCAACGTTTATATAAAAAAATATATTTGCCACCGATATGACTAAATATGCGTGTGGCCCAACCTGCTGTGCATGTGGCCCTTCATTCAAAAAGGTTGTGCACCCCTATTTTAGAACATAAGATTTTACAAAAATACAGCGGTTAGAAATGTAAAGTATTTCTTTCAATTACGTAAGGGATCTTAGCTTACCAGAAAAATTGGTTTACTTAAAAATGCAAATTTCCAAGTTAGTTTCAATAAGGAAAATGTGCAATGGAATGAAACTAAATATTTATATACTTCGATTTTTAAAAGTTATAAAACTCTCAATACTTTATAATGATCATAAACAGTAGTTTAAAAATGAACATCCAATATATCGATTCCCATTATTAACGATTTTGATTAATAAAAATAATTTGTTCTATCAGTGTTTATGTAAAAAATGATATTTCATAACAAAATACCTTTACTTTCAAAAATAATTTATTTTATCTTTAAAGCCACACACACATTAAAGCACACTATGTATCACAACTTAGTCTACTTTCATAATTCCATAAATATTACTAATAAAATTAATTAAAAATATCATGTACAAAAGTATTGAATACATAAAGATGCTTTTACATTTACATTCTAACTTCAGTTCATTCAATATCACAACATATTCCTTGTAAGAATCTTAAAGGATATTTACATATAAACAACATTCAAGCAACCTTTACCTGAAGAAAAAAAAATTAAACAGTTTTGTGAAGTGATGCACAAAAACCACATAAAAATGAAATTGGCATAGAATATTGGACAGATTCTGTGAATCTATTTGAAAAAAATCTTTCAATTTTTCAAAATATATTATCTTTTTATAACAAATTAATTTCGAATTTAACAAGATCTTTCGAAAAATTTGTGAAGCAGCTTATATAATTTCTTCAGTTTTTTTAAAAAAATTATTATTATTGGTTTAACATAAGGCCACATAATCTGTGGTCTTTAAATGGTCCATGTGTTTGATCCTAGGCCTACCAACTGAAAAGTGGAAAAAACTAAGAATAGAAAGATCATTGTTTTTCAAAATAATTTATTTAAAAAAAACAGCCATATTCTAAAATGTCAAAATACTGATTTATGATGTTCAGATTTAAATTGTTCATCATTTCTTTTAAAAATGTAATTTAGGGATTTAAATACAGTAAAAAAGTATAAGTTTTTCTACAGAGAAAATTTAAAGCTTGCCATAATTTTAATTTATTCAAAACTTCAAATTTTTATTAATTCAGAACATATTATTGATTTAGTTTTTATTACACTAAAGAATAATTACCTCATTGTTAATTGATATAAAAACTGAATATATTGGGTCTTTTTTTTTCTTTGGCTCTCTTCAGTAAAATGTATCCCAGTCTAACAGCCTTTTTAAAAGTAAGTAACTAGGTACACATAAAATATTTGTAACGAAATCAGGGAATTCCACACCAGAAAGTTGAATTAGGTAATAGAATTAACCCCATTTAATATAACAATTTAACTATGTTTTTTATATTTACAAGATACACCGAGATGCCGAAATAAAAAAAAATGTACATTTTAAACAGGATAATAACTGAATTTAAAAAAAAATCTTTATAAATCAAGTATACAGGATTGGCAACATTTAAGACTATATATATATATACACTATGCTATATTTAAAATCTTATATCAAATAGAAATTCAATAAACAAATGGAAACTTTAAGGTTTAAAAAAATAGTTTACTAACCCTATTATGTAAACTAAAGTTATTCATAATGTTTTTTTTAATAATTTTAGAAGGTATTGCTTAGTGTAAAAAAAATTCAGATACCTTGAATGATGGTTCCAATGTTCCATAATTAAATTGATAGTAATAGGGTTCCATAATTGGTTCCTTTATATATATTTTTACAACAGAATTTTTTATATGTTTTAAACAACAAAAGTTACATAAAGAATTTGATATCATTTAATAAGAAAATATTCTAAAAAATATTTTTTATAAGCTTTCAATCTTTAACTAATATATCATTTAAAATATTTTGGCAAAGATATTTTTAATAAAAAATTAAAGAATGTATTACAATAATTTAACAAATTTCCTATATTTACATTGCACACTGAGACATTGAAATAAAATATTTATCGTTGTACAAACTTGATATTTTTTACATCATCTATTTTAACATTATAAAAAACTGCAATTTGTATTTACTCAATAGCTTACATTTAATTATTTGCAAGCCTACCTGTATGACTAAGTATAAAAGAGCTGACACAGTATAAGTTTGAAATGAAAAATAGAAATAAATATATATTGATAGAAAACTTGTTGCTATCATATTAAAAACAATTTAAAATACATATAAACTCTAACAATTAACACCTACAAAAGGAATAAAAAAATTAAATAGTCGATTCCTTTAAATTAGTCTAAATATAGAATAGGAATAGATTATTTACATGAAGGCATTTAATAAATAAATATGTTCGATTATAATCATGATGGGTTAGAATGTATTTTTGATAAATCATGAACAGCATCTTTCAAGGCAATTGCCAGCTTTTGCTCACGGTTATTTTCTGGTAAATGGACCAAGACTTGATCAATAAGTGTTGCAGTCAGATTTAGAGGCACATTGTTGCATCGTAAAGTAATATCACCCTAAAAGAAAATATTGAAATTATAGAAAAGATCATTCAAAATTTAACAATATGAACTACTATGATTTAAGTAAAAAATACAAGTTCTATATCATGACAAGCATTGATTTTAGTAAGTTATAAAGGTTGTTTCACTATCAGACCTATAGGAGGGGGAATAGAGACTAATCCGAATCAAATTGCCATAGTTGAGAGAACACAATGGGACAGAAAACATTTTATTGAACAGTTGTACAACAGAAGATGTTTGAAATTGTGACCAGAAGTCATCAGGCAGGCTTGACAGCATTGCTGCTGTTCTGGAAGATTCCTGGCAGCTACAGACACTTGAGCCATGAGGTCTTTTAACTGAATCAACAAGGGTCTTGTATCACTTTTCATTTGACCCCAGAAATGTTCCATGCATACTTGTTACAGTAATCTGGTAGGCCAATGACCCAGGCTAGCAGGACCTATCCACCACTTTCCAAAGGTTACATTGAGGTATCGGCAGATATCATTCATGGAATGTCCTGTTGGTGCCACACAGAGCAGGCCTACCACAGTCTAACAACCATTGTGCCATGAAGTTCGGGCAAGACTTGTTGAAGGAAGATGCATGTCCGACTGTTCTAAATGACTGAGCAGAAGGTACGGTTCAATGAGGCAGTCTCCTAGAATGCCAGCCTAAACACTGACCAAGAAATGCTGTTCAGCTGTACATGGGGGGTTCACTCATAGGTGTTTTGTTGATTGAAGGCTCCTTCAATAAACAAAAAGGATGCAGCACTCTGTTGCAAGAACCGTGTAGCAAATGCCCTCTGGAGTGGATAATTTTCAGTCAGTAATGATTGTACTAATTGTACCAATTGATGAAGGTATGCTCTCATTTGGTTTGCTGCAAATATCCTCTAGGCAGTGCAGTGAGAATAGACCACATTCTAGAGTACTTGTGCTTAGATTATCTTCTCATTGCCAAATGTCCTCGTCCTTTGTTCTCGATTTATTGTAGCTCTCATTAAACAACCAATCTCACATAACCATCTGTTGACACTTTTGAAGGTTATGTGATGGAGAGAATGTCTGTGTAGGTACCATTCCTAGTTCAACCAACAATGGGCATGCCAGTTAAGGTTTGCAGCTTCATATATGATCAACATATTGACCAGTTCATCCTACTACCCTGGAAACCAAATGGCAAATCACTGCTTCCAGCATGCTTGCTGTTCATGCAACCCTCACTTTACTGCCATCTACAGAAAGACTGCCGAGAGGATGCAAAACAGGCCAGGAATTCCATGTCGCACTGCTGTCTGATAGCTTCTTGATTTAATTTTAAGGATGAAAATTAAAGAAAAAACATAGTCCTTGAAAAATGTACACTTATTAGTATGTGTCACTTGACATTTTTGTTGCAACCTGTTTTTTATAATTTCTTCTTTTTTAACCTAGTATACATACCTTTTTATTCTCTAAAACTGCAGTTAATGGATATACAGTTAATAGGTTATACATCTTTGAAAACTGCAGAAAATTTCATTACAACTTCATAATATTCTATATATTCTATAATTAATTCTTAAATATTCTATAGTTATTTTATGGAGTTNATACCTTTTTATTCTCTAAAACTGCAGTTAATGGATATACAGTTAATAGGTTATACATCTTTGAAAACTGCAGAAAATTTCATTACAACTTCATACCCCTGTTTTAAATATTCTATAGTTATTTTATGGAGTTATATAAACTTTTTTAACTAACAGCACACAGCAGAGGATAAAAGAAATATGATTTCTTTTATTCATTGTATACATTGGTGTGGTATATGAGAGATTGATGCTCTTGTAGAAAATTTTGTTTCTTGTAATTAAAAATTTTAAACATATGCGATTTTTTTCTCCTTTTAGTACTTTTTAAAACTAATGAATCATACTGTTATGATTATTCTTTTAATAAATATTAATAATGCAAATAATATCTGTAGTTTTAGGTTCTCAAGCTGCTAATAAAACCTATGAAAAATGCAGCTTCCAGTGAATTTAAATAAAAGAAGTTGGTGAACATTGATTTATATCTTACTATTATTCAGTAAAAGTGTTTATTCCAATTAAGTACATCAAGCAAGAATGAAATTTTAATTTCTAAAAGTTGTCAAATTTAGCAATAAAGTTAGTTATTTGGTAAAGCTTTTAGAAAGGGCATGAAGAGGTGATAAGTGCCTCACATATATCACTTATTATTTCATACTTTTCTATAAATTTGTTGATTTTATATTAAATAAAGTAGTGGATAATTAGATTGATTCAAAATTGTGAATAAATAACTAAGTTATTACTTTGGTAAATAAACTGAAAATGGTGAATAAATTAATATTCTACCAGAGGAACTAAGTGAAAAATTAATATTAAAGGAATTTAAAGAACAAACAGNTAAATAAAGTAGTTATTTATTCACAATTTTGAATCAATCTAATTATCCACTAAGTTATTACTTTGGTAAATAAACTGAAAATGGTGAATAAATTAATATTCTACCAGAGGAACTAAGTGAAAAATTAATATTAAAGGAATTTAAAGAACAAACAGTTCAGAAAAAAATCAATGCTAGGGGAAAAAAGTGTTTTTTTTTTTTTTTTAGAAATACTCTACATTTAAACAAACTTACCAATTTCTTTAAGAATGTCGTTACATCTGGAGTCATACAACCCAGGCTTCTAGCAGGATCTCCACTTTCAAAGATAAGTTTATTAACTCTTTGTCCTGCTAAAAGAAGAAGTTGAGAAGCTAATACTGATTTATCATTCACAGGGGTTTGTACCTATGGAAAAAATAAAGTATATCTTTTAAAAGCACTCTAAAAGAAAACATGTAACAGAAAAGTTGAACAATACAAAATCGATAATTAACCCCAGATTAATAAATATTCATGGGAGAAGTTCATATTTTTATGTTTTTCACTTTAAAAGTAAGAAGTAATTACTCACAGTCTGCTAGATCAATGTCACACTAGCTTCATAGACGTTTAAAAAAACAAACAAATGCTTACTCTTTGAAAGCAATCACTTAAATCCTTTTTAAGAGTTTTTTTTTCAGTAACGAACCCCTCACAGGGTTAAAATACATACAATTAGGTCTAGACCCTGCCTAGTGAGACATGATGTTCATTGGTTCATCAATTATTGTCAAAAAATATTTACATTGGGGAATACAAAGTAATATTTAAGCAAAACACAAAACAAATCTCTCAAATCATTATTGAGATTACATATAACATGGAAAATCAATATATCAAAACCTGCTTGATTGCCAGTTGAAACTTCAAGCCATTTTTTAAAAATCTTTTTTTAACTTCCCTGTTTTCTCACACAATCAAACAGACTTTCATGCTCATTTTCTCAAAGATTCTAAAACTATATATTAAGGTCCCTTTCTTACAGAATCATTATGGCAGCAATTAAGCTTGAAATCAAAATTGCTGGATACACTATTGTAAATCGCAGCAGATCAGCAAAATTTATGGTCTCATCTTAATCTGATCACTACTTAAGTAATGGAATGTTAATGAAAATGAACAATGTTTATGAAACAATTTTTTTCCTTTTGAGCAAAGCAACTTACAACCCAGCTTCTTCACCTGTTGAATGCCTATTAATTTTTGCAGGATAAATGGTAACTAGTCAATTATACCAAATCTAAAAGCTTTTGAAATCAGTGTTGATAACTATTTTTTCAGTTTTGGAAAATAGTGTTGTTTTATGACTTATCTGTAAACTCTTTCACAAATCAATAAACTTGGATTAGTAAGAAACCTTCTGCTTCATCAATATGTTTTATCTTTTTAGCCATTACTATTAAAAAGGAGACAAATGTAAAAACATCTAAACTAAGTGCCAGTTAAAATGAAACTGATTTTTATTTATAAATCTTTTTTTCAAATTTGCAAAATCTGAAAAGAAAATTATTTTATAACTATTGTGAAAAATCTAAATTTTTAAAGATTAGACTTAGTAAAGACTTTATTATTCCATAAATTAAAATCTGCAATGAGACATAAATTTGACTATCCAAAGACAATATCACAAGACATTTTTCACAGTATAAGTCCTACCTCAAATTTAAACTTCAAAATGGAGAAGTTAGCCATTGTATCAATTATAAACATACATATAAATAGGCATGAAATGGCATCCAACAAAATGCTATTATTAATCCAAAAAAAAATTAAAAACAAAGACATTTTCTTATTGCTTTTAAAAAAGAACATTGAAAAGATTTTCTATTCAAAAACATATCCTTGATGGTGTTAATGTATTGTGGCAGTAAACAAAGTGCATAGTTAAATTGAGAATAAAAAAAATGAAATTCCATCACTTTTTTAATTTTACTGCTACACACAACAACGCTTATTGACAGACAAATTTTGATGATACTGTATTTTAATGCAATTGAGACATTTCAAACCAAGTCAAATAACGTACGCTTGCTTCTAAAAAGATAAATATTTGCTATAATAGGTGCTATGATGACCTTGTTATATAAAAATTATGATTGTATTACATTTCAAGTCTTTGTATTTATCTTACAGATGAGGAAAATGTTTGAGATTGTTTCAAGAGAAAAAGATCTTTGAAATAGTTGAGGGATTGACCACGTCATAAGTCAACTTGCAAGCATAAATCCTTAGGGGCTAAAAAAGTACTCACAGTTAAGGGTTTGACCACAGTATAAGTAAACACCCAACTCGAATTTTTAAGCACTAAAAAAGTCGCAAAGTACTTATACATCTTAAAGTATGGTAACTACTTACATATTATTATATTGAGTGGATTAGGTAAAAGGTAGAAAGAAAGAAGCACTTACTTCTTGAGCCAAGTAATCATGTCCTCCTGAATACAATTCACACACATAATGACGCCTTACTTCATCTAAATCTAAATCCCAGCCATTTGCCAATTCAAGTATACAGTTAAATCTTTTACTAGCAGCAGATGAAGCAGCAGGGTTGATAGCAGCTACAGTGATTTCGTTAGCATTAGAAGATTCAGGTACATTTTCAGATAAACCTTGAACAACGGCTGATGTTGCTCTCAATAAAAACTGAGTTCTATTAGTTTGCAATGTAGAATCAATTTTCCCAGTTTCCTCTTGAGCATGGTAACTAAGTTCTCTGAAGAAATACTTTTTAACCTAAATAAATAAAATTAGAAATTTTAATAGTCTGCACTTGACATTTTTAATGACTTTTAAGTAAGTACCCTAAATTTAGCATCAAATTTTTCTAAAAAAAAATATTTGAATTCCCCACTAATATAAATCTGACTAACACAAATTTTATTTTATCACTATAAGGGTAAAAATTAAACTGAGGATGGCACTCAGAGACTCGTAGTTCTACTAAACAGAATGACTGTAACCTTAAATACATGCTATGTAGATCATGTAGCGGAGATTTTTGTTAGAAAAATATAATTTGAATATTTGCCAATAAATGGTAATGTAACAAAGTTACAAGTTAAAATATCTAAGAATCACAGAATATTATATTTACTCAAACAATTGCTATTGCAGTACAAAACCATTAATTGACAAAATTGTAACACTATTTTTTTTTCTGATTGAAATATATTTTTTAAGATATATTCTAAATAACATATATTTGAAGTTTCATTCAAATGCATAAAAGCGGAGCTAAGGGCCTCTCAGTACCGTCGATAAAATTTTAATAACTGTATATTTAAGTACACTTGCAAAAACAATTTCCCTTTTCTTTTCTTTTTTTTTATGAAATTGTAATGGCAAATTTTTTGTGGCTAAGCTAAGAATGAGATTCTAAAATACTATCTTTCCACCAATAAGATAATTAATACAAGCAAAAACTTTAAAAATCAGTGCTATAGTGTTTATGAATGAAGCTCAAAATACATATATTGTGAATTTTAACAAGAATTTTCAACACATTTATATCCAAAATTATAATTACTAAATCAAATTTTCATTGTATTTAATTGAAGCAAAGAAATCGACCAAACTGTTTATCATTTGTAGACACATTAAATTTTAATCAATGGAAGCAACAAAAAAAAAACGTAAGGGTAGCAAAATCATCAAGTACCATTGAATTGTAAAAGTTATGATTTTTAAAATCATCAGTTATTTTGGAACATCTGGAAGAACATTTTTATCTCACATGTACGTAGTTTCTAGTCATTATGCTTTTAACATAAGAGAAGACAACCATCTTTTTTTTGCCTCAAAAACAAATCACAGTTGCAAGTTGGTAAAGCATTACCAATTAATTTAAAGTAATTAGAACTATCAAAAAATAAATGTAATTAAAAAGAAAATTTTTTAAAAACAAGGAAAAAAATTATAAATCAAAATGTTATTTATAAAACAAAAACAATTTTGAATTTAAGTCTAAAAAAGGTTCTTACCGAGTTGCTAAAAAGGCTTAATGGTTTAACGTTTTTCAATTGAAAAGTCACAATTAAATGAAGAACAGTAGACACCATCAAATGTAAATAAACTTGTTGATTACTTGGAGCTTTTTGATTCAAGGCCATAGTAATTAGTGGTACATGGCCTGTACTTTCATGCCCCTGCCAAAATATTTCTACACCTAAGTTAGGTTTTTCTTCAACTTCAGCAGGAATATTAGTCTAAAGTAAAATTTGAAAATTAGGGAATTTTCTCATCAATTTTTATTCAAATCTAAAATATTAAAAAAAATCCAACATATATACCTCTAATATAATGTTTAACAATTGGCAACAAAATTCTAAGAAATCTTCCAGATGATTGTCAGCCATTTCTAAATCCTGAAATATAAAATTTTTCAACAAATGCTCTATGCACTGAAAAAAATTATATCCTACAATGTATGTTTGTAAAAATAACCAATAATATAAAGATCAAAAATAAAAAATAATTAGGGTGTGTCTCTTTTGATTTTATCAACAACCATTGTGATCATTAGAAATGAAGGAAAAATTAATTTAAAAAAAAAACAGTGTTAATAATTAAAAATTTATTTCTTGAAAAATTATAACATAATATTATGTAAATTAACATTGAAACATACAAAATGAAATAAAATTTTACTAACTTTTCTACAGAGTCTTTCTTTAGGAGTTTTGCCAACCTAAAAAAAAGAAGAAAAATAGCTCATTTATTTTCTTAGTCTCCAAAATTATTTATCAATTAAATTTTCTAATAAGGAACTTAACACATTCGCTACTACTAAAAATGATATTTCCATCCTCAGAAGCCGGATTACAAAACAGGGTTTTAATGGTTTATATGTTCCTTACATTTTACTAGGCAAACCAGAAAAACGAAGAAACATATTATTTTCCTATTTAGAGAGCGTTTTCTTTCCGATGCTCTGGAGCGTCAGTGGCACACAGACTCAACCTATCTTTGTGAGTGCCACTGACGCTCCAGTGCGTCTGATCAATATTCTCAGAAATTACTGGCATATTGCATAAAATAGCAGCTTAAAAGGAATAAATCGGAATATCATTCAAGTATATGTTTTACCATTAATGAAACAATGCTGAAAATATTTACAAATAATAAGCACAATATAAAGATATTGGCAGTCACGCACATAAAAAAATTCAAACAAAAGCTTTGAAAACCAATCACAAAAAATGAAAAAATAATGCTTCACTAACGTGCCAAAACAATCTCTCCATTCAACTCCCAAAGCCACTCTAAAGACAGAGCTTATAACTTATCATAGTCGGCGTACCAGGAGGAGCCGCTCTGACGCGCTAGTGCGTCGGTGGCAGCGAACGTGTTAAAAAAACACTTTAAAACATAACAAATAGTTTAATTCGCAATATTCCAGACTAATTTACAAAATAAGTGTGATCATCATAAAAGAAAATATTGAAAAACCTACTGCAATCAGGGTGCGTAGCCAAGTTATTCAACAAAAAATAAGCACCTTTTAAACACTTTTCAAGCACTGAAAAAATATTTTTAAGTACTTTAAAAAAAATATCATAATTAGGCAAGGTTAGAAAGTTTTTGGCAATCGACAGTTTTATCTTGTTTTAACCGTCACGTGGGAAAAAAAAACCTTTTGGCATTGTTTTTGACAACTGTCAAAAAATATGAAATTTTGAGTCACGTAAAATGAATAGCGTTTTCAAACACTACAGACTGACAATACGCCGAAGTAAAGTGATTGGGTTTGAATTAATACTGAAAACGTTGAATTGAACAATGTGAACTGTGACTCTTTGCATAATTCGTAGCGAAAATCAACATGGTAAAGGAAATATTTCATTTTAAAAAAATGAAAATTAAGCACTTTTTAAAAACATCCAATGAAAAAAGCACCTTTAAGAGCTTTTAAAAAACGAAAATCAAAAATAAGCACCTTTATGCACGCTACGCACCCTATGCAATTAAGAGAAGAACTATACATACGTTAATTAAAAAAAAACATATTAGCTATATCAATAAAATAGAAAAAAAAGAAATGTATAGTAGTAAGGCAGATACTTTTTCCATAAGATGTGCAAGAGCTTCAAAGGTTTTTAAAATGAATGTTTTCCACATCATTGATGAAAAACCTAGAAATAAATATACATTTTTACTATAATGGGGAGAGAAAAAAAAACAATTTAGCAAGAAATAAAGATGTCTTCTACTTCAAGAAACATGAGATTGTTTCTTGAAGTTGTCAACTTTTTCTTCGAACATATTAAAAATAAACAAAACTAATCTCTGTGTTTTAAATTACAAAGGAAATAATAAGATATTCAGATTCATTGTATTTAACCCAGAATTTGTAATAAAGAAACAAAAAAGTGATGTTTCAGTGCATTTCAATACTTGTTGTTTGTCATTTATCCCCTTATCGAGCAATTCTAAATGGTGCCAAAGGTAATAAAAATTTTTTAAATTGGTTGGTATCCAAATGCAATCTCTAGATATTTTGTTCAGAAAAAAAAAATTTTTCATGGAAGAGACATTCAAAATTTGCACACAAGATACCAAAAGGTTGTTAATAATAAAGGTGATTACATCCGTGGTTAAAAATAAAAACTTATTTAAAATTTATTCAATAAATTTAATGTATAAAAAAACTTGTACTTCAATGTATAAAAAGAATAATTTTCCAATACTTTACTTTTTAACATTTCAAATAAGAAAAAAAAAATTTTAAAATAATAATATAAATATTTAATAATATTTAAGAATAAATATTTAAGACAAATATTTAAGAAAAAGAATTTTAACTTTCTAATACATGAATACAATTTAATTTATATGTATCATCTGCAGAAATTAATTTATAAGAGACAAAACTTATTTAATTAATAAATTTCACTGTTGTTGTATCTATTATCCTTAGTGAAAAACTTATTGATAAAATAAAATAGTATCAAACATTTTATACTGATTAAAAAAGAAATATGTATAAATAAAAGGAAAATTTTTACTCTCTAACAAAACAGAATATATACATATAATTAAAACCACATCTATTTACTTAATATAACTAAACCTATTTGCATTTCAATTTATATAGAAATTAAAATGTTTTATTAAAACAAACCTGTAGAAAAACATCAATCGTTCAATTTATTTTGTATATTCCAGCTCAATAACTTTTCAGTATCATTATTATGTACTGATTTAAATAAATAACTACCTATATTATAACACTTCATCTTTCTTTACATCACTTTAGATTTCATCAAGAATTTTTTTTCATAAAATTTTTAACAAAATTTATAATCTAAATCATTGAAAATATATTGCTTTATTTTTAAAAGTAATCTAAAACAAATAAATTACATAAATAATAATCAGAGAAACTTCTGTAATTTCTAAAAATAAAAAATTCACCTACCATTCTTAATAACAGAACTTTTTACTAAATTCAAGCAGCCAAGAGTTTTATCCAAATGACAAGTGTGATCTTTGTTTTTACTCCATTGCATTAAATGCTCCCAACCACAATTAGCTAACAAGGCATCGTGGTTTAAACTATTAGGAAACTTTCTCTTCACTTCCTTCAAAAGACCTGCAATTCCAAAAATAACAAATAAATTATGAATAATTAAGTGGAGAATACAAATAATGCACTACAGAAATAATAATGTATTACAGAAATATTACAATAAATAAATTGGAAAACAAAAACTATAATATGCAGAGCTTAAAATAAATGTCTTAAGTTTTCAAATGTTGTATAATATTATTAAATTTTTTTTTTGTCGTATGCCAGTTTAGGCAGTGGGGGTGCGATTGTTCCTGTTTTTCAGTGGCGCCATCTATGGCCAGGAATTTGACTTCTGCCACACCATTCACAACCACAACCAGTTTATAGGACGGGTCACATTCACACACAAAGTCGAAAGGACATAGAACACAGAGAGAGAGAGAAAGAAACATCCATGCCTTGCACGGGATTTGAACCAGGACCTTTCTGACAGTTCCCTGCCCCCTACACAGGCAGATCGGCATATGTTTTTTTAATAGAGTAGTTAAACAGACTAAAAAACATCCATCTTAGATCCCCCCCCCTTTCTTATCACAAAATCTATCGAAGGGGAATTTGAAACCTTGACACAAATATCACAGAAAGTTATGAATAGATTTTAATGAAATTTTTCGTAATTGAATGAGGGCAAAACTATAATATTGAAGGTCATTTGACAAACCACTACATACAAAACTACCAAAACATATTCACGTTTATATGACTTGATTTTTACGTACATCGTATCTGCTACATTTTAGATTTTCAAATTCATGACTTTCCATGACTAATTCCAAGAATTTTTCATGACTTAACGAAGTTACTATTTTTTCCGACAAAAACACAACATTAAATTTAAAAAAGTATTATAATAACATTAATTGAAANCATCTATGGCCAGGAATTCGACTTCTGCCACACCATTCATACAACCACAACCAGTTTATAGGGCGGGTTACATTCACACACAAAGTCGAAAGGACATAGAACATGGAGAGAGAGAAAGAAACATCCATGCCTTGTACGGGATTCGAACCCAGGACCCTGATGCAAGGACAGTTCCCTGCCCCCTACACAGGCCGGTCGGCATATGTTGTTTTAATAGAGTAGTTAAACAGATTGAAAACCATCCATCTTAGATTCCCCCCCCTTCCTCATCACAAAATCTATCGAAGGGGAATTTGAAACCTTGACACAAATTTCACTGAAAGTTATGAATAGATTTTAATGAAATTTTTCGTAATTGAATGAGGGCAAAACTATAATATTGAAGGTCATTTGACAAACCACTACATACAAAACTACCAAAACATATTCACGTTTATATGACTTGATTTTTACGTACATCGTATCTGCTACATTTTAGATTTTCAAATTCATGACTTTCCATGACTAATTCCAAGAATTTTTCATGACTTAACGAAGTTACTATTTTTTCCGACAAAAACACAACATTAAATTTAAAAAAGTATTATAATAACATTAATTGAAATGAGAGGTATAACCAAAACTGTTATATTCCATATTTTCATATTTACAGATTTTAAATTTAAAAATCAGAGTAAAGAAAGAGTTAAAACAATAAAATAGCTGAAAAAATACAACAGCAAATAATTTTCTTCTTTTTTCTGCAGAATTACATTCTAAAGATACTACATCGGAAAGGAAAGAAATACTCCTGATTTTTCTGTTCTCATTTCGAAATAAAAAATTCGCCAATGACTGGCTTGCTTCAGCTAGAATTTTAAATTGATAAAATAAAATAAAATAAAAAATAACAAAAATTCTGAAATTACAGAAGTTTAAAAGATAATTTGTTCTAGAAATTATGTTTTTTTCTTTCCTTTTTTGAAAGAACACAATAATTTTTAAAGAACAGGATAAAAGCACTTTATATTTTAATCAAATATGACTGTTAGTGGGGGATTTTGTTACAAATTCAGATATTTGGAACACCGTGAAATTGGGGGGATGTAGGTAAATTCTATTTTAAAAATTAGATTTTTCGGCGACCTAAATTCATGACTTTTCATGATTCTTTTAAAAAAAATAGTTAAAATCATGACATTTCAAGACAAATTTTGTTCAATACCGAAATTCATGATTTTTCATGACTTTCCAGGTATGCAGATACCCTGAACATAATAAGATACAATCTTAATGGTTGAATATGCTAAATAATTTGGTCAGGCAATATTTTAAATTTCAAAATCAGATACAAAAATGTACTTTCTCAGCATAGTCATACTTTTTTCTCAGCACATTTGGGGTCAACCTTCAAAACATACAGAAGATTTGCTATCTAGAAAATATGGTTCCAATAGTCTATTCAGGAAAAAGATTAAAAGTTTTAGGCTTGTTAATTTCACTCTTTTACATATTTCACTACATCTCTGAAAATATTAAACAGAAGAAAAAAAATTGCACAAAATTGCACACTCATTAATCAAAAGACATATTCATGTAAAAAATAGTTGCTTGTAATATTTTTTTTAAAACTTTAACATTAGTGAAAAACTTTTAAATTATAAGGATTATATGCATTAAATTGAAGGAACAAATTGTAAGAATGTTTACTTCATTTTAAACTATAAGATTTTAAATATAAAAATAGAAAATTTGAACAAAATTGGCTAAATCATATCTGAGTAATAAAATTTCCAAAAAGTTATACTTTCAAATTTTTATTTCTTAATAATTATTCAACAGCTTCTGTTCAAATTTTGGAGGTTGGTTTTTGCAATTAATAAATTGAAATAATAATAAATAATTCTACAATAATATTTTTACATGGCATATGAACAAGTATAAACAAGTATTTACATTTGTACACAAATTTTTTTTTTAATTTACTTAAATCGTTTCAAAAATATGATAAAATAAGCAAGAAGTGAAATTAACACTAAGGAGCTTAAACTTGCAATTGCTCTAGTAACTAGAGTATTATGGCCCTAATTTCCAGACCTTGGTTAACTCCCACATTTTGAGGATTAAGAATGCAAGAAAAAGGTACGTTTGGTCATTTAGAGAAAGAATGTTTCTTTCTCTGTGAATATAATTTAAAATATTGTCTACACAAATTAATAAGCATATTTTAGGTTAGACTAAGATTACATGTTAGTACACAAAAATCTGGCTATTAGATCAAAAAGCAATTACCTTGAGAACAGAACATATATGTTAAGATATGAAATATAAAAACTTCACCTTTAACTATGTTTAAAGATCTGGAATCAGATTTGTCATCAAGAAATTTTTGCAACACTGGTCCTTCATCTGTATCATCAATAGAAAGAAAAGAAGATAAAGTATCAGGTTCTATTCCAACAGATACTGCCCAAACTGCAATCAAGTCAGTTACAGACCCTGAAAAAATACATCAACTATAAAAACATAACATACTATTTTTCACAGTTTAATTATTTCAGGTTTGCTACATTTCAAATCAATGAAGTTGACTGTATCCTTTTGATAACCTTTTTTTAATAGCAAATACATAAGGTGTTTCAGGATCACACTCGTAATAGTTTTAGAATATTAATTAATATAAAAATTATGTAACAGTATTATAATAATCTCATAATATTCAAAATTAAATAAATGAAGTATAAACATTGTGAATCACAAATTAATATTCAATTCTTGTATAGCAAAGATTTACAAAAGAATTACAACATTACAAATCAATTGTTACAATTAAGCATATCAAATCAATTGTTACAATTAAGCATATCAAAACAATTATTACAATTACACCCTCTCAGTTCTAATATGAAGCGAGTGTTTAAGCTAATTAGATTTAGTTTACAGTAAGTAATAAAAAATAAAATGAACTAATCTTTAACTGGTAAATGAATAAACCAAACTAACAATTTCTCCTATCGGCCCAACATTTGCGAATGTGCCGTAAAAAGTCTCTGCTTATAGACTGCGGATGAATCTACCTCTGGTTGAGGGGAAAGGCAATCCATGTGGCGTTGGTGCTGTTTCCCAGCTTTTCAAAAACAAAACCGATTCCGCAAACCGATCTCAGCTTGAATGGGGGGGGGGGGGNGGGGGGGGGGGGGTAAAAATTAAAGTGCCATAAAATTGAAGTTTAATGCCTAGCAATGAAAATTAATAAATACACTCATGAATATAATAATTATTAAACCACTGGCCATATTACAACTTAATTATCACCAACAAATGACTGTATTACTTAGTTAGTAACAATACCTTGGCCTCCATTGAGAATAGTCTCAATGGATATATTAGTATCCTTGACTATACTTTTTCCATTAGGTTGACTTTTCAGTAGAATGTTCAACATTAAGACATCCTCCAGTTGTTTAACTAACAAATTCCAATGCTCCAAATCCAACGAAACTGATTCCCAGTCACTTTCTCCGCTCTCTTCATGATCCTGGTCAGGATTCTTTTTCTCACTTTTTTTGAGCTCAACATTAAAAGAGGCTGCCATAATGATAGATACAGAACGTGCAACTACCGCACCAATGTACGCAGCAACATTACCAGTAGCTTTATGCAAGGCTTCTCGAACAGATGACCACCAAGGTGATACATGTTCGGAATTTGAACTAACAAACTTTGGATCTGAAATAATACATAGAAAGAATTAGAATCTGGGATGGAAAGGTTTTGGATAAATTATAACAATTCTGTCCAAAACACTTCAGTAGATAACTATAATGGCTAACAAGTCTAATCAATCAGAGCAAAGAAAGCTTTACATACCACTCAAAGTGCTGATATGTTTCATTACTTGTTGCAAGTTAATCCATTTATCGGCACTAGAGCAGAACCCTGCATCAGATACCCAATGCTTTAATAAAAGAATCTAAAAATAAGGATTTAACAATCAATTAGGAATATTTTTTTTGTGGAAAAATCACAGTGAAGAAAACAAAAATTAAGTGTTATGAATGAAGTTTTAAAAACAATTAAACTTTAAAAATGCTCAGTGTCTATTTTAAAAAACATTTGTGTTTTAGAATAAAACATACCAGCAATTTTTCTGGAAGAATTCCACTCTCCTTAAGAGCAACTTGTAGTGTACTAAAATATGATCCAACATGAATTGAGCTATGAAATATAAACCCACCTACAGTTAAAAGAAAATAGAAAAATTTAGGGTATGGAAATTGACTAATTTTTATAGGTTCATAACTCTGATAAAAATATGAGCTTTTGCTAATGTTATTCTTTTGAATTTTTGTAACCTTTTTTTAGAGCAAAGCAAACAACTGTTTAATAAATGATGGAATAACTTTTTTTTTTGTATTTGTAGATAACTACAGTATTAATGTTCTCAAGACCAGTTAAAAAAGTGGACTTCACTATAAACACAGTGTCATTATCAGTTTTTTTGCTGGTGTATTATTTACAAAATTGCAATATTTACAGTTATCATTTCTGTCAAAATTCATAAAATATAGAGGACAAATCCCTAAAAGTTTAAATATTTGATATTTTATAAAATTATGGTTCTTAAATTTTAAAAAAAGTGAATTTATTTAGAATTACTCAATTATTTAGAATCACTATATCATATGCTGCTTTTTATTTCAAGTGAAGCTTTGAAATGAAACTAAAGGAATTTTTACTATATTATTGGACCATGAGCCATATTGACTGTTCCATATTGACTGTTTATAAACATTTAAACTACGTAATTTTATTTACCAAAATTACCCTTATTTTGATAAATAAAATTAACAGTTGATAAATTTATGTTTTCAAAGGATTATTGTTAAAAATATGAATTAGGCCAAAAATGAGCATTTTTATTGCGATTAGATTTCTTAAGCTACTAGCTTGCCGAGCTTGGTAAGTTAGGAAAGCCTTTAAAAAGAGAAGAAAAAAAAGTTTCATAGCATGAATTCTATTTTGTTTGAATAAAATTTAACTACTTGCAATACCCACACATATGAGAACAGCATACCTCCTAATAGTAAAGGAAAATGTTTCAAATTAGAACAAAGAAAAAAATACTGGAATGGTACTTGTTGCCTTCAATCCAAATGTACTAACAAAATTGTATATCCTAAGAATAATAAAGTGATCTTTAAAAACAGAACACAATATATAAATGGCAAAAATAACATTCCCTTGGATCAAATACTTCTTTCTGTTTCACAATAACTCCCTCAAAATAATAATAATCACCCTATCTGCTGAACCCCCCCCCCAAAAAAAATAATAATCTTCCCCTTATATCCCAAAAGAATTTAGAATACCACACTTTTTAAAAGATTTTGCAATTACCTTTGTGTTTACATTTTGCCTAATATCTAATACATTTACTAATATCTAATACAATGGGCATACGTCATAACACATTTTATTTCAGGGTAGATGTATCATGTCTAGACAGAATAATGGTAAATATTACTAACTTTAAAAGTTTGTAGACTTAATAATTTTTTTATGTTTTCCTATTTTAGATATTTTAATAACTGTTTTCTTTTTTTTTTCAGTGATCGACTTATGCACCAAACATACCAGAAATTTGTGATCTCATAATTAAAAATTGGTGATCGACTAATGCCCCGTGATATACAATAAATAAAATTGCAAGCAATTTTTGAAAACACATAAAAAAATTCAAAATTAGAACTCTATATATTTTTCTGCCTGAAATTCAGTTTTAATATAAAATGTAGGATAAAACAGTAAATTCTGAATTATCCTTGTACATTAAAAAAAAATGGTAGCACAAAACTATCAAGTAAAGCATTTTTTTCTCACCTAATGATTCTATTTGTTTACAAGAAATGCTGGGAACTAAATCAACAGGCAGATTCTGTAAAAGAAGGTCCGAGCCTGATTTAATAAGATGAGTATCATGAACAACAAAACAGCTCATAAAATCCGAGAAAGACATTTCAGTGGCACTATCATCAGTAAATCGTACTTGTCTTTTCAAGACAGGAACTACGTTCTGGTGAAGTGTTACGAGGGAAAGTATTCGGCCAACTTCAGTTTCCGAAATACACAGACTACTGGAATACATCTACGGGAAAAATACAACAGATATTAAAATTCAATTAAAAAAAATAATAAATAATAAAATTAAATAAATCAGCTACAATGATTGCAACAATAATTCATGACTGTTAAAATAGCACTTCAGAAACAGATGGTTGTTTGGCCAAGGAGGTCATGGACTTTAAGGCTCCACAATTTTGTGATAACAGCATAATGGTGGCAAGGTGATCAGCATTACGCACTAGCTGCCTTTAGTTCCCAGACATGATGGTACTTATTGATCTGAAGCTAAATAAGTTTAAAGCCAATGTCAGACATAAAGCCCTGTTTCTTCACAAATACACCTCAGTGCCTTAATGCTGTGACGTGGCTCATTCCTGACTGGTGGGTTATGTTTTGTTCATCTTCAGTCAGTATTTTCTATGCTAATTATGAAAATGGCTCAAAATGCTAAGATCAAGATACACCATACCTAAGGTTAACTTTTAAGACGATGAAAGATAGTTTTGATCTAATTTTTTAATATTTGAAATATAACTCTCTATATGCATTGTTTAGACTCATACAAACATGGGATATTTGATATAATTATTTTACTATTTTCATTTTTGAAAAAAAATATAGAGCCAAATTTAAATTTTTTTTAAAAGGGTTAAAAATTATTTTTCTATTTTAAGTTTAAAAGGTTTTTTTTTAAAGATTTAAACTACTTGTCCATTAAGTCCTATCTTTCAGCAAGATGGTTTATGTAATTTAAAATTAAAACTTTAACTCGAGAGTAAGGCATTTGAATGTCAGTGACTTTTTTATAATTATTATTGTTTTTCTTGGTGAAAGAGCTTCAAAAAACACACTTGAGCATATAATGAAAAACAGGAAACAAAACGAACCTGAATGTCTACAGATGTTTCAGCAGGAGAGGTAGTAGCAGTTGAAGAAGATTTTATATTTATTTCATTTACATTTGCATATAGTTTTGATAACTGTAAAGCTCGTACACAGCATTGCTGGAGAAGCTTGGCTTCATGATCCATCTGAAGTGGATCTATGGGTAAAGTATTTTTCATTTATAATATTTTAAAAATAATAATTTAAGTTAATAATTATATATGTAACAAGGAGAAATGTGTCTTACCTAGTTTTTTCAAATGACTCAACAGAGCAGAAACTACTTCATCGACCAATTCCACAGACGAATGCCTATTGCTTAAAATATTTTGAAGAGCCTACAGTAAATGATAAAATCTATATATTTAAATTATAAATGCTCACATGAAAGATATAGTTTTGAAGCTAAAACTAATATATTTATAAGTATTTATAAAAAGTGTTTAAAAAACAATATAAGATTTTTTATCTTTAGCTCTACTGGTTTCTAGCAAACACTGAAAGATAAGAATTCACATTGCAAAAAAAATAAAAAAATTAAAAAAAAACTTTTTTTAGTGACACAATAGGCAACAAGTCAAAATAGCTTTAAACTTCCCACTAACTACTGAAACCACGTTTTTTTCAGATTGCAGTTACTCTGAATTTTTTGTGTCTTAAAAAATTGTTTTTTCAGACATTTTTATGCCTTATTTGTTAATTTAAAATATCATCAGTACAATATAAATAATTAGTATATTTAGGGTCTACCATTTAAAGCATTGAGATTATATGCTGGTAGATATGTTTGGGCACAGTGCAAATTTTTTTAAGTTAAAATAGATAGAACAATTGCTTTAAAATTCTAATAAATCATAATAATTACAAAAAATAATAAATTCATATTTTATTTCAGTTATATATTTGTTTATGATAATTTTAAAAAAAAGAATAGCAATCCAATTAAAAAGTAATCCAATTAAAAAGCAAATTACAATTATATTAAATAACAAATGAAAATAATCAGAATATCAATAATCATTAAATTTTCAATAAAATTTTAAAAAAACATTTTCTTTTTTAAATGTCTAACTTAGAAAAGTTTGGAAATAAAATATTTTTTACCCTAGACTCTTAAATATAAAAAAAATATATATTATTGGTAGTTAGATGAACTCATCCCAAGTATTCCTTGATTTTACTAATTAAAATCTCCCACCTATGTAAAATTTGAAATCGTTTCAAAAGTAACAATCCAGTTAGTTACATTAAAAAAAATTGTGTCATTCATTAGACATTGTCTGAAAAAAATCATATGTTGAATGTTTTTAAACATCTGGTAGAATTTGTGCAGAATTTTTAAAAAAAAATTTTATTTTTAAGAGCAATGAATAAAATTGGTTAAATTTTTGATTACTAAATGTTTTGTTGCTTTCACCTTTCAGTACTGCTTTCAGCTAATGAATTTCAAAAAAATACTATGTTAGTCATACCAGGTGTCCTAAAGTTCTGGAAGAAAATAATTTCGATAGAAAAAAAAAACAATTTTTAAATTAAAATTTGTGAATTTTTAATTGACCCATAAAGTATACAATACTGGGTTACAAATGGAACACTAAGTTAAATAATGAACGCCAACAAACAATTATTGTCAGAACCTTTCTGAAAAACTTAGTTTAGTTGATACAACATTTAATTTTATCTTTCAAAGTGTAGGTGTCAGTATCAACAATAGACTTTAAAAAAATCATAAGGAAAAAAACAACAATGTTAAATTGAATGATATTAAATATGATCAGTCAATTTCGAATACCAAAATGGAAAATTAGACGATCAGGAACTGACAATAATGTTCAAAATATTGCTCACTAATATTTATAATTAGAAAAAATATATTTCAAATAGGTTTATTTTACCTGAATTCTAGTGCAAGATGTCCTCATATCTCTCAATATTTTAATAATCTCAAAGGCTTTTCCTACAAGCAAATAAAATAAATAAATACACAAAGACAATAACTCATAACTTAGTGCAACTCAATAGTTTCTGAAATGAGACAATCGAATATCACTGAAAATTATATTTATGATACATATTTTGGCAACAGCATTATGAGGACAGCAATGTAAAACTGCAAAGCAGTGAGTTTGTATAAGCAAGCCATGCTTTAAGTGCATAATGTTTTAAGTGTCTTTCTTTAACGTTAAATGCTTTTCTAATATCTCTCTTGTATTTTTGTAAAGCTATTAATAATTAGAAAATATAATAGAAATTGAAGTTTAAAACCTTTAGATATATTAAATACAATACCACTGAAATGTTTTTATTGATCTTACCTTTAGCATTATTTTTGAGAGTTAGTTTAACTTCCCTAAGTAAATGCAAGTCACGAGCACGCCGACTGTTTTTCTCACTAAAATTGTTAAAGAAAATTACCAATATTTTTCACACATGCACAAGTGAAATCATAGCAAGAATTATACAGATATTCTTTGTGTAGTTGAACATTTAAAAAGACAGAATAGTAATAAAATTACATTAGATATAGGAAAACATAGTTGCAAAACAACATACCTTAAAACTAAATGGAAAGGCACAATTATTTTCCTAATTACCCCATCTACATCCAAGAAATAACAAGAGCAAGGGTTACTCTTAGTAAGTTGGGAGTTCATGAAATTTCCACCCACTATAGCATATCCAGGACAAAATAATCTTTAAAAAAATATTAAAACAGACTATTTAAATAAATAAAAAAAATTTATGAAAATCAATGAAAGTGCAGAGCTAAATAGCTAATAAGAGAAAGTAAAATGAAAGATATTTACCGTCCAGATTTACCAACGTTAAAAGCAGCAACTCGGGGACCTTGTTGAGTACACCACACCTAAACATAGAAGAAAAAAATAATAATTTAAAAATGATGATGTAGAAACTTAATTTACTTTAAAAATCATAAAAGGTGGAAAAAATTGACATGATTTGAGTTCTTAAAAATAAGATCCCATTTTTAAGACTTACTAGAAATGATAAAAACAACAGACAGGGTGCATAGCCAAATCTTTGAATAAAAAATAAGCACTTTTTAAAAACTTTTCAAGAACTTTACAAAAATTTTCAAGCACTCAAAAAATTCATATTCAATCAATGATATTATTGAAAAACAAGAACTTTTTATAAACAGTTTTAGCTTTAAAAAAAACCCAAAAAGAAACGGGCTTAAATCGAAACAATCAGTACTTTCCCACATCACCGAGTGAATTCAACTAGACCCTGAACTCAGAACAAAAGTACCCTTACCCCCTAAGTCAAAAAAAGTGTTAGAAGTAAAATGAAATAAACAAGAACAAAATTAAAATAAATTAAAAAGAAAAACATTTCATAAGGATCTGATATTCTCTATCCGAATTGGAGCACTCGGGTTTCGGTTTCAAGTGTGCGCGCATGCGTAAGTCATAACGTGGGTACGACATGAAGTCCGCGTGAATGATTACGTAGCAAACTCCCCATTTTTCGTGAAATGCATGGGATCCACCAGATATCACTGAAGGGGAAAAAAATTATTCGGAAAGCACTTTTTAAAAACACCAGCTGGAAAAAGCACCTTTAAAAGCTTTTAATAACGAAATCCCCAAAAAAGCACCTTTAAGTACTTTTTACAAACGCTACGCACCCTGACAGATTTAAAAAAAATAAATAATGCAAAATTGCCAATGAAAATAGGGAAAATAAAATAAAGGTGAAATACCAAACAAGAAAAACTGCCTTAGCCAAGAGAGGCAAATCAGCACAGGATGCATTTCAAAGTGCAACAGAGGAGTTAGTAAGAAACTCAGAGCATTAAGTAGTTCTGAGTTTCTTACTACCTCTATTATCAAGTATATTTTTCCACTATAGTTCCTTGAGATTATTCCTTTCATTAAAAGCAGTTATATTTACTCAAATGCAACAAGGAATGGTGAAGAAAAAATCAATTAAGAATATTTTCATTTTTCAGTTTAATAATACTAGAAAGAATTTTGAATTATAAGAATTTTTTTTTTAATATCATTTGTAAATTATGCAATTTACACGAGTAAATACAAAATTTTGAAAGAAGTTTAAAAGTTCATGAAATATTAAAATTTAAAATTACAGCTTTTCAATTCTTATTATTCAGATACTGTTTGGTCATTTTGTATTTTGTTATTTAAAATAGTATAGCTAAAAATTATGTAAAAATTTTTATTTCTCAGAATTAAAAACCATTTATGATAGTAAAAAAGATCTATTTTGAAAGGTTTTATTAGTTAAATATGCTTAACAACTTAACAATGTCCATTTTTTTATTTGCTTAAACAGTCTCAGAAATATGGGAACATAAACAAAAGGACAAATTAGCATTAAAGAATTAAAATTTCCAATCGCTCTCTTGAGTAATCTAATGAGAGTGAATTTTTTGGATTGCTGCCACCTCCCCATATTTGGCAGATACAAGAATCAAAATAAGTAAGAAAAAGCACTTTTATTCAATTAAAGTATATTTTATATCTGATTTTGCAGCTTAAAATTTAATCTAAACAAATTAATTAGCATACTTAAGGTCAAATAGGTACTTGAGTCATTAAGATTTAATTTACCATTAAAGTACTCCGTTTTTTTATTTTGTGCACAGTACATTAACACTCTCACATAATTAAGTGCTACAATAGTTTGTTGGATAAATTTTATTCTACAGATTCACAATGTCAAACATCTTTTAAAATTCTGCTATTTTTTAAATTTCTTCCACACAATCAGAAATTTATTTGCAATCTTAATAGTTACACACTAACTTCTAATATTCCTCTTCTTGGAGCATAGATTACTAAAAATAAAACACGCCTAGGTTTCTTTTCAGTATCCTTCATATCTTTGGTTACACTGTCCTCAACTTCCACCCATCCACACTGTGCATCTCTGTAACCTAAAAAGAAATTTTAAATTTAAGATAACAAATGCTTTTTAATTTTGAAAAACAAAAGAGCAATCAAAATTTAAACAAGAAAATATCCCAACAAAATTATCAGTTTCCTGAATACAAAGAAAGATTAAGTGCTGTCCAGAAAATTCAAAACAAAACAGACAAAAACTAGACACTGTCATTAATTTTGAGAAAACTTTCACAAATAAATATTTTCTTTAAAATCAAAATTAATAGATACTATAGAAACTCATCAAAATATGTATCAGGGGTCTGTTCAGACATTTTGTGAAAGGATTGGGAAAAAATTACTCGTAATTTGTGATAATAAAATAAACGTTAAGTCACACTCTTTCAACCAGGGTCCTGCTTTTATGAATTTATGCAAATAGAGTACTGTTATTGGAAAAAACTTTTTTAAGGAGTTTTTAAATTGCAAATATAGATACAAAATTATACATAACACTGTAAAATTATAATTTTAAAAAAATTTCAAAAATAAACAGCAATTGCTGTTTCTAAATTAGAGATACAACATTTGGTATTTAGCCTATACTGCTGAATGCAGAATATTAATTTCGGACGAATAATGGAAGAAGCGTCTGCCGAAGGCAAAACTTAATTCGTTTACATCCTCCATCCTTACTTTTTTTCCTCTTGGGAAGGGTTTATTCGATTAACAAAATAATAATGAAGATAAACAAATTTGAAGATAAACAAATAAAGGGTCCGATTAAAATAAAAATCATTTTGTGAAGGGTTCATTTTTAAGTTAAAATATTTTGTGAAGGGTCCGTTAACGAACCCAAATTTCTTCTAAACAGACCCCTGTGTGTATAGAAGTGCATTTGTAAATTTTTTATTAGAAATACGTAGAAAAATTATTCAGACCTTTCCACATGCGAACAGCAACTCCTTTGAAGATATCAAACAAAACTATTCTTCCAAAGGCATCGTTCATTGCGGCTAAACATTTATTTGGGGATAATGATATTGAGGTACCCTGTCTTCTTTTGTCATACAGGCCAAATCTACCAAAAACAAATGAGAAAAATTGGCATCATAGAAGCTAAAACAAATATATCTTTTTCATAGATATACAGGATACAAACCTTAAAGGTAGGATAGTAGCTGGTTCAATCTTAGGTTGAGACTTTTGTTCCTTTGCTTGATTGAAACCCATAAGTCCACCAACAAAACCACTGCAAACAAAAAAGAATTAATAATTTTAATTTTAAAAATAAAACCTGCAAGCTTTGCACGATGTAATGAAAACTGTTAGAGAATAATACTTTCGTAATCATTTTTTAATACTTTCTTAATCATTCATTCTTATTTTCAATGTGACAAATAAATGTGTTAGAATTAATACTTTCTTCAATAAGTGTGTTCAGGCACATAAGACCTTAATATCTCTCCATCTAATCCTGTTCTCAGCAACAGACCTGGCCTGTGCCTATCCAGAAATCCTTAGGATCTTTAACTCGTTTAAAAATAATACTTTGTAAAGTAAGCTTAGGTCTTCCTCCAGTTCTTTCCGCTTCAGGGATCCATGTGAGAAAAACAGATATTTTTTTTGCTGGGCATTTTAAGAACGTGACCCAGTTCCAGGTCAACGAAAGAATTTTTTCTTTTATCTTTATTTTGCCTTTTTCAAAAGATTTTTGTTTGCTATCTTGAACGGCTAGAAAATTTTGAAAATACAATTTAAACATTTGGTCTGAAAGAATTTAAAATTTTTGTTTTTCTATTTTAATGTTTCCGAACCAAAAGGTAGAAATACTCTGAGAATTGCTTTAAAAACTACTATTTTTTCCTTGATTTCAATCTTTGGCGCTCGCCAGAATTTATGTAGTCCTTTAAAACACGTTTTTCCTTGAATTATTCTCTGCTTTATATCTTCCCCTCTGCTGGCTTTTTTTCACACTTATATAAGTAATATATGAATAAATATCACGCTTATATAATGTTACATTCAAGATGGCAATTTTTATCATTTTCACATTTTTAATCATCATAAGTGAAATTTGAACAATAAAGTCTAGTCAGTTATTTTGTTTAACACTACCTGATGTTTTATCTCACATGTCATAATATGAGTCATACCTCACTTCATAATTTAAAATATAAACCAGCTGAAATTAGTAGGCAGTCATTTTTGTCCACATAATAAATACATACCAATGCTTTACTTTGATCTGTGTTTTTTATGAACCTAAAAACTACTATTAAACACAGCAAAATTATCAAGGACCAATCATGCTTTAATGAAGCATATTAATATAGTCAAAAGTGAAAAATATTTATTAATTTCACTCTAACAGCGAATAAACAAACATTTATAGTTAATAATATAAAGTGCAAAAAATAATAAAAATTAAACTAACCCAGCATTATAATTTGATATGAAATTCATAAGTTTAGATGCAACAGCATGAACAACATCAGTTAATAAAAGCTGACTGCCACCCTAAGAAGATAATTATCATAAATTAAAATAAAGAGTAACAGATTGCATAACAATATTTCACTATATATATATATANCAATATTGAAAACATCATTTTAACTGTATCCTTGAAGTAAATTTGGTAACGTTTCATTTAACCACTGTTCACATACTTCAAGAGGGACAGCTTTAGCTTCTTCATGAAGAGTGCGAAAGACATTGTGTGTTGCAAAGGAGGGGGTAAGATATCAGCTCCTAGGTTTTTTTTCTTGCTTTAAAAGATCCAAAAAAAATCGAGTTAAAGGAGTAAAATTCGAGTAATCGAGAATAATTAACATAAAATTGAAGATAAAAGGGTCGGGACCTCATAAAAAAATCGAGTTATAGTAATATTCGGGTTATCATACTTCGAGTTATAGCGAATCGACTGTGTATATGTATATATATATATATACACACACACAAAGAAAACATGGAAAATATACAAATTTTTAAAAAGAAAAATTATTAATAAATAAACCATTTTTAAAAAAAATTGAAAGTAGGAAAACAAAATAAGAATAAGATATAATCTTTTCATCGGCTCACATGATTATATCTGCAAAATAGCGTGCTTTCTAATATTGTATTAATATAGCCATTACAAAATATATAAATACAATTATTTTTACTCTTAATTTACTACTTATTACTATAATGAAAATTAATTTCAATTGCAAATTAATTTACTATTGTATAATACTGATAAATTTTGTTTTGGCTATATTAATATAATATTAGAAACCACTCTTTTTTGCTGATATAATCGTGTGAGCTGATACAGGATTATATCTTTTACAGATTTTGTTTTCCAGCTTTTTAATTTTTTTTTCTTAAAGTTTTAAATATTTTCGTTACTAATAATACTTTTCCAATTATTTTACGGTATATACATATTAACTAACTATAAAAATAATACATGCATTTAATACTTCAGAATAGCAGTACAATTGTCATTATTATACTGCAAATGTAAATACTTATAATTTTTATTAGTATTTAATTTAAATATGAATATTATTAATGAATTTAAAGGATTTTAAAGATTAATAAACATTCAAAGATTTTACATTAAGTTTGTTAGAGGTTAGAGTATGATAAGCAAAATAATATTTATTTTTCAAATTGTGTTTTTTTTAGCAAAAAAAGATTTAGTATTATTATGTGTTACTAAATAAATTCTGAATATGCTAGTAAAAAAGTCCCAACTTCAGTCATTAGTTATAACCTCTGCATGAATTAGAATTTGTATTTAGTTTCAATTCAAATCTAAAGTAATTAACAAAGCAGATGAAGACCAGGTGGCTGAAACACAACTTAATATAGATAGAAATATACATCTTTGAAAAAAATCTAAACAAAGGTTCTAACTAATGATAAATGGAGACATTCTGGGAGAAGATGCCTACCAGTGTAGCCTGAATTGCAATCAGAATTAAATTGTTGGATCCTCAATGAAAGACAGAAGAGGTATAGATTTCAACTGTGAGGATCAGGCTAAAAGCCAATCTTTTAGCAGAAGAAAAAGGAAGCTCAAAAACAATCTTTCAGCAGAAGAATAAGGAAATTACCCAATTTCACTGTTTGCCCTTCATAGTGCTACTGATTTATGAGGTGCTTAAATAAGAGGGTAAAAGACTGCATTAATGTTATACAGTATATACTCTCAGATTTGAAAGAAAAATATGCAGCATTTTTAAATTTCACGAAAACTGTAATAGCAGAAAATAAGCTCATGGAAAAAGATATAATAAACATCGATAAGATACACCCAAGCTTCGATTGCTTATAAATAGAATATTTAATTCCTGCACTGTTCGTTTGGTTGCTGTTAAGACAACGGGGAATGAGAAAACAACTTTCACTATAGTTTTGGTGCACTCAAGAGAAAAATCTTGCAAGAAAAATTTGTTTCCAGCGAAATCAAGGTTCAGGTGAACGAGAAAAAGTTGATGAACCACGGTTTAATGATATTGTGTTTTCTTTAGTATAGAGAGGACGAAAGTGCACTTTCTTTAATCCCAAAGGTTTGTTGATTATTGACTTGATGCAGAATCACATCATCAAGATTCTTCAAGCATTAATCACACTGGATTGATAATCGCTATTAAATGTAGGTTTATTTTCATTCCTGCTTCCTCTGTAACATACATATAAATGAAAATCATAATTAAAATAATAAATTCTAAACAATCAAATGGCTCATTACTTATTACATACACACAGAAAATATGCTAAATTGCTAAACTAAGTAAGTTTAAAATAATTTATATTGCATTGTTTATAAAATAGAAAAAAAGGCATGATTTCTCTAAAAGGTGTGCATCTTGTATGATTTCTAGAGCTGTTAAACAATATCAATCATTAAAATAAAAAAAAGCATCTTTATATTTTAGAAAAAAATACAAGCATTATCATATATTACCTCATTAATTGTTATCCTTAAATAATTATTACATGCATTAATTATTATATACTTCATTCATCAATTACCTCTGACGCATGATAATAGCCAACATATGGATTGCAACCAGTTGTAACGAGCAATGAATTAGTAGGCACGGTAGGTTTTACTGTTCCATAAAAACCTTTACGAATTGATTCTGTAACCAGGTGATCGAATGGGGTAGTATTCATAACACCTAAACATTAATTAGATTTTTTTTAACAAACAAATACATTTTAAAAATAAATATCGATGAAATACATTAACAAGTCTGCAATATTAGTCAATGTAAAAAAAAAAAAAAATTTTAAATTCTTTATTTAAAAAGTACATTATGAAATCACACTTATTACATTTTAACTTCCATATATTTGTTTCATTTCATTCCAATATTCGAAAAAAAAGCAATCGTGCTTTTTTTCTTTCATTTTATTCCTGTAAAAAAAATCTTGAGCTAAATCAGAAAATATTGCCTTAAATATTAATATAATATACAGAAATATTAAATTATTATTTGTTTTGAATTTAAATTAATATAGAACTAGTATCAAAAGACAAAAATAAATAATTAATTACTAACATTATTACACGATACTGCTAGTGCTCTTTCACTATATTTTAGCATATAAACATATTAGTTTCATTATATTTATTTTTATTTTATTTCAAGAAGACTTTTACAACTATGAATTGGGAGAAAAAACTCATAATAAAATTTCAGCTGGGTGGTTTTGTTTTGATGATTTTATATCAAGAACGAAGATTTCACATAACATGATATAGTTTTAAGGTTTTCAATATCTTAAACTTAACAACTTAAAAAAGGATAATAAACCAAAAAAGTCTCATAATTTTATGGCATAGTATAATATAATTTTAAAAAAAGAAAGAAAAACATGTACCAGCAGCTTCACAATCAATCAGTTTATCATGCTCATGAAATCCCCATTTTTTATAAGACAAAGGAGGAGGTTGAACTATTTCTTGTCTACCAGCAGCAGCTGAAAAAAAGTTATTTAATCAAAACAGGGCAAAACAATAATAATTAAAAAAATATCAAATAATTAATTGAAAATTATTATAATACTTAAAAAGAAATCTAAAATTTCTTTTAAGCCACTTGAATATGGCACATAGCGTATTAACATAGTACACTAGTTGCACCTGCTGTAACTCTGGTACACCTTGTTGCAATGCAAGATACAAATATAGTTTAATCTCTATAAAAGGCAAGTTTGAAAACTCAGACTCCCTAAGTGATGGAGAATTTAATCAGATTGGAAATGAACTTGGAATCAATCCTATGAAATTAAATTATCTTTGGAAAATTATCTAAAGAAATTGGAAATCTTAAGGTTTAAATGAAAGCATTTTTGGTAGTTAGTTTGCATGAAATTATGCTGTCAATAAAATTGTAAAAGGGCACTTTCGGAAAAGTACAGCAATTGGAAACAAAGCACCCAACCTGAATATTGAATATGAAAAAATTATTCCACACCGATTGTAAAATCAGAAAACATAACTTATGCATAATAAAAATCTTATACATGTTATTGCCTTTTTTATTTCAAAGACTGTTTAAAGAAATGAAGAAAATAGTTTCATAAATTTTTTATCTGTTCAATGCTTTCAGAGAGTGCTTTTCATGGCTCAATTTACAGGTTCAATTCTTACTATAGTCATAAATTAAGGAGATGTAAATTTTTATAATTTTGTAAATCAAAATTTCATAGTTAACATTCATCTTAAGAATAAATTAAGAAATAAAAATTAAGTTCATTGACTTTGTTCATTTTATATGTAATAGACCCATTACTTAACATTCAATTCAAAAATATTTTATTTAACTCAAATTAAGAAGAAAAAAATGAAACATTGAGAAATAAGAATTCATTAAGTGTTGCAATGGATAAAAAAAATAAGCCTAAATACAAAACTACATGAAGTTTTTCCTCAGATTCAATAGGAACACATTAATTTTGTATTATTATTTTAATAGGAAAATAAAAATTGTTAAAAGAAAAAGACAATCACTTTATAATATTCTATTTAAAAATATTATATCATCATATAATTAGTTTTGACAACATATTTAATAAGCTCCAAAATTTAATACATGATGATGGAGTAAACAGGATTTGCATCTGGACTAAACTTTAAATCATTTAAAAGAAAAGACAAATCTACAAATATTGATTAAAAACTATCAAATCTTGATAAATAAAGAGAATATGTATTATTTAAAGCTATTATCTTGAAACCTGTACTGAATACTAACCTCGTGCCAGTTGGTTTCTACAAGCCCTTAAAGTTTGAAAAAGGCCAAATCCATCAATAGTAACAACTACAGTTGAGAAAGCAATTAATAGTTCATCAGGCTGAAAATAATAATTTGAAATCAGAAAAGACGCATTTGTCTTCATTTGATAATTGTACAGTTTAATAACCGAAATTTTGTTTCAATAGTTGGTATCCTCATAGATAAATACAAAAATTTGTATAATCTATTCCCCATAAGAAGAGATATGAAAGCCTAAATATGGTAGAGTCGATTATTTAAAATGAGGATTACGTAAATATGCATTTCAGAAAGTTTATGGTAAGTAAGCGTCACCCCAATGACATTTACTCACCCTAATGATATTTTTGCATTAAAACTAATTCTCCGAAGGTCAATCCATTTATTATGGTAAAGATCATTCAATAAGTCAGGAACAAAAGTGTCTATTGCAAAGCTGGTGACTTATACTGAATAAAAAGAAATTTTTTATTTTTCAAATATCAATCTTAAAAATTTGATATTTAGACTAATTAAGACTAATAAAAAAAAAACAAATAGGCACCTCCATATTTTTAATTTAAAAAAATGATAAGTTTTTTTTCTCAAATGAGTATTTATATAATAGGACCCAGTTCTGCTGGTCCATGTCTGATGAGACACTAGAAAAAATTTTAGTTTAAAGAAGGTAACCATTGCTATGAAAGAGACTTTTCAAAAGAATTTTGAATTAATGCAAAATTAATTTTTTTAATAATTTAATTCTTTTTAGATTAATGCTAATAAGTTTATATATGTATATAATATTGCATACTATAGATTAAATGTTATGTTGTAATAAACTAAATAATATTTATATGAGACTTAAAATAATAAATGTTTCCATGTAATCAAGAATTGATAAATTAATACTATTGTGCCAGCAATTAGCTGATCAAAAATCTTTTTCTTCTTTGGTTTTTTAAAAAAAAGGTGAGTTTATTCTTTATTATTTGCTTATTATAGTGGATTTATAAAATAATTATTTGAAATTAGTTTTTTTTAATAAATTTATTAGCTTCAGTTGAAATCTTTTGCATTTTTAGGCCTTTCTTCTGCATTTTTTTTTTTTTTTTTTTTTTTTTTTTTTNATTTTTTTTTTTTTTTTTTGTTGATCTTCTGCATACGAAAAACTAGGGGTTGGCAGCTATGGTGTTTAGCATTATCTATACAATTTTACTTAAAACTTTATTATTTTTATGTATATGCAATATTTTTGTGTACACATGATATTTCTATGTATATTATGAAATAAATATATATGTACTGATGAACTTCATTCATAATAAGCAGAAATCAAGTGCTGCTAAAAAATTGCTTTGTTGAAGAAAATCATATAAGTTTTTAAACGTTTACTAAATTATAAATATGATGCTCACTTTTTTTATTGTGTACAATAAAAAAAAAGTTAATTTGCTTAGAGCTGTCTCACCGTCTGTTTGTGAAAAACTCATGGCACAAAAAAATTGTCCGAATTTGTCGACACGATAAACATTAAAAAAGAATTTTTCAAAGCAATGGTTATTTGAGGTTGTATTAAGTTGAAGTTTTATGAATATGAAAAATAGGGCTTGCTAAAACCGGGTTCTACTTGTTAAAACTGATATTCTCCAATTAGGAAGTGCATTGTTGGGAAATTTTGTATAATTCTGAAGAGGCTCGATGCTTGAAGTTATGCATCGAGCTCGATGCTTGTTAACAACTAAATATTTTTTAATATAAGTTTAATGTAGTAGTTGTTTGTCGAATTTTTTTTTAATTTTTAAAAATTTATATAAATGTTATTAGTTATTTAACTAACTATTGGTAATGAGTATTTTGTGTACATTTTCATTTGATACTCTAATTGGGCTAACAGGAAGTTTTCGCTCATTAATAGATAAAAGGAAAAATCAATTACATCACACCTTAAAAGGAGGATCAAAGCAAAAAGCTGTTACAACAAACACGGCAACGTCTAAGTCAAAAATAATACGAGCTATTGGGTGGGCAGGTAAAAATTTGGAAAATCTTATCTCCTGAATGAAAAAGCAGAAAAATAGCTAAAATAAGTATAAATGTGGAAAGCTTCTGCAAAATATGGAAGGGCTGGCAGCTATGAAACACTAATAATTATTAAGTAATTATTTCATTAAGTAAAGAGAATTACTTGACTCTACATATAAATCATGCACCACAAATTTGATGTAACTGAAATTGACAGCAAAATAAGTAGGGAAAAAATTGTCCATGTAAATTAAGTATATATGATTACTTATCTATGAGTAAAACTTTTTTATTTTCTAATAAAACCTATTTTTAAAAAAAATTATTACAAAAAATCCTGTATACTCTTAGTTGTACAGGAAAGACCTTACTTTACCTGATCAGCGCAGTTAGTAAAATGATGAGGAACATGAGTCTTGCATCTTAGATGATTAACAGGTTCTTCATGTAGCTTTTGTGAAAGAAGAATATCAGCACTCTATAAAATTTCATGGAAAGAAAGTACATTAAAATACATATTGTCTCTTATTCAAAAATACTTTCAACTTTTAAAAATTATCAATATTTTAAAACAAATGCAGCTTTTTATATTGATTCATCTAGATTTGTTTGATTTATTTAGCTGGTACTAATTAATTTTGAAACTACAATTATACAAGCTTTATCTGGCAACAGCAAAAAATCATCTGGTTATGAAATTGTGTTTCAGGAACTGTTAACAATACAGTGAACTATTCATGAGAAAGCATACTATGTACTGAAATATGTCAAAACATTACCATTTATAACTGTTTAAAAACATTTTTGAATGAGATTTGGTAAAGATTCACAGCATCATCAAGCACAGGGTTAAACATTTTCAGTTTACAAGCTGCTTAAATCAGTACAAAAAACTAAATCAACTCAAAAACAAAGAGCAACTAAAGCAGCAGTGCTCAAATAGTAGACATTCTATACTGAGTGTGGTAGTATAACTGGAATTCCACATGGATATTTGCTGTAAAGCTAGAAAACACAGAAAACATCCATAGAACCCTGATAGTAATAGTTTCACTGTAAATTTTATTTATCAATATAAATTAATTACAGTATTTACATGTGTACTCCGTCTTGTTCTATTAAATATAAAACAACCATACTTATATGACGAAATTTCAGAAAATATGGTAGAGTTACAAAAAATATACACTTTAATAATTTTAAAATAGGCTAAACAAAAATGTTTCTAACTTCAGTATATATTCTAATAAAGCCAGAGGAAAAGCCAACAATAATACAGGTCCAATCAGGGCCACCTTGAAGACTTCTGCAAAAAAAAATATATATATTTTTAACAATAAAAGTATTATGGATGAAAATTAAAACAATTAAAAATATAATTGAGGTTTATCAATGTCATAAATAGATGAAGAGAGGAACTTTATACAATTGAAAAGATTGGAATCATAGTCCATGGCAAAATATACATACTGATATTTAAATTATTCAATATGGCTTTAATTAGTCTGCTATAAATTCAAAAATAGCATGCCATCATTAAAATTTAAGATCAACAAGAACCAAATGTTAGTTTTGAAAAACGTACATTAAAACCTATCACTTCAAAAAATTTGTTTTATAAAGTTCCAGTTCTATTTGCAAATACATTAGTACAAAGAAGTTGTAGACAAATTTTTCAATGAAAATTTTTTTTAAAGATAATCGTATCAAGTATTGCTACTACTCTCCTCACTCCATGAAATTCAAAAATCAAAATTTGTAATTGACTAAAAAAGGGCACAAGAATAAAATAATAATCTAGTTGATTAAAATAACATTTATTTTGTTGCCACATCTTTTTTTTTTTTTTTTTTTTTAAGAAAAACAATTTCGAAGTTGTTTTACCTTTTCTGAGATGCCAAAGGAAGACAGAAGATACTTGTGATATTTTCATCCCTATAAAAAAGATAAAAAAATTAGACAAAAATGCAATCAACAAACAAAACTGAATGAACTAAAAGTTGAATTTGTTCTAATACACTCAAGAAAATACACTAAAGTTTTACACAGTTAACAAATATACATATTGATGCCTTTGAAAGATAATCAATATCAAGGGTGTCAGAAAAGGAGATTTAGCATACAGTCGTAAAGGAAAAAGAATCTTCAACAATAGTTTTCATTGCTTTTTTTTTATTTTTAAAATTAGTTTAAAAAAATAAAGCACTACAACTGCCTACAATCATGTTGCTCCATTTTTTAGACCAAGGGTTTCCAACTTATATGAGGCCAGGGGTCGCAATTAAAAACACCAGTCAACCGCAACTTTATCAACATTTTATATGGGACTCTTTAATGTTTGAAGGAACATTATTTATTACTGTCAGATTTTTATCTAGTTGTACAAAACAAAAGTATTGAATTACAAATAATAATAAATATTTTCTCGAATAAATATTTTCTTGGATACAAAACCTGAAAAATAAACTTTTTGCACCGTTAGTATGTTAAATTTCCCAGAAATGAAGAAATTAGGTTATTTTTTAACGAAAGAAAGGTATTTTAAACACATTTAGATCTTTTACGAAAATTGTCTCCAAAAATTGACAACTAATATATTTTAGCTCGCGGGCCACAAAAAAAGGCTTTGCGGGCCGGATGCTGCCCGGGGGCCGCCAGTTGGTAACCACTGTTTTAGACTAAAGTCATGATGGTGACACTGTAATCAGATTTGGATGCCTATCTTCTTACTACAGCTACTTCCCAAACAAGCTGGTTTAGCCGAAGCTGGGTAGGCTCCAAGCCACCCTTTGGGATGTAACCCTGGCCCTTTACAATAACAGCTCATTGCCTTAACCACTGTGCCATTGTCGATAAAAAGTTGCTTCTAATAGTAGTTAATTACAGAATTAGTTGCTTCTAATAGTAGTTAATTACAGAATTCGTTGCTTCTAATAGTAGTTAATTACAGAATTAGTTGCTACTAATAGTAGTTAATTACAGAATTTTAACACTTTACAGAATAAATAAATCAACATACTTTTCAAGAGACAACTTTCCTTCAAACGCTGTTGTAAACTTCATTTTTATTTCACCTTCTTCAGCAGCATCCCATTTGGCTATAAATCAAGGGATTTTATTACAATTAATAATGATAAATAGTTTGATATAAAAAAATGACAAGAATTCTATAAAACATACACGTAAGAAACACAGCTTTTTGTCCATGAGCTAGAGCCAAAATATCTAATGTGGGTGATAATGAAGACACACAATTTTGCAACCAAGATTGATCTGCTCCTTTTAGTTTAGTAACTTCAGCTAATTTTTCTTCTGGTTGGTCCTCCAATTCCCAAGCACTGTTCCAGGCTTCAGCAGAATAGTCATCTATTATAAAACTTTCAGTGTCAAAAAATATGCATAACAGAAAAAAATATAAAAATAGAATAAATAAAATGCAATAAAGAATAAATAAAATGCAACTTAGTAAATTTTCATTTAGAAGAGTTTTTCAGAAGAAACTGAATATAATTAAATCAAAACAGTTTTCCATCCATGGATATGTTATACATAATTAATTCCTCTGGTAGCGAAGGAGGTGTAACATATAAAAATAAAATATAAAATACAAAGAGAATTTTTAGTAACTAACATCATTTCTGCATTTTCTTCAAGCAAAAATTATCACTTGATACAAATAAAACTAGAAACTGTAGTCTTGTAATGTTGTCTTAAATATTGTGTTAGTGTTTTAAAAAAACTCAATGGTCGAAACATGGTAAACTGTATTATTGAGATAGTATTATCTATTTTGTAGAGTGTATTAGAACTAGTTAATAGCCTTTTCTGGCTATTTTTTTAAATATTAGCTTAGTAAATGTATATGTTTTAAATTCTATTAATGCTTTATATAAGATTGGTGCAAATCTGACGTGATTTATTGTGCTTGGCATTCTTATTGCATCGAGCAGTGGACGCAATAAGAATGGGAATTCTCTAACATTTCTTGAATTTAATATTTACTTCCAAGAGAACCTCTAAAAACTGACTGTCAAATGTAAAAAATGGCTAAAAAAATAATAGTAAATTAGTTAGCTTATGCGAACATGGATTAAAATCTTTATATCCATCTTGATTGAAATCTTACCATTTCCATGTTTAAATGAACTAAAACTATCAGTTGCTCAGTTGATTTATGTAAACCTGTTTTTTTACTTATTGTTTCTAACAATCACCAACTTTTCTCGGCTTTGTACATGAGTACTTCCAATAAAATTTATCTCCAGAAAATAGTTAACTTGATAACATTCAAAAAGAAGCTTTTAATTTCTATATTTATTAAAATAAACTGTTGTTAACTATGAAAAAATGTGGTTTTAATGACCATTGGAAAAATATATTGTTTCATATTATCCAGACTATAAAAGCAATATGTGACTGTTTACTTTAAACACACTTAAAAAAATTGATGCAATATTTTTATCATTATTAGGTATTATAATGTAAAACTTTAATGTAAATAGATATTAAAACTTGAAGTATCTACCTTAAAAATTTTCCTCAAGTAAAATTGTGTGTTAATTTGCCTTATTTTTGCTATTTTGTGAATCATCCATGGAATTTTCACTTCCATAGATGCTCATGAATTAATTGAATTATGATTAAGTGTTTGATTTATGATACGTACATCACAATTGTATCCTCCTCTTTTTATGTTGCGGAATAAGAAACTTTGGTAATTTTATACATATTACATTAGTATCATAAAATTAACAAATTTATGATAAAAATTGTATTTTTTTAAATCTTCTGCAATGAAGTAAAAATATATAGCTAAGAATATTGTACAGGACAAAAAAAAAATTAATTATTAAGAATGTATAAAGTAATTTCAAGAAGCACTTTCAGTCGAGTGATAATGTAGCCAATCTATCTTATATCGCTATTTAAACATAATTTAGATGAATATATACCTTTCAAAACTCATAAATATTTGGAAACAAGGTAAATTAATCAATATTGTTAAAGTAAATAACTAAACCAAATGAAAACAAAAGAAAAACTAACCTGGTTCCACAACGTCTTCCGTAAATGATAAAGCACTTTTCACCGATTTTATGTTTGCAATCAAAGCACGTTTACCCAAATGACAAGACATAGCGAAGCATTTATTTTAATGAAAAATCTTTAATAGATTTATTTCAATATCAGGTTATGTTTTTCGTTGCTGAGCAAATCACATTGACGTATCAACTGATGTAAACAAACGTAAAACTAAAAGACGGGTACAGTTAAACCGATATCCCTTTTATTCATTTGAATGTCTGTAAATCTATTTGATTAAAAACAAACATTAGTACATTTTGATAGCTTATAATGAAGCGTATGAACTTTAATAGCCGTATCATTACTTTTAAATGTTAAACGAAAATCATTCATAATTTCATTATTTCTCATCGATTAAAAATCGATATAATGGCTTCGTTAAATAATCGATATATTAGTTTCGTTTTAAACCAAAAGTAAATTTTTGTCTGCTTACTTTCGAAATCATTATTTAAAAGCATTAACATCTTACAAATATACTATCATTGAACTTGTTTAAATTCCCTTGAAATAGTTATTTATTTTAACTAAATAAAATTGCTTATATCATGCACAGTAATTCTTTGGCCATTTAAAATTCTTTTATACAAGCATATTTTACGATATGCTAGTATTTTTCGTCGTTATAGAATTTTAGAAATTGTCACCTAAATGAATTTTTATACAACTATATTCATTTAAATGAATTTTTAAGACACTTAATATTTTTAGCAACTTCTGATATCATTAAAATTCATACAAATGTCAGAGCCAAAAGACTCCATTGCACAAGAGCAAACCAATGAAGCAGCAGAGCTGGAAAATCAATTTGTATTATCTTTGCCTACTGTTCCTGCTGCATCTTTACGAGCAGCAGTTAGATCAGGAGTTATGAATCTAAAAGACCGTTTAAAAATAGATCTAGAGCCAGATATGCGTCATGCAAAAGTTAATTTTGACAAATGGACTTTAAAAGGTAAAGTGATGGATTTACCTTCAATTATTGAATCTTATAAAACACTAGACTGTAAAACTTTCTATAAAACAGCAGACATTTGCCAAATTCTCATTTGCAAGGAAGAAGAAGAAGCTCCTCAAATTGAAGAAGAAGAAAACCCAAAAAAGAAAGACACAAAAGACAAAAGATTCATGCTACCACATGGCATAACACCTCCGTTAAAAAACGTTCGAAAACGCAGATTTCGCAAAACGCTGAAGAAAAAATACGTCGATTTTCCAGACATTGAAAAAGAAGTGAAACGTTTATTTAAAACAGATAATGAAGCAATAAGTGTTCGATTTGAAGTGATAAATGCAGATGATGATAAAGGAGATGGCGATGAAAAGCAGGATGATAATAATGTTTTAGCAGTGGAAGGCCCTGCTACAGAACCTAGTAATTTAGATGTAGCAGAATATGACATTTTTGGCGAAGTTCTCAGCAGTTCAGATGGAGAGGTAAACATTGATGAAGAATTGGAAAACAGTGAAACTGACTCAAAAATCAATGGACAAAAATCTCATTTAATGACGGAGTTCTCAAAAAGTATGTTAGGAAGCCCACAAATTGAAGCAAATGATAACCCAGAATACACAGCAGATGTCACAGTATACCAATTAGAATCTGCTGTGGCCGAGGAAAACTTGGATCAAATTTTAAAAGAACACAAAACAGATGAAGAAAAAACTGCATTGCTGGAGAAATTAGATGAACTGGAACATGAAATAGCAGATATATTAGCAAGAAGGAGGGCACAAGAACTTGAAATCATGAGCATTGAAAATCAAGCCCTAAAGCAGCGATTTCAAAGCATAATTGATAATCTAAAACAACAAGAATATGACAAGCAAAAAGAATATGATGACATTGTCACAATTTTGCATCAAAACTGAATAGGTTCATATTTTTAAAAAAAAAATATTGCATTTTTACGCAACTCATCACTAGAATAAATTTAAAATTAAAATGTATAAATAGTCTTTTTAAATTACCCAATTTCAAATTTTATCTTTTAAATTAGAATTTCCATATGTACTCATTGTCATAGATTCCCTAATTATGAATGTAAGAGATTTTTATCTACTGTAAATTAAACTTCCATAAACATTTATCATTAACCATGTTTTAAATTTTGTAATTATAAATTAAAAGAATTTTAATCTAGTCTAACAATTATTCTAGTTCACTTTCAATTAAGTTTAAATACATTCATGAGTCATTGTTCATGCATTATTGTTCATTAAATACATACATGAATCATTGTCATGTATAATATAGAGTGATTCTTTTTTCTTTTCTTTTTTTGACTGTAACAAACTTTCAACGTTAAAATTAGCTTTTATATACATTTATCATGTTCCATATTATAGATGTAATGACAAATAAAAAGGAATTTTTATCTAGTCTAACAAACATACCAGGTCAATTTCAATAAAGCTCCAATATGCATGTTTCATTGTCCTTTGCTTACTTAACCCTTTGATATACACCCAATAGCAATGTAGATTAACTTCAAGCAAGCTGAATCTTCAACCATGTCTAACTCCTGTATAATTAATGCAGGTAAAAGTGATATACATTAGAAGTTTTCAACCTGCAAGTCTAATGTTTTGTTACAACGCAGTCAGATATAATCCCAAAACTTTTTTAGGTGTAAAGGGTTACAACATTGATCATAATTAACTATTTTTTTTATCAAGTTTTACAAAACAAGTATGGAATCAAGAATTAAGTAAGATGTGGTCATTTTAACAGCCTCAAATGCATGTTTAAAAAAATTTCCAAACCAAACTAATTTTACTTTATTTTAAACATACATATGTTAAAATTAACATAAAACCAAAAAAAAATTATAAAAAGTAGAAGAAAAAAACTCAAATAAAAGCACAAATTTAGTGAAAGAACTAAAGTTTGTCTGAGGCTGGAATAAACAATTCAACCGACAAGTTCATAGAAAAAGCAATTTTAATAGAAACTGAGAAAATAGAACTTATTTGCAAATGAAATTTTAAATATAGGTTTTACAAAAGAAAATATATATATATATACACATATTTGTGCACTGCAAATTTGGGTAATATCCAAATTTTAATTTGAAATGTTATAGAAATCAATTAAGTCCTAATTAAATATGAAATCTTATTAAATACTTAAAACTGCTAGATTTATAAAATAAAAAATTTGACACTCAAAAAACTACAAAAATATTTGCATTACTAAACTGTTAATTAAAAAAATATACTGTTCAATAATTACTGAAACATATAAAACATACGCATAGGTTGGTATAAAAATTATTCAAAATAAAATATAAAAGCTGTATCACATTTTTTTTAGAATTACATCTTAAGTAAGTCAAAATAATTAACTGGTTTCTAATGAATAGCAAGTTACTCTCTTAAATTGTCCATAAAATGTCTAAATTTATAATTTGTTTAATAGCATAAGATTAGAAAGCTTAACTGTACATATTTTTAATGTTTGTGATGTATTGCTAATGATTTAACTAAATATGAATACATTGTGTTGAATTTATTTTTTACAAATGCCTGATGATTAAGTGTAGTGAAAAACAAAAGCATTTTTTCTATCTTTTACTATACAATAAAACAATGCTACAATTTTATAGCTTCGTTACAATCATGTTTTATGTTCTTTAGCAGACATTGATTGACGGCTTTTATTTGCAGCAGCAGCAACATTAGATGGTTTAACCTTTGTAGGATCATAAGAATATGTTCTCGGAATAGGACCAGTTCCTGCTTTTTGGAATCTGATTTCATCCATCCTTCTTCTATCTTCAGCAGCTGATAATGCCTTTTGATCTTCCCAGGCTACAACAAACCATAAATTGAATAAAATGTTTTTAACAGAATTTGTACAACTTTTTAAAAATCAAGGATATTTCACAGCATCTCCTAATTATTGTTAAAATAAAATATCTGAATACACCAGCAGAAATTATTTAATAGTTTTTTATTTTATTTTAGAATGTTAAATTCATGTGAACATAAACTACAGATAGAGAAAAATTTGATTTTTCCAGATTTCAATTCTGAACTTTATTGACAGAAGTGTAATAATAAGCAGTCAAAATAATAAAAGAAAAAGAAAAGATCAATTACTGTTTTTACACCACTATAATTAATTTTAAAGACATTGAATTTTGAAGGTATTAGTGACTTAAAATTAAAGTTTAATGACCAAGTTGCATACCTGCCAAAATTGGAAAAATAGTGACATTTCTTAGGCTACGAGTAAAGTTTTGATACATCATGCATAATCATGTAAGTCAAAAAGAGAAATTCAAAATTGGAAATAATATACACACGTACATTTAGCGAAGTAAAAAATATGTACTAAATCTTAATCTATAAGAGATCTTTTTAAACCATTATTTATAATTACTTAAACTATTACCACTCAACATACTACAGTACTACGCTGATGGCAACTGCCGTAGCGAGGAATAAGAGAAGTATTTTTGCCATCAACGGATATTTTATCGCCAAAATGTTTTTTTAAAAAAAAATTTCTTAAACAAATACGAAGAAATTTGAGAATATACGGGTAAATAGGAGATAGATACAGGAGTCTTTGTTAAAAAACAGGAGACTTGGCAGGTACGAAATTGTTAAAAACGATTAACCTTTAAAAAGGTGGCTAAAAACATCCAGAAAAAAAATTTCCCGATTTTTCCGACTGATTTTATCAAATATTTCTGATTGTCATTAATAGCATTAATTAATTTTATACTTTATAATGTGAGTTTAATTTTTTTCTCAGTTCGATTTTATCTATGTCATAAATTTTAATACAAAACACACTAGCTAAAAAAATTATTATTAGGAAAAACTAAACACGATAAGTCATTAAAAATGTATAATGGATACAGAAAAAAAAAAAAATTTTTTTTTTGGTATGACAGATCAAAGGTAATTCTATGAGTAACTGAAATACTATTTTCTGAATATTGAAGATGAATAATTCTTTTGACAGTGCAATAATTTCTAAAAAAAAAATTTAGAAAATACTCTTTGCTTTAAAATATTTTTGGGGTAAAATGTGCTAAATGATTAAGGTTTCTATTGAAGAAAAATAAGTTTCAGTGGAAATCTATGCAATGATGAAAATCAAAACAAAATCGACCATCTGATAATTTCTTACAGAATTTGTAAACATTTTTTTAGGAAAAAATATTGAAACTTCAGATACTTGAAATCCCAATTAGATCATCTTATCTGATTCGGGGGTAATTTCAATACATTTCTCTGATCTGTTTTATGACTACCAGGAAAAGCTACAAAGAAATGTCTTAGTTTCATGATCAAATTTAAATTTAAGATGTTACATTAAATACATACACTGATTAGCACAAATAGAAATGTGCATAAAAATGAGTTTTTCCCCCTTTCAAATTTTAAATCTGAGCTTAATTGACCGCCATGAGTTATTTTTCAACAAATTAATAACTAATTATAATTTTAAACACTCTAACTTACACAGATTGGTACTCACTAGAAAATATTGGTGAAATGTAGATGTGTTAGAATAATGTTAAATTTATGGAGTTTGTATTGTTTGTTGATATTGTATTACCCAAAAAGAAAGATATTGTTTGTTGGCGTTAAGTTTTACATACAAAATAAATCAACATTTAAGACTTTAAATCATTAACCATATTTCTAAATGTATTTATTTTTAGTCAATACATCATTATACCAATTAAACATTTAGCAAATACCAAAGAAATCAATTACTTTAAGGGATATATTCATTTACCTTCTTATTTAAAATATTATTTGTGCTTAACTTTCTCTAAAAAACATTGCTGTTTGTATTCAAAAATATTTCAATAGAAGGTTATAAGAATTTCGTCTATGAACTTTTCATTCTGAAATCAACTCAGAAAGCATGATTAAGAAATTGAACACAACGAAAAATGCGCCTTTTTAATATTCAACGAAGAATTTCGTACTAACTTTACTGTTTTAAACACAAAGCATAATCATAATGATGCAAGGTATATTATAAATGTAACTTTTCAGGTCATATTTTCATATTTAGAATATTAAATGATAAAGTGGTTTTTAAAAATTTTAATTCATACAATGAAAATATACCACTATTATACATTTATAAGACCCTTGACAATTTCTGAAAACAATTGTCAACGTTTAAAATCTTTAAAAAATATAAGCTAATTTAAAAATTGTACTGAGTAATTTAGGCAAATGGACGATGTTATATTACAAATTTATTTGAATCCATTATTTCATTCGTTAATAAAAGAATGATTCTTATAAGAGAAGTTAAAATAATTAAATTAAGATTTTAATGTAAATTTAAATTAAATACTGTGCCCACTTTCTTTGATACCATGTACGCCAGTATATAAGTCAACTCTTAAAATCAACCAAAATTTTATACAAATCAGAAGGTAGACTTATACACTTGCAATAAAGTCGGGCATTCTTTGATCACGAAACATTGATGCATTATAAACAATGATATAGATATAAATAACTCTGTATCGATTCTCTCCTTTCGAAAAATATGAATTTATTATATGTAATTTATTTTGGATTTTTCTCTTATATTTTCTTCACACATAAAGGTTTATTTTTATAAAAACAATACTTTAATGTTCAGAAAAAAATGAAGAATAAGAAAAGTTAAAATAATTTATTAATTTATTCAAGAGTATTTCAAAAAGGTATAACATGAAAACTTTTAAAACATGACATGAAGCTACAAATTTAAAGACTCCAGAACATCATCTAGGGTGGATTCAATGTTAGCAGTGCCTATAATGTAGTTTGAGATCAAATGTATCATATCCAGATAGAACAGTGTGAAATATTTTTACCTTGAGAAAATTTTCTTGAGAAATTTTCATATTTGGTTTTTTACAGCGATCTATTTATACACTCGACATCTAAAACATTTGCTATCTCGTAATCAAAAATAAGGAGTTGACTTATACAATGGATTAATTTATACACGGAATATCCGTTACCGTTGTCCTTCCTCAAGAACACCCTTTTTAAGCTGTGTCCACTTTCTTAAACATGCATTTTGAGTTATGACCATTTTCTCAAATATGCATTTTCAGTTGAGTCCACAAAAAAAATCTCACTCATTATCTACTTCTCATTCGATATTTAAATGTCTACCTAACATTTCTTTTATAAACAGAAGAAAGGGGCAGATGCTTAAAAGAAAAAAAATTATGTCATTCAAGTATTTAAATTCAATTTTTTTCAATCACCGCATGTATAGTTCAAGAAATTAAATACTTTTTCCAGAAATTTTTTGCCCCTTTTATTTTATTTGTTTTTAACTTAGTTGAATGAAGAAGTTTTTTAAATTTCATTAAGAATAAGTTTAGACACAAAAAATCAAACTAGATAAATATGAAATACTTCATACATATTCATATTTCAATTATTTTCTTAATATAGAGAAATGTTAATCAAGGAAATAAAACTTACCTTCTTTCATTCCGCCAACAAATGATTTTTTAGGCATAATAAACTTTGGGTCAACAGCCTGTTGTTGTGGTAAATTCAAGTACTGACGAACAGGAGGCAATCTCAAAATTGATACAATTGCTAGAGTACAAAAATTAGTTGTAACCCAGTAATATAAAACAGCCTAAAATAAAAAAACTAACAGATAAGTCAAATTACATAAAAGAAAATGACAATTTTTATTACAAACATTTACATTATGATACAAGAAATAAAAACATGAGTACAAAAACTAAATACAAAGAATTAAAATCCTAATTAGAAAAGGTGTAAAAAATGAAACTTTGATAAGGAGGCTCCATTTAAAATATAACTCTAATTGGATTTGAAGTTTTTGAATTGATTACTAATATAATATAACAGTATTAAAAAGTATTAGTATAATTTATCTCTCTCTGTGTGTGTGTGTGTGTGTGTGTGTGTGTGTGTGTGTGTGTGTGTGTGCGTGTGTGTAAAAGAACCTTTTAGTTTTAATTTTCATTAATTTGATTAATTATACTTAATTTCAAAAAATAATAATTTTTAATTTTCAAAACTAATTTTCCAAAAAAAATGTAATTTCAAAAATAATATATGTATCACATTTCTGATTTAATACATGTATTGTGACAGTTACTAAGTCATACTAGTCATATATATTTTACTACATCCAATAAAAAGCCAGAAATGAATCATCTCAAAAATTATTAGTTAACATAGAAAATGTAGTAAAAGCAAGCTTTGCTTCTTATTTTAATGTCTCATCCCACGATAAAATGAAAAAAAGTAATGCTTTACAAAAATTTCCTAATATCAAAATAAGTAAAAAAAATTTAAAATTTTAATTGACTAAACAGAATTTTTACAATGCATGATAAGATTTCAAAAAGTCTGTAACAAAGCATAGTATTGATTAACAAATTTAATTCTAATTATATGTTGATCCTCTGAGCTAGTTACTTAAAAAAATAATTAGTTGAGAATACAACAAATCAATAAATAGTTTCAGATTGTTGTTCCTAGAAAATGTTTTATATTGTGCAATTTTAAATTCATTTTTTTAACACAAAAAAATCATAATTCCCTTAATTGCATTTTTAGACCATTTAATTTTTATCCAGTTTTTTTAAAACATAATTAAAACAACATAACATAAATCAAAAACCTTTGGAAGAATAACTGTATACACTATTTTAAAGCATTCAGAATAAACATTAAATTATTATCTAAGTTGGATCTATTTATAACATACATTTGCCAGGTAACATAAAAGTCATTAAACAAAGACCAGGAAAAATAGTTTTCTTTAGATATTCAGTTCCAATAATATAGTGTATATAGTGTTCCAATAGTGTTCTATATAGTGTATATAGTTAATATAGTGTTCCAATAATATAGAATAAACATTATATTATTATCTAAGTTGGATCTATTTATAACATACATTTGCCAGGTAACATAAAAGTCATTAAACACTGTCCAGGAAAAATAGTTTTCTTTAGATATTCAGTTCCAATAATATAGTGTATATAGTGTTCCAATAGTGTTCTATATAGTGTATATAGTTAATATAGTGTTCCAATAATATAGAATAAACATTATATTATTATCTAAGTTGGATCTATTTATAACATACATTTGCCAGGTAACATAAAAGTCATTAAACACTGTCCAGGAAAAATAGTTTTCTTTAGATATTCAGTTCCAATAATATAGTGACATGCTAGCTATTCCTATACACGAAAAACCACTGAAAGTATAAAATCCAGCTTTAAAATTATCAAGACATGATAAATCATTAAAAAAAACCTTTATTTGGATATTGATACTTTAAAATTTTAGAATATTTTTCAACAACAGTTATTAATGTCTTTGTTGAATAAGGCAATAATCAGACATTTTATTTTAAATTACGCCCGCCAGCGTCTTCTCAGACATAAGGCGTCTTGCAGTCCAATACAACACTGAAGTAGCTCCAGAAGGTGAGAGGGCACGAAAGTCATCACAGGAACGAATGTCAAGAAGAGAGGGGCAATCAAATAGATGCTCCCCAGTCATAGGCAAAGTGTTACATGGCACACAAAGAGGTGAATTGAACAGGTTAATTTTAAATAGATGGGCCTGCAAGTAGTCATGTCCAGTAATTATTCTAAGGCAAGCAACTCCCTCAGCTCTGGGAAGGAGGAAACTGATGAGAGCGCTGCTGGTCATCAAGAAGGCTAGCCCAGGACTTTCCATCGACTAAGTCCCTAAAAGCAGATATTGTTCTGTGCCTGAATTTGCTCCTAAGAAGCCGCCTTGCATTTAATCAGACATGCTACAACAGTTTTACAAAAAACTTATAATTTATGTATGATGATATAAAAATTTAGAAACATGTTTTTAAAACTAAAAATTACACTATACAAAAATTAATAAAAATCTTTTTTTTTAAATATATTTAGAAATTTCACTTTAAGTAATAAATTTTATCAATTAGTTGTCTCAGAATATCTTTTCTTATTGAACTCATTAATTACAAGATAAAATTTATCTATCTGACTAAGAGTCATTCTGTCTAAAATTGTAATTTCGTAATTTATGAATGATCCCACAGTCCATCCTTTTAAAAATTCTCCGATTTCTTTTTCTTTTTTTTTTTTAAACTTTACAAAGATACAATTTCATATTTTTTTAAGCAATCTCCATCTTAGGACATTTGATTTCATCTTATAATAATATTAAATAAGTATATGACCCCAAATTAACCTTTATAAAATTTCATGATAATAAAATTTAATTAAACAAGGTTTCTTTTATAATATTATTTAAAAGTCCAAAAAAATTTTTAAACCACTAATTGATTAAAATAACTTTAATCAACTTTATTAAATTCAGAAATGGTCCCCTAGTTCAATGTATCAAAATTTTTGCTATTTTAGAATTTTTAGTTAAGTATTATAACGGAAATCAGGTAATAAAAGAAATCCAAAGATTTGTGTTATAGAGGCCCATCTGAATAATAAATAGTACTGTTAATTTAATGGTATAAAAAAACACATATTAGGGATAATTCACTCCAAAGTGTTTATTAAGCACATCAATAACAATAATGCATAATATTTACAAAATAACAAAACCAAAACAAAAAAAAAAGATTGAGAATAAAATACAATTATATAATACATACCGCAGGAAAATTTATGCAAAATGGTAAAGCCACTACAGGTAAGGCTTGTAAAAAATATCTAGCCATTTTCATGTTTTCAAGTTTCACTCCAGACTCAGCTCCAATCTAAAAATATAAAATGTTCTGTAAGTTTTAAAAATGTTAATTTTTTAAACAAAATAATGAAATATAGAGCAGATAAAATCTAGAAATATTCAATCATGTCACATGAATCATTATACATAATATCATGAAATGTTAATACATGTTATGAAACATACAGTTTTACAAATTAACAAGGAATGATCATACATTTATTTTTGCAAAACTAATGCCTTACCTTCAATACTATGTATAAAGTACTGCAAGAAATAACTGGCAATATGTAATAAGGATCAGGTATTGTCAAATCTGTCGCCCACCACAATCCACCTTCCTTCATACTTTCTACCGGAGCTTTTGCCATTGCCCTCAATCCCAAAAAGAAAGATATAAACACAGGAGCCTAATTCAGAAGAAAAACAAATCTGCTATAAACAGTCATTCTTATGAAGTCACAGAAGTTCATTCAAAAGAACTTACAGAAACACAGATGCATAAATGAAACACAAACTTCAAAATTAATTAAAAAGATTTGTCAACTTCATTTTTGTTTCTATTTGCCTAAGACATTAAAATAAAATCTTAACATTCTAAAAAATTCCTTTTTAGTGGTTGATCAATTTAACTTTTTTATAGTACAAGTTAAAATATAAACATTTCCTCTTTCATTTAAACGTTTCTGAATTTAAAAAAGATTTAAATAAATAAAAATTTTAGTCTGTATTCAATATTTCCATTGTTAATATAAAACAATATACTTTTTTAAAAATTTAAATAACAATACTATTATATAATTTAAAATTAATAGATAAAATGTATGCCCGAAACAATAAATTAAAAGAAAAACGTCTCTACAATAACAATATGCTCATGAGTCTTGTCCATGACCTTGCACCTAAACAGATGGCTATGAAATAAAATTGGACAATTTCAATAGTATATGAGGTAGAATTAAAAAGTTCCTATAATAGGTCAAAAAAGAACAATAATTTGACTTTATTAGCCTTCTTCTAGCGCTCGTATAACTAATTCAAAAACTCTTAGAATCTATTTTCTAAGAGGTTCTTGAGCTGCTTCTTCGCATTTTCGATTACGTCATTTGAATCCAGAAAACAGAGTCCCTTCGATTTCATTTTCATCCCTACAAATATATAAAAATCCAGTGGTGCTAGTTCGGGAGAAAAAGCAGGTTGTTCCAGAGTGAAAACATTGTGTCTGGCAAGTAATTATTCATAATTAGAGTGCAATATGATGGAGCATTGTTGCGCAAAAAAAAAAATTTGTTGCCCATTTTCAGGGTTTTTTTCTGATTGTATCTCATAGTGGTTTAAGAATATCCATATAAAGATATTGACAGCTTGGTATTCAGGAATTAATTCATAGTCAGTGACGGCCTAGTAATCGAAAAACACTTCCATGTCACTTTCTCTCAGTTTTTGTCCAAGCAAAATTTTTCCTTTCTTTGAGATGCTTTTGCTTTCCAGTTATTTGATTGGCCTTTTGTCTGAGAGCTGTAAAGAAAGCACTATGCCTGATCACCTGCTATGATTTTCTTCAAGAAGCTGTTATCTTCATCGGCCATGTCAATGGAATCATCACACATGTCCACACTCACTTCTTTTTGTTTAGGTGATAACATTTTTGGAACCATGTGTAAACAAACATGATGCATGTTCAAATCATCTTGAATATACATGTGAAATTCCAAGCTCAGAGGCAATAGCATTAATGGATATTCCTCTGTAAGCATGCGCGATTTCTCCAACGCCCTCAAATGTGTTTGAGAAATTTCATTTTCATCTGTGTAGCAAGAGAAGAGGAATCCAGTCCAAGATCCTCTTCGATGTTTGTATGACATTAACGAAAACCCTGATGCCAATTGTACACCACCGCTTTTTTTAATGGCATCGTTTCTGTATGCTTTCTTCAGCATCTTGAGCATCTCATAAGGTGATTTCTGGAGCAAAACGCAGAACTTGATGCTTGTACACTGCTCTAAATGTGACACTTCTATGTTCGACGAATGAGAAATTTGCTTTGTCAGAAATGATCTACAGTTAAAGTTAACAGTACCAAAAATGAATTCCAGATGGTTGCTTGTTTTCGTTATTAGTGCTGCTAACGTCTAAAAAAAATATTTTCTCTCCAACAAGCCCCTGCGTGAATGTAGGGGAACATTCCTGCAATTTATGGACTCTACCTCGTATGACACCTGATGTGCCTAATAGAAGCAATGCATTTTAACAAAATGAAATCATATTAAAAAAAATTATAGAGTAGAAAAATAGGCGGCTAAAAACCTGTAAAAAGTTAAACTTTTTATAGAACTTTTCTACCACATAACTCTTCACTGATTGATCAACTGTTTGAAAAAAGTAAGAGCTGGAAGTGCATTGCCAAATTTAAACTACAGTACATGTTCAATACAAAAAAAATTAAATGGAATTATAAATGAAGTTTGGTGTAAGGAAAATAGGAAAGATCACCATGGTACTCTGAGGTTGTGAAATCTACATTTGCTGAAGAAGGTAAGCCCTCCTAAGTCTAATTCTTTGTCTAAATCTGCAAATATGATATTTAATAGCCTAAAAAAACACAGCACTCATTTTTAAAAAATTATATCAGGGGGAAAATATAGCTATCATATCATACCTGAGCCATTGGAAGCAGAGCATTTTTTATTGGACTTATATTGTGGTCTTTCATGAACATCACTATTTCTTGTGCAAATCTAGAAGCTAAAAAAACAAGAATTTTTAAAGACAATCAATAAAAATTAAACGTATATTATGTATTTACCCGCATGAGAAAAAAGTCAAGCTTTTAGAAATGTAGTTGATTCCTATGGAAATAAGTTATTCTATTTTATGAATGTGAAAGAAAAACATATTTTTTAGTGGCGTAAACAAGTGGGACCTACTTGAAACAGATTGAAGATTATAAAATGAATTGGTAATTGCTAAGGTAATACTTTTGCTTATTATTATTATTACTTACATTTTATGGTTTGTTTCATTATGTTAGTCTATTTTTTTTTTTTTTTTTNTTTTTTTTTTTTTTTTTTGGATCTATTAACACCAAATACTGGTTATTAAATCAAATACTGAAAAATCACATGTCTGTTTGGATGCCAAAAAATGAAACAATATTGAAGTAAAAAACTGCCTACATATTATTAATGCATGAACATATCTATCTTTAACAATTTAAAGTATACTTTAAAAAATGTAGGCAATTTTATTTAACTTTACTAAGCATAATTTAAGGTATTTCATACTGAATAAAATGCAAGAATAAAAAGAATAAGAAAAAGAAAATAAAAATTTACTGAAATTCAACTTGGACCACCACAATCTGAGAAATTTGAGACCTCAATGGGAAAAAAAAACTTAAGTTTTAAATTTTGTAATTCTTCTTCTCAATTACCATTTCCCGAGAACTAACTTTTACCTGCACCAATTTTTTCACAAAGCAGCAATTGAATAGAAGTTATATTACAAATGATAGTACAGGATAGACCATTACTCATGAAATAAAATCCACTTAAATGGCTGATATTTGTACATGATTTAAACACAAAGTAAGATTGTCAGGTCAAAATAAGCAGATCAAGTATATTATAATTTTTAAGTTAAAATTATATTTCATCAAATCTCTATATTAAATATCAATCTTCAAAAAAAGGTTTTAATAATCTTTATTGAGAATTTTTTCTCAGAAACTGTATTTCAGTAGAAAATGCTAATTTTATAAATAGATAGATTTTCTTTAACTGTTCATACACTTACAAAGTGTTATTAAATTTACTTTGTAGTGTTTTGGCTCCCTAATATATCTGTTAGTACACCATCACATTTTTCGTTTTTAAAGTTAATATTATATGAACATAATAACCTCGGTAATAATGTCTATTAAAGCCCCTTTACTTAAGTTCTGAAGAAATTTAGATATTTTACAACAAACATTTTTTTTTATAACAGTCACTTTCAATAAATCTAAAATTACTCAAATCATACTTTTAAAAAAGAGAAATCTTTATCATTTCTTTTTAAATTATTCCTTCTATCAAAATGAGAGGATTTTATTTTATCAAAATGATCCAAATATTTTTTTACTTTTGTAAAAAATTTATCTAATAATTACGATTCGAAACTTCTTCATCTACAATAATAATAAATAAAAAACAAATAATTTTGATTGGAGTGATTTGTTCATAATTGATTTGTTCATGAACCTAATGTGACCTTAGGGGTGTTATAAAAAAATAATATATTTTTTACCACACATTAACAATTATTAATAAAATTTCGTATTTTTTAAAAATATTTTTTTAGCACAGTAATAAAAAAAATTTTAAATACCAAATATATAACAAACTAAGCAATGTGTGCTAGCACTGTTTATGGCAAAATATAGTAATCTAGATACTTACCTCATCGACAAAAAAAAATCAATAAATAAGAAAAACAATGCTCTTTTAGCTGATATAAATATTTTAAGTATACATATTTTCAACTAATCTGAAATACAAAATAATAATGGTAATAATTACTGAGGCAGGAAACAGCAATCTCTGTATAGAACATAAAATACTAGATTATATCAAATTGTAAATAACTATTATATGTAATATATGTAATACCTTCCATAGTGTTACCAGAGCGGCGGGCTTCTCCAAATCTAGCTTGTAAGAACTGAAGCTGAGGCATATGATTGCTCATGTTCAGAGTGTTTCTTTGAGTCTTTATTAATATTGGAAGTAAAAGAATTCTGGCAATAACAGTAGCTGAAATATAGATATTTAAAAAAATATTAATAATGTTATTTATTAATTTATCTTTTAAATATATATATTAACGTTAGGGAAAAAAATAACCATAACTAATTGTTTTATTTTTCATTTAAATCAAGTTCAAATAATCAAAATCATGATAGTTCAATATTTGAATAAATAAATAAATTTATTGATCTTCGATTTGATTTTCTGAAACCATTCTGCATTAAAATAAGTCTAAAATCATACATACTTTTTTAATTGCTGTGGTACTATAGCATAAATCAGGGCTCGAAAAACAGCCCGTCCTTGACGGTCAAAAATTCTCCGCGGAAAACGAATTTCTCGAATCCGACGTCCGCACAGACGGCCATTTTCCCGTTAATGTTCGTGATACATTTTCAATTTTTTTTATCTTACAAGAGTCTTGTAAGTTACAAGGCAGCAAAATGACCCACAATACAGCAACATACTGCGCATATATTGATGTTTTCTCTGTCTGGGAGTACTGAAGCGGTTGAAAGGGGCTTTGCAGCAATAAACTTACAAAAAAACACAGTACGTACTGGTCTTAAACAAGAAGCTTTAACAGCAATTATGAACATCTACCTAAATGGAAAACCCCTTTCAGCTTTCTGTTCCGAAACCTCTGTAAATCATTGGCTTGATTGTGGAACTGGCAAACGTCATATTTGATTCATTTAAAAAATGCAGTACCCTCGGATAACTTGACATTCCAGATAACTTGACCCTTGTCTTTTAAATTATTTCATAAAAGAAATACTATGTTACTACTAGTAACCCAGTATTTCTTTTATTACTGTATAATGTAATCCTAGTAACAACTAATTCATTGTGAAATTTATATAAATGTTTGTAATAAATAGGAGAAAATTATATTTTTATTTATTTAAAAGCAACGGATTAGTTTCAACGGAGGACGGCTGCATTGTTGGACAAGCTGTCCTCGGGGACGGGTAAAATTTCTGAGTTTTTTCGAGCCCTGGCATAAATAGTCTGGATTTTCCTAAATTATTTTCAGCCACCTTAGTTTTTCCTTAAAAATGAGTATATAATTTACTTATTCATTATGTATACATTAATAGTTCAAATAATCAAAATCATGATAGTTTGATATTTGAATAAATAAATAAATTTATTGATCTTCGATTTGATTTTCTGAAACCATTCTGTATTAAAATAAGTCAAAAATCATATATACTTTTTTAATTGCTGTAATACTATAGCATAAATAGTCCGGATTTTCCAAAATTATTTTCAGCCATCTTAGTTTTTCCTTAAAAATGAGTATATAATTTACTTATTTATTATATATACATTAATAGTAGCATCTAAAGTAAATGGAATCCAATTCATTACTGTATTAGATGTGTAAAGAGATAAAAAAAATTAAAAAAATTAACTGTAAAAGGATTTTTTTTAACTCAGTTCATATTTGTCACATATTTTTTCATGATATTTTAATAAATGCAATATTTTTGAAATCCCATTTTTTATTTAAAGGTGGCCAAAATGATAAGAAGTATTCAAGTTTGTATGGCCAAGTTTAAACATACAAAATCTATTACAAGTGTTCAATAATAAATAAAATATAAATATTTGTCATACATTATCTTTTTAATTTTAATAATAGGAAACTATTTTATGATTTGCAAAATTTTTGAAACCCAATTTTTCAAGCTCTCAAACTTATGAAAGGTATTTTAATTCAAGAATGTTGCTTAAACTATACTCACGCTTATTTATAATTTAAATAAACTATACCACCTACCAATAGTTATAGCCATCCACCAAGGCATTTGGGCACTAATGTGAAGATATTCTAAAATTACTTGTATCAACCCAACAGGAGTGTAATTAGCTAAACCTAAGCTAGCTAATGATGGTTCTGCAAACTGAGCAACAGTCTGCACATGATCAGAGAGAGTTACAGCAATATCTGATGCAGTAGAAACATGACTACCCGAGTCAGAAAGAACTTTTGAGACCTCTTCAATGCTTGAAACACTAGATGAAAGTTCAGCAGATGGTACCGATGGATTTGTAACAACAACCTACAGTTAAACCAAAATTAGAATAGTTCAAGGTTTAAATAACTATATAACTCAAAATAATAATATAAAAGTTTTTATAATGGGGAAAATAGACTACATTAAAAATATAAAAGTACACTCTACAATAGTGAAGTGACATTTTTGAGATTAATTTCTTAATATTTTATGTGCCGTTTCACATAAATAAATATTTGTGACTTTTTTTTAATATTTGAAGCCTTAGAAAAATGGCTTTTATCATGACTACAATTTAAGTTAACAAATTCAAAATGGGTCCATTATCCAAAGCATTCAAAATCATCCAACCTCTAACACATGGGTCACAAATTTTCATAAACGAACTTATATCAACTAAACATGCAGTCTATCTTTATCGAGCCTAAAATTCCTAATAGCAAAAAGAATTGAGTTTCCTTCACATTTACTACTTTAATAAAGAAAAAATCAAACATTATTTTAGCTACATATGATTTTTGTTTTCAAGTCATTTTCACAAACTATTTTTTAAAAACTTTTTTTTTGAAGCCTTTAAAATGATTTCCTGAAATCCAAAACTGCTTTTGAATATTTTTTTTAACATTTCTTACCAACACAATCAGAAATAGAACAATCATGCCTGAAACCCATGCTTTTATGACTTCCGGAGCTGGTACCCCCTGAAGACGCCAACTTTGGATGTCATATTTATCTAATTTTTTTTCTTCATATTTTCATACTCTTTTGTTTCATGCCTGAAACCATCATTCCAATGAAGCCCATATTGTATAATATGTTTACATAACTCTTTTTGATTTCGGAGAGCTATAGAAATTCTACTCACATGATAATGAGCAATCACCCAATGATTATGATTATAAAAATATAGTAAAAAACTTGCAGATTATTATGATGAATTTGTTTACATTGTTAATAATATGGTATATGATTCAATGTAAAATATAGAAATATGCAAAAAATATCTATCTATACATATAAGAAATTAATAAAAAATTATTTGATTTTATTGTTTTCTTGCTTAAATTAAGAAATGGTATAATACTTTTAAAATGCTAACTTATTGACTACAATTTAAAAAATATCATGATTTTAAATATTACAAATTTTTGATACCTCAAATTTTTTCATATCTACCTTCAAGTTTCAGCCGTAGTTACATAAATCATGTTTCAGTGAAAATTTAAATTTCGTTTCGTATGAAAGTTTTGTGAGAAATTACTTGATGTGTTTCAAATTTTGAGGATTATAATATACAAATCATCAAATTACTGCACTATTAAGCCATTAAGCAGCTTAAAATATCGCTGGAAAATTAAATGTGACATGGTTAATTCTAAGCCTTAAAGAAGGCAAGAGACTGTAAACAACTAAAATAAAAGAGTCATGCTAGGAGTAATCTTTTGATTCAAAGTGCAAATGAGTGGTGTGCCTTTTAAACCCCACCAAGAATGAACCACAATATTAGCATTCATAATTTATAATTTTATGTTTAAAGCTGAAAAAAAAACAACATAGATTTTTGGAACTATAGCTACATAGTGTTCGAGAAATAGCACTTACCTGAAAAGCATCTTTAGTTCCTTGAGATAAAAATGCAGCAGATATAAATAATTTGTCTAGAGGTTTTACATAGTTGGCTCGATTTTTTTCTTTACTAAACAGTACTGAAGAATAATAGTTTTGAGGTGTAAATGCTTTATAAAGACAAATCTAAAAAAAAAAAAATATCAAGTAACAAAATTAAACACAAGGTACAGTTATCTTATTTAAACAAAAATATACATTTTTTTAATTAAGTCCTTAAGTTGCTCTTTCAAGTATAAGAAGTCTTGCAGTCCAATACAAATTAAGAAATATCTCCAGGAGTGGAGAGTGTCTTGAAATAAGAAGAACTATGAGCATCTTTGAAAACAAAAATATAGGTACATATTTTTAACTCAGTTTCAAGTGAATTTTTCTATCCTCAAAACTATATATATCCAGCAAAATATTTTTAAACTTATTTTTAAATGACAAATCAATTAAATTCCATGGCTGATTTTTTCACCTTTTCGTATTAAAATCCTAAAATTCACATTAAATTTGTTTCTAAATCCTAGCATATCGATAAAATATTTTCCTTAAGCAAAATATTTACCGGCTAAAAGAATTCAAATTTATATTAGCAATAGATTTGAAATTTTAGTTGGTGATTGTATTCCAAGGGTCCTCCTCTATATGAGCCACTGATCATGCCAATCCGATGCTGCACTTTTAGTCCTCTTCTACATGTGATACTGGTCATGTAAATTCAAACAATTTTATCCCAATGAAAAGAATAGAAATTTTGATACCTAATATTGCATGTAACACTGCAACAAAATCATAATAAATTACTCCTTAGTTATAGGATACAACAGACATCTACAAGATAATGTATTTTTGGTAAATTAAAAAAAAAATAATTTTTTTTGGTAGATGTTAAAAGAAAGATAAGTGAGAGGATAATGTGAGGTCAAAGAAATTACTCTGATATTGCTACTATTAACCTTTTATTTACAATTAAAGCAAAATTAAACAACAGTTTAATTTTAAAACAAACATTTCTAATGACCTACTCTTTTTATCTTATAGGTACAATGCAGTCTCCTGCCTGTTTTCTACTTTGATCTACTAGATTTGATAGGTATGATGCACCAAATTAAGCTTAATAATAGACATCCTTTCTATTATTAAGCACAATCCAGAGAACACTCAATTTTACACTCTAATCATGAAATCATTAGAAATAATGATATATACTGCAAAAATATCACCTTATACCTGTATAACTTAAGTAAAAAGAGCATTATATAAAGAAAATTGAAGATGATTTCCGTATCGTGATCTCTGGCAGGAGAATCGTCAAATTCCGCAACTTTTGGGAGGTGGCTTGCGAGAAACTAAAACAAAACATCACAGAAGGAAACCAACTCAAAGGGTAAAGGAAATAACTCATAGATAAACCAGGCAAAATTCGATCTGCTTTTACTTTAAAAAAATAATAAATTATTAAGTTTAAAATCTATTTGGCACCCACTTTGGAGACTGCAGTTGGTGCGGCAGATGACGATACGGAAATAGTTTCGAAAATTGCTATCTTAAATGAAATAATTAAAAAAAAAAACACATTTAAAAAAAAATATTCAAAAATTTTTGCGCTTACTAAAACAGCGCACAATAAGCAGAAACACGACCAACACCATAACAGTAAACTTTTAAATTTACTGAAAAAATTCGAAATTATATTTCATTTATTCCTTACAACAAATTTGATAAATAAAAGCTTTATAAAAACCGGTAAGTACCTTATTATATTTCCAATTATTCATATTTTTGCCATTGAAACTCCCTATCTTATGAGCAAAAGAACTAGAAATAGAAAAATATGAATGTCTTAATATATTATTACAAGCCATTATTTCAATTGAGAATTTTGACTTTAAAATTTTAAAGAAATCATGTCTGTCTTTCCAATTATTTGTTTACAATTAATATAATACGCCTTTGGTTGTCTATTTCTGCTCTAATCAAGATAATAATAAAATCAGTAGAACAATGTGAGGAATATTAATTTTCTATAAAGTTTAGGCTAAATCTCAAAATGTGGGGCTACAAGAACAAGCAAAGACTGGAAATTTGAAAAAATATTTAATCGTTATCGATCGATTACATCATTCTGAATTTCATGTCAGTTTTTTCTGTTCGTCTTGCTCATCGGTTTTGCAGTTGCTTGTTTTTAAATTCATAAATATGAAAAATGTGAAGGTGTAAAGAGATTACGAGATAATATTTTAACATTTTGGTCTGATTTTATTTTAATATTACAATTTGTGAAGAGTTTGCTCTTTAACTGTTAAATAATTAGTTTGAAGTCAGGAAATTGAGACATGTCTGCTGCGGTTCTTAGATTGAAAAGAAAAGCGTCGAGTGAACCGATTGAAGGATTAGTTATCGCTCTGAAAAAATCAAAGGAATATGATTCTAATGAAGTGTTTTTTAAGTTTGCAGCAACAGTGAAAAGTGATGTAAGTATAGATTTTAGCGGCAAAATTGAATGCTTTAATAAGTAGTAAATATCTACTTACAGTAGCATTTTTTTTCCAGTTAAATTGTTATACTTTTATTGCTGTATGAGGTACAAGGATATTTGGGCATATTTTTATATCGGTGCCTGCTCGAGCTACGTAAATTCCCCCTTTTTCAAATTATATCCAAACATTTTATGTAAGCAATGGTCTAAAAAATAATGAATGTTTATGCTTTCAATTCTGTTATATGTAGAACAAAAGAAATTTCCATCATCGCTATTTAAAAATTTTACTAAATGTTAACGATCTATTATATGTCTTTAACGATGTTTTACGTTCTGACCGAAAGCAAGGAAAATGGATTAAAAGAGCAAAGTGGGATTCTTTAGTAATTAAACTAAATGAAAATAATAGGTAAATGAAAATTTTATAAAGGCTTCAAGATATAGCTCCCAATCTAAAGGGCATCGTATTTTACACTCTAACCTATATTTTATAGAAATTTAAATGCTTTTATAGAAATTTAAATCAGTTTTTTTTCCTAAAGTAAAAAGAATATTTGTCATAGTGTCTCTTAACTCTTCTAAGTTCTTTTTGACATCTTATAAAGAAAAAGTTTTTTGGAAGAGATTTCCATATCATGATGTGTGGCAGAATAATCGCCAAGTCTTGGCAACTTTCAGGCAGTGGCTTGCGACTTGCAAGTAACTAAGAAAAAAAATCCCAAAAAGGGACAAAATCAAAGGGTAAAGCTCGTGGTCACCCCCAGACAAATCTCTACCTGTTGTTTTAATTTAATTTCCCCGTTTGAAATCAATTTGGCGATTGTAGTTGGCATGGTTGATCATGATTCAGATATATCCTCATTTTTTATGTTAACTGTGATTTTTGAATAAAAAAAATATTTAAATAACTTGGGCTACTTAAAATATTAGATAAAGACAAAGAAGAATTGTGACCACCACAAACATNTAGAAGCGACGGGTTAGTTTCAAAGGAGGACAGGTGCATTGTTGGACAAGCTGTCCTCAGGGACGTTTTTTCGAGCCCTGGTTTGAGTATAGTATTTATAGAGACTTTGTATTTTAAAAAGAAAAATTCATGTAGTTTCGTGGGTAAATCGTGGTTGTAGAAATAGAATCCAAAAAAATTTCTCCACTATTGTTAAAGTTAGATACCATAGGTTTAAAATAAAGCAGCATGTCTTTCATTTTATGAGAAAATATATTATTTAAAAAAATATTTATAATCATTTGAACGATAAATATTACAATAATTGTTTAAATTATAATTTGTCACATAATTATTTCATTATATAAAATAAAATATCTTTAATGTTAAGCCCTTATAAACTAGAAATACAGTATACTCTCGATATCTCAAAGATGAGGGGACACTAAAAAAATTTCGAGGTTGCGAGTTTTCAAAATAACAAGTTCAGAACTAATTATGTACTAAAAAGTAGAGTTATGAAACATAAGAATAACTACTATTAAATATGTATGTACTGATTGTTGACAATAAGTCTAAATACATCAATAATAATTTTATTTTTAAAACTAAGAGAAAAATAATTACGCCTTCAATAGAAAAGAATTTATTTACAATAAACTTACATTGTGATTTTTCTGAAAAAATTCAATTTCTATTTTGAAAAAAATTAGACATAACAAGGTTTTGAGAAGAAACTCTTCAATATAGGAATTCAAATTGACTTTAGGTGAATATATAATAACAAGGAAAAAAATATTTTTTTGTCATGACATATTTTTTGATAGTATACTGTATTAATTTTAAATTAACATTTACTTACTAATAATAGGGAAACATATAGCCTAGACAATCATTGGTTTAAAATTCTTTAGACTTCAAAGTTTGATTTGAAGGTGTATTAATGTGTGAGTTTAACTCTTCTAAGTTCTTTTTAACATCTTATAAAGAAAAAGTTTTTTGGAAGAAATTCTATATCATGATGTGTGGCAGAATAATCGCCAAGTCTTGGCAACTTTCAGGCAGTGGCCACCAAGGAACTAAAAGAACATCATACAAAGGGACCAACTCATNAAAATCAAAGGGTAAAGCTCGTGGTCACCCCCAGACTAATCTCTACCTGTTGTTTTAATTTAATTTCCCCGTTTGAAATCAATTTGGCGATTGTTGTTGGCATGGTTGATCATGATTCAGATATATCCTCATTTTTTATGTTAACTGTGATTTTTGAATAAAAAAAATATTTAAATAACTTGGGCTACTTAAATATTAGCTAAAGACAAAGAAGAATTGTGACCACCACAAACATAATTAAAAAAAAAAACAAATTTCTACATGCATTTAAGCTTAAATACTGAAAATTGTTATTCAAATTTTAACACTTAAATCAATAAATATATTGATTTATTTTATTATCTCATTTAATTAAGGGAATTTTTTAAACTCCGCAAACGTGTCCATATTAATCTCCTTCTATAAAAAAAGTAAATGCTTTAAAGTAAGACTTAAAAGTAAATGTAGTAAAACACAAAATCAAAACTTGTTTTTGTAGCTCATAAAGATCTGTAATTTAAAAATAAGTCAGGACAAGTCAAAACAAGTAATCTATAGCAGCAATTGTCTACTATCTGCTGTGTAGTTTTGAACAATTTCATTATTTTATGATTAATTTCTTTATTATTTAACTAATTTTGCTTAAATTAGAATATTGCTGTATTATTAAACTTGATACCCTATTTAAATCAATTTTTATAACTTTACAGAGATTGCCCTTCTTGGGTTTTATTTGCCTTTGGCTGTCTAATGAGTATCTCTAATTACTATTTTAAGAACTTGGCCCTGTATTATTATGTTGTGAAAGCAGAGGTCAAAAAAAATTTTTTTTGCTATTTTTGATTGTGTTTGGCTTACCTAAAAGTACCCAATTTTTTATTCTTAGAATTTTTTTATTGCTGCATTAAAAAATATTTTACTTAAATTCTATTCTATATTAAGAGCCACGTTTTTTCATTATATTATTTATATTCACCATGAGTAAATTAAATTTAGTAAGAAACTTTGGCCCTTGAATAACATTTCGGTGCTATTTTAGGCATTTGGTGTGTGCTGAAGAACATAAAATATCCTGAATATTTCTGACTATCAATGAGCTGGTTAAATGTCTGAAATTTAAGTGTTAAAGCACTTGGTTTTATATTATAAATTTCCTATATGATAAAGATTAATGCCTCTGAAGGAAAATATTTTAGAATAGCAAGTTAAATCTCCCCTTCACTAGTAAAAGACTACTATATCTAATATGCCTAATATCATGGGTGCAAGTCTTCAGTCCCCAGGACGGATTTCCGTCTTTCGAAAATGTCCGCGGACGTAAGTGAGACGGAAACAAGACTGAGTCGAAGACGGAAATCGGAATTTTTTTTTCTGTCCTTAAAAATGTTTTGTAGGTCTACGTTATTGGTCTACTTTCTTATGTCCTGTTGTTATTTTATCAAAAGACAGATGAATAAGTATTTTTTGTACATTATTTAAACTTGATGTATTATGGTAAAGCTTTCTTAGATAGTTTGCATATGTCGAGAGGGTATTGTGTGTGTTAGGTATTTCAGTAAAAAAAATTTCAGTCTTGGCCTTTTTTCCAACTTGCACCCATGCCTAATATACTTATTTCTATTTATGGATCTACCGTATAGGGTATGCATAATAAATCCCTCAGTCAAAAAATCTAAATTTTTGAAAATATGATACACATACCCATTAGAAATGTAGAAAGATCTAAAGATCATCCCAATTATAATACAGTAGGGGACCGATTATCCGGAATGATCGGGACTATCGCTATTCCTGATAACTGATTTTTCCAATTTTCTTAATCGCTACAAAAAGCCGTTTTTTTTATTTCTTTTTTATTGTTAAACCCAACTAAAAAAGAAAAATATTTGGAAATAATCTTAAGAAGAGAAAACGATGAAGTTATACACTAATGATTATATTGAAAATGATGGTAAGGTAAACATCTTTCAAAAAAGAAAGAAAAATCCTAAAATCTTATGAGGAAAAAAAAAAAGGTTTTTTTAATGGTGGTAAAATTTGTCGAATTTCGTTCCGGTTTTCTGATTTCCGGATAACAGGTTCTGTACTGTACCTTGAAAAAAAGGAAGCAAGGGAATTGGACTGCAACTGATTTCAATAATATGTTCACTTTGAATTTACTGCGTAGAATTTAGCCAAGCTTCAAGCTCTCATATAGCCCGTTGTACATCATGTAAATATCAATCATTAATTATTTATCATTTATATTCTTACTTGTATTTGGTAATTTGTTTTGAAGAGGCATCTCTCTGTGTACCACCAATGATCTAAGCACATTTACGCAGCTTAGAAAATATTTTGTTATCTAATATGTACCATCCCTTGTCGTTCTTTTTTTTTTTAATACTTGAATTCAAGTTAACTTTTTTATTGAATTTTTAAATCCATGTTTTAGATTAAGTTATATCCTTTTAAGTCTAGAAATAATTCCTTGCTTGGGTCCCTGCAAATTATTTATTTGAATGTACTGCATTTAATTTTATGTAAAATTCTAGGTTTGTTTGTTAATTTTCCAGTACTTTTTCATTAGTCAAGTGCAATTAAATCAATATATATATATATATATAGTATATATATTTTCATTTATTTCTTTTTTGGAGACAACCATTTTTTTAGGGAATTTTAATTAAGAAAATGCTTGATTATATATATATTACATTTTCTTTTAGACTGATTCCATTAAAGAACATATCCAAGCTGCACTTTCTAAAGAAAAAGAATCAAAACTTTTAAAGTGGCGTGATCCTAAAGGAGCAGCTGTTAGACAAAAAAATGTGTCTAATATATGTGAAAAACTGAGAAATGAGTGCAAAGCTGTTAGCGAGAAAAAACGGCTTGAATATCTAAATAATCGTAGGCTAATTTTTACTGAAACTGTTCCTATTCTTGACGATGACAAAGAATCTCCTGTCCAAAGTGCTGAAGTTCGTGATTTATTTCATTTGTATGATATAATTGAAGAAAATGAAGAACCTAAAAAACAGGTAAATATATTTTTTATTTTATTGGAAATTAAATTTTATTCAATTAAAGTAACTTGTAATAATATAATTTTTAAGCAAAATAATTAGTTAATTAGTTCAATTTATAAAAACTGTTATTTTTTAATTCCATTTTTTATGATATTAAGTTTTTACTTTTAAGAAATTATTTTTTAGAATGAAATAATGTGTTAGATATGAAAGGCTGGGTTTCTTAACTGTGTACGTTTCAGTGTTCCGCTGTCCACACTTTTGATACACAAACAATATAACTAATACAAAAATAATTTTATCGTATAGAAATGTTTATTTTTTTACTTGTTTATTTATTTTTTGCTACAAAAATTTTGTTTTAAGAGCTCTACGTACTTTGTAATGTCTCATCGTGTAAAATATGTGGATCTTTAAACATTACACTGAATTCTTCCACAATATTTTTAATTGGTGGTATTCTGTTCCTCGTAAAATTTTGAATTTTAAAAAAATTTCTTTAATATGTAAGTCTGTGTCCAAAATCTGGTTTGAAATTTTTCTAAAAAACCTGGAAATGTTAGAAGTTTCTATTTCTGGAAATAAATTAGAACCCTAAATTCTCCTTCATTATGAAATTCCGAGAAAATTTAATATTTTATAAATTTATATTGATATTATATATTATCCATACAATTCGTAATTAATTCTTATTCAATGTTTTATTTATCATTTTAAGTATTTAGACTATAATGGAAAGGTTTTTATGTATTTAATATTTTAAATGAAGGAAGTATTTATTTATTATATTCTTTTTAGTTAGATGATGGAGATAACACTATCACTTGCAATGGCACTCCTTTAATACGAGAGAAAGTTTCTGATTATGTTTACGACGTGTATGTTGCTAATGGACAATTTGACAATTCATTTGTTGAAAATGCTGTGAGGTAAGATAATTTTATTATTTTATTGGCATAAAATACATTTTTAATCGAAAATATATTTTGTTTTTGTGTAGGAATATATCTTTTTATTATTAGTCTGACAAAAAAAAAAGTGTCTGAATTTGGCAGGAAAAATATCAAAAATTGGTATCAGAATGATTTCTCTCAAATTATTGAAATCAAAGTATTTTATTAGGATTCTTTAGTTTATAAATATTTTAGCTTTTATGTATGCAATTTATGAATGTGTCTCATTTTTATTTTCCATTCGTCGTTACTGTATCAAACCATTTCTATTTTAATTTAACTTTATTTTTTCATATTGTTGTACAGTAGGGAACCGATTATCGGGACCATCGCTATTCCGGATAACTGATTTTTCCGGTTTTCTGAATCGCTACAAAAAGCCGTTTTTTTTTTTTTTTTTTTTATTGCTTAAACCCAACTAAAAAAAAAAATTTCGGAAATAGCCTTAAAACGAAGAAAAAACGAAGTAATACACTAATGATTGTTTCCAAAATGATGGTAAGGTAAACATCTTTCAAAATAGAAAGAAAAATCCTAAAATCTTATGGGGGGAAAAAAATTTTTTTTGAAAATGGCGGTAAAATTTATCGAATTTCATTCCGGTTTTTTGGTTTTCCGGTTTTCTGATTTCCGGATAACGGGTTCTGTACTGTATATATTTTCCACGGACTTATGAAGTGAATCTGTTTTTTAAAAACTTAAATCATATATAATTTAATTATATGGTATTTAAATTTTTACGAATGTTTTCAGTAAAAACTGTTTTTGTTCTTCAGTATTGTATTCAATCCTCATGTCCCACTTAATTTCATTTTATTTCTTCATATTGATTTATTAGTAGTATTACTAATTAGTTTTATGAATTAGTGTTTTAAAAATGTAAACTGCTGTAATTTATTTCTATGTGATTTGTATTTTTGAAAAGCTAATGTTTTTTAAAAATTCATATCATACAATAATGTGAATCTTATGACTTTCAGTTCCTCAATCGAAAAATTAATCATTTATGTACCTTATTTTTTATTAATTTATTCTGCTGTAGATTACGAATGTGAATTAGTTTTTAAAGAATCTGAATTATCTTTATTTTTTTTCCAAAGTTAAATAAATTTACGTAAGTAATATAAAAAAATCTTCGTCTCCTTCCAGTTTTTACATACATGTTATGACCTAGATTTTATTTATTTATTTAGCTTAAGACCATGCACTGTAACAAATGAAGACCTATATTTTGGAGATAGTGATGATAACTCTGAAGTGTACGAGGATGAAGATGACAGTAATGATGAAAGCAATTGGCGAAATGAATATCCTGAAGATGAAGAATCTGGAGCTGATCAAGGTTTAATTTTTTTTTATTATTTTATTTATGTATAGTATGTATTTTCTTATTGACATCCATGACTGAACCTATCTAAGATAATGATGTAAGGAGGCAAATATATGTTCAGGTGTAAGTGTGTTAGTAGAAATAATAATGAAGGCAAAGAATGAATGCCAATGAAATAATAATGTTAATATTTATTTAGAGATGATCATTAAGAATTTTAAGAAGTATTACTCAAAACACTGTTTATTTTCTTTTTATTTTAACTCTATGTCGTTTTTCTGTGTATGCCCTTTTTTACTTATCTATATATTGTACAAGGTGTCATTGAAAAGGGATCAGATATTACCCATGTAACTATTGTCCTAATGATTAGATTTTAACATAGTTCAAAACAGGTTTGGGGTTTTGGACGTCCTAAACTGGTTTTGGACAGGACACGTGGGTTTTACTGTCCTAAACTGGGTACAACTGTCTTAAAGTGTCCAAAACCTTGAACTTTGGTAAAAGGTAAAAATTCTATAGGTGTAACCATTGTACACATAATAATTACATGTATCAATAAATATTTGATATTTTTTATACAATTTACTATAACTTATTAAAAGAAAATAATATAATATAATAGGAAAAGGTTTATAATTTTTGAAGCTCCACAATTCATTGAACAACAAAAGTGAATACCTAATCCTTTAAATATAAATATGCTTTTAATACTGATAAATAATATTTTTGCATAAGGATAAATATGGCAATATTAAAAAATAATAATTTTTCTTAAAAAAAATACTAAATTTGTTCAAAAATTAACCTTTTATTTTTCACAATATTTTTTTTAAAAAATGTTATAATTTCTGCATCACAGGATGATAAAAAAGACATCTATTTTAAAAAAAAATTGTTTTTAAATATGAACATATTAGTTTAAATTGAAAATACAAAATAACTGAAAAATGTATTAACAGTTTTGAAGGGCATAACATCAGTTTCAGTTACTGACACTGGTGATGTATCACCACTATGCAAAAATAATTGAACATGAATGAAATAAAAGTATTCTTGAATAGTAGTACTATAGATAAATAAACCTGTTTATGATGAGCCAAGCACTTAGTCCCTAATATTTTAACCTGTACGGCAAGGCCAAACTTTAACTATGTACTATTGAATGAGAGGACCAATTGAACTTGATTGCTGATTAATCATCATTTGTTTAAATTAAAGAGTCAAACAATATTAATAAAACATTATACTTTTAAAAACAAATATTCTCTAGTATATTTAATTATCAATATGTTATTAGTTCTATGTTTATTTTACCTCTTAAATATTGTTCAAATAAAATTGTGACATAATATGAGTAAAAGGGTTTTGGAGAGGACAGTTTAAACCGTGGATTAATCCATTCTGTCCTAAACCTTGCCAAACCTGGTTCAAAACTATCACGCCTAAAAGGGTTGCATAAACTATGCCAATTATTCTTGGATATTTATTACTTTACATAATCAGAGGCGTAAAAAAAACTTTTGCTGGCTGAAATTTTTAAAAAATTTTAATTGACTATTGAAATAGTAGAGGTGGTTACAATCTAAAAAGCATGGTTTCCTTAATGTAGGTTTTAATTTTTGCATAGTTTGCCATATATCTGAAACTTTGTTAGTGAATCAAAAAATATTCATTCACAATTATAAAATTTGTCTACTCTAAGGTAATTCCATGTAAAAATAATTTAGTCAGTTAAATAATTCTTGTTTTACTTATTTTGAAAACTTAAGAACAATCAATTTTTCTCAAGTGTTAGATTTTATAATTCAAAATTACATAATTTAAAATTTTGTAAAAATCTGTGTACCTTATACAGTTTAAATTTTTTGGACTATTATTAAATAAATTAAAAAGATAACCAATAACTACTGAAAATTATTTTTTCTTAAAATTATGTTTGAGTAATCAAATTTTAGTATTTTGTTCAAAAATTTTTCATCTCTCTAAAACATTTTCAAGGTATAAGTAAGTATGCAAAGGCTGAAATTAACTTAAAAGGGGCCAAATATTTGATCTGACTAAATTATTAGAACCATATTTTTCAGATTGCAGTTACCACTCCTTTCCCTATTTTATTCAGTTTAAAGGTATATTGGCACTTAGTAAATGAAAATCCAATCATTAGGACAATAGTTATTCAAGGTGATTTTTTTTCTTTTTCTGATTTACTGTACTCTACATTGCTGAAGCACCAAAGTCGCAGATTTATTATTTTTGTCTAGTTTTTCAAATACAACATTATAAGGTTATAAAGACTATGCTATCTATTTTATTGTTGCATAGATTTTAATTATATTTTGGGTTTTACGAATTGATTTCTTATATTTTATTTATTTAAGAAAAATTTTGTGAACCAGAATTCATAAAATTTTATGACAATTGTACTTTTGAGCTCATTTTAATTGCAAAGTTCAATCTAGAAATTTATAAAAATAATTCATTAATTATCTATCTACTGCATCACCTGCATGTTTAATTTTTATTGTGTCTATTACAGAATCTGAAGAATTTGATGAGAATCGTTACTATAATGAAATTCGACAGTCTTTCAACCATGTTAGTTTAGGTATGTGATTTTAGGATTTTATTTTTTTATCCAAAATCAAGTTGTCAATAAATTATATTATTCCTTTTTATTGTTGACACTGAATTATAAGTTATACTTTAACTATACTTAATTATATGGTGTTGTGCACACCAACTAGTATTTAAATGGATATGTTATAATAAACTCTAAAGAGTTTCATTAAAACTTCTAAATTTCCCCCATGAAATTATGAAGCCGTAATGACACAAATAATCAATAGATGGTGTTTATCGATTACCAAATAATCAAGTGTACCAAATTTTTTATTGTTTAGTTAATACTTGATTTTTGCTTGATTTGTTTAATTATTCATTTATTTTTAAGAATTGATTCATTTTATTTTTAGAAAAATTAATTAGTAATTTCACAACCGTAAAATCATAAAGATGAATACAGTTGCCTTTGCCTTCTTTATGTATTTTCATATTGATATTGAAACTTTTATTTTGTCACCTAATTTAAAAGGATTTCAAATAATAACAAAATACTGTCTTGTTAGTAAATCTACCTTTTTATTAAATATCTGTTTCTTTTTTTTTTACTTTTTACATTATTGAGTCTTGTAAGTTAGCAATTTAATTATTTTCATGTTTTGCAATTCATATTTTTCATTTAGCTTGTATTTACAACATACCTTTTCAATTTACTTTATTTAATAATAGTGTTCTTAACTCCTTAACTGCCGCAGGCATATATATACGTCTCGGCCAGACGATGTGTTAACTGCCGCAGGCCTATATATACACTTTCCCGAAGTACGATGCTTTGCATTGCGCTGCTATAAATAGAACTACACCCCCTACTTCAGAATGCAGTAAAATGGCCTTCAAAGTGTTTGCTTTGCGAATGTATTACTAATTTCGGGGGAGGGGGAATGGGAAAAGGATGTTATGGAAAAGTGATATCATATTAATTGCTTGTGTGTATTTATTTGAGTAAGGTCGGTTTTTTTCCGATTTTGTTTCCCGTATGTATTTGGTGCTTTTTATTCTTTCCATCAACGTCGTCAAAGAAAAATGCATCACGAAAATGTGCTGTTTGTTCAAGAAAAAAAATTCTTCTTGAATCCCGCGATGAATGTGATGTTGGTTTATGTGTCCAACCATGTTTCAGGATTTATCATACAGCAGCAAAGTTTTAACATCTTTTAAATAGTATTTTTATTATTTAATTTAAATTTTGTATTTTCTTTCTTTCCTTTTTCTTGTCTTGTGAAATTAAACTGTTTTTAAATTGCAAAGCGTGCATCATTTTTCCCCACCAAAAGAAAGTGCACTTGAGCGAAAAACGGTGGCACTGGGTAGTGAATCACGTTAATTTTACTCGGCAGTTAAGGGGTTAAAAAAGATTTTCAATACTGTCAAGCACAAGAGGATTTCATAAAAATATGTTTATTCTCGTGAATTTTTTAGAGTGACAACATAATACATATTTAGTAAAAAAAAAAAAAAATTTAAATAATTCAATATTTCCATGAAAGAGGGAACTATTGCAAACTAAGTATTAAAAACTTTTATAATTACTGTCTTTATAATAAGGGCTTATTTTCATAGCTAAAGCCTCAGAACTGGGGAAATTCCAATAATTTTTTTTAATTAGTCTAAAAACTGGAAAGTTACTTAATTTTGATTTAAAATACTTAAAAAATTCCTATTTTTTATAGTAAAATTGATGTAAATTTTCTGTTTTTTTACTTGATTCCATTTCATGTCAATAAATAAATTAAAAGCTGCTTCCTTAATGCATTTATATTTAGTGAAGATATTCCGCAAAATAGATCTCAAGAGATATTCAGGAAAAAGTTAATTTAAATTCCTATATAAAAATTTTGGGCTTTCAAAAAACAATTGTTTTCATTATTAAGAAAACAATATTTCATCATAGACAATTATGCTGACTGCAAACAAACAGTGTTTGAAACATGATTTCCAGACTTATAGATTAACTTTGATGTGTTATAAGTTGTTACAAAAAAAACTGTTGTTCATAATATCCTACGTGAATTCTTTTTTATCAAATCATTCTTTTTTACAAATCAAATCATTTTTTGCACAGAATTATAAAATTCGTTTATCTAAAGATAATTACATGCAAAAAATAGCTTTTGGCAAATATTTATTATTTTATTTATTAGTAATAGTTGAAAAAAAGTTTGAATTGTAACATACAATTCTTTACATCTTTTTAAAGAACGTAATTTTACATGGCAAAATACAAAATTTGAATGAAATTGGTCAAATAGTTCCAAGGCAATCTAATTTTAAAATGTTGTTTAAAATTTAAAGGAAATTCAAATTAATTAGCATATTCGAACTTACTCTCTTGAAGCATTAAGATTGAGTCCTAGAACATGAATATTCGATCAAAAGTTATTCATGTTAGTTCGTTTATTTATTTAATTTTTTTTTTCGCACTGTACATAAATGAGTCAAAACTGGAAAATGAACTATAAATTTATGTCAACAGTTGAGAATATCAGGTAATTGATAAAATGAGTCAAAATCAGGGAATTGATAAAATGAGTTTTAAAAAGTCGTTTAATGGAGAGAAAAGAAATTCAAATTAATTAGTGTGTACGCACGTATTCGAATTTACCCTCTTGAAGCATTAAGATTCTATCAAAAATTATTCATGTTAGTCCGCTTATTTATTTACTTATTTTTTCTCACTGTACATGAATGAGTCAAAACTGTAAAATGAACTATAAGTTTATGTCAACAGTTGAGAAAATCAAGAAATTGATAAAATTAATCTGGAATTTAATTCTGAAAGTTAGAGTTTGTGATCAGTCTGATGTATCAAAATGTCATTGAATTATCTTATTATTTTTTCTTTCTTTTTTGTTAAGGTGACTGCAGTGATGAAGAACCTTTCCATTACTCAAAAGTAATGCATGAAATTGAAGATGAATATGGTAATGATTATAGTGATTGAAAAAGCAACTAAGTATTATTTAGCCCATTCACCACCTCCAGATAAAATTGAAAAGTTACATGCCAAAGATATTTGCTTCGTTAAATACTATGCTCTGAAAAAAGTGATGTTCATTTCTTATATTTATAATCTCCTTTCTAAATGTTAAATCATGTTCATTGTATTTAAATGTTTCGTTTCTTTGTAAAATTATTATATTTCATTAACATTCATGATGTGTTGTTGTATGGTTTGCTCTAAGTGAAGCATTTTGTTTTTCTCTGAAATAATGATCTCTCCCTTTGATAAAATGTTTGTATACTTAAATATGTAAATAGTTGTACATAAATTATTTTAATGTTGATCAATGTTTCATGTTTTTCTTTTTAGTTGTGAATTTTGTTTTGTTTGAGTATAGTATTTAGAAAGATGAGGGGACACTAAAAAAATTTCGAGGTAGCGAGTTTTCAAGATAACAAGTTCAGAACTAAATATGTTCTTAAAAGTAGAGTTATGAAACATAAGAATAACTACTATTAAATATGTATGTATTGATTGTTGAAAATAACTCTAAAAATAACAATAATAATTTATTTTTAAAAGTAAGAAAAAAATAATTATGCCTTAAATAGAAAAGAATCTATTTATAATAAACTTACATTGTGATTTTTCTGAAAAAATTCAATTTCTATTTTGAAAAAAATTCAACATTACAAGGTTTTGAGAAGAAACTTCAATATAGGAATTCAAATTGACGTTAGGTGGCTATATAATAACAAGGAAAAAAATATTTTTTTGTCATAAGGTTTTTGATAGTATACTGTATTAATTTTAAATTTACATTTACTTAGTAATAATAGGGAAGCATAGTATAATTTGATAAAAATCTTAATCCAGCATAAGTCAAAGTTTTAGAGTAAAATATAACAATTACTGACTTCACAGTTCTGTGTAAAGCTGTAAGTAGTGTAACATATGAATAATTTTAATTTCTTTTTAAGGTTTGTAGGCCATGAATGCTAAACAATCATTTGATTAAAATAAATTAAGATATTGGAAATTATTTATACTTCAAAGTTTGATTTGAAGGTGTATTAATGTGGGAGTTTATCATAATTTTGTATTACCAGGATAATTTTGGGAAATCAGATAATGTGTAGGATATGGATGTGTATAACTTTTAAATTTTCATGTTTTTTAAGTTTTATTGGTATTTTTTGTCCACCAATATCGTGATTTCTAAAGTAATATACAGCAATTGAAAAAAGTACATTTTTTTCTTGGTTAACAACTACTACTTTATTACAAATGTTGTGATTACAATTACATTTGAAATGTAGTCACTACTTTTAAGAGGGAAACTTTGCTGGGGACCTGAATTTACACCTCTGTTCAAAATAGTTTTGAATAATAAATTGACTTATAACGTGAGGAATTATTAAGATATATGTTTACGTGAGCCGGGTTGTTATTCTAAATATTTTATTAATAAATTTTATAGTAATTGCTTATTAATTTCTTTAATAATCGTTGAAAATTTTTGAATTAAGAAGTATACAAATTTTTACTTTGATTTCAGGCAAAATTGGTTGAATAGTTTCTTAGAAAAATGATTTTAGATATCTGACTTTTTAAATTTCAATTTTTCAGTTAAATTCTCATGTAAAATTACATTCTTTAAAATTTAGTAAAAGTTTGTAATGATTATTAGAATTATTTTTTGCATTGTTTTATCTTTGGATAAACAAATTTTATAATTGAGTACAAAAAATGTTCTATTCGCTTAAAAAAATTTTTTAGGGACATGGCGAAATGCACAAACAGTAAACTTAGCATTATGAGGTAAAACTTTTGACCGATCAACTGACAAAACTATTTCCCAGATTGCGACTATCCCCAATAATTTTGGGGTTTAGAATCAATCCGTCGAGAAAAGGGTATATTTATTCAGAGAAGATATGCTTTTGTGTCTGATTTCATAACTTAAAATGTGGTTTGCACTTACTGATTACCATATTTGAAGTGATCCCTTGAAACCATTAAGATTGAGAACTAGTACATGAAAATCCAATCATTAAATCAAAATTTATTCAGGTTAGATTTATTTATTTTTTGCATTTATAGCAATTCAAATTAGAGGCAACTTTTTAACTCTCAAAATGTACTACACTACTAAAAAATTCCTGCTTTCATATTTCTCGATCACACTAAAATAAGTACTCTCTGGGTAGTTCAAAACTGTCATCATGAACCTTTAAAAGTAGCTGCCATCTTCCTAATTTACGAAAATAATTATCGTGGGTAAATCCAATTGCACTTGTGATTTCAATTTCCAGAAAACAATGAGACAAACGACTGAAGCCAAGCTTTATGAAAAAATTGCTGCTCTAGAGTATCAGGCATAATTCTTAGTACCATTCTGCCACAATGGCATTGTAATATCTACACCAATCAGCTTAGAAAAATTATCTTAATTTAAACTACTTTTATACTTAACTAATGTTTAAAGTAATATGTTAAGTATTCGCTACTGTTTTTTTGTGTTTAGCACTATGAAAGTAGGAACTATAGTAGCTTTGCTACTTTATTATTTTTTAGACCAGTGGTTTCCAATTCATTCATGTTATGAAATCCTAAATGATCGACCTTTTGGCAGAACCCTGATTTAATGAACTTTATTTAAACTGTAAACCAAACCAGAGAAACACTACTATTAATTATTACTAACTGTATTAATTTTTTATTGTTTTATCAATGATAGTCTGAAACTTAGATTTTATTTATGTCTGACAATTCACTGATCTGATAGGCCTGAGGCTGCATATAGTCTGTCTCTGAATTTATTTTTTGGTATATGCATAAGCTGAAAATAAATTAAACAAGCTGAATTATGTTTTTTGGTGAAATGAATTATAAACTTTTGAATGAATTTTCATAAACGTTGAGAATTGTTATTAAAGAAACACATTTCTTCATTAATAATTTATTTTTTATATTCTTAATGGAAAAGTTTGAGGGGAAGTATTAATGCAATTTTTTATGACTATATCTTTTTTCGTAATTTATTCAATACCATTTGAATATAAATTTCTTTTTAAATACTATTTTTCTGGATATTTCATTTAAATATTTTCATAAAAATGACCAAAATTTTAAATTAATACTATATTGTTGATTGGATATAAAAAGAAAACCCCACTGGTTTTAAAAATCATAACTGGTTTTTAAAAAAATTAACTTTCAGAATCCCTGTGACGCTTTATCCCTTTTTTAGGAACCGCTGTTTTAGACAATGTGAAATTTTTTCTTTCTTTCAGAAATCAAGTATGAATCCTGTTAAATTAGGAACCTTTATTTTTATCAACCATTAATTTATTTTGAAAGTGAGCCTTAGATTTGCTGTCTTTCTCTTGGTTAAGAATTGAGTTTTAAATTTTAATTGCTCAGGTCTCTCATTGGAAATTTTCTCCAGCTGATTTTAAAGTTTAATTATTTTATAATTTGATTTAAGAAAGTTTGTTATAGCTTAGGGATGTTTCTTTGTCTTTTATCATTAGACAAACTTATTTGTGTTGTAACTGGCAAAAAACTTTTATTTAAGAACAGGTAAATAATAGTCTAATTACTCTTGGTAATAATCTTTTGACTTCATTGGAAAATATCCATTTATTGGAAGGGCTTCGTTCATGAATTTCCAATATTGTTTTTAAACTTAGTTCTTTAAACTTGTCTAAAAATATTAATTACAAAATATCTTGAAGTATTTTTGAATAAAAATAAAACCTCTGCAATATCAAGCTTAATTTTTGTTTTTACTGAACAAAAGCAAGCACGTCCAACAAAAAGTGACAAAAGAAACATACAAATCTTTTCATGTTTTTTTTTATTCATTTAAAATTAGTAGTCTGCTACAAAAGTTTACATCAACTACCAATATCACGCAACTTTTTAATTTTTTAAATACCTTAATAATTTTTGAATTTTATTTTAATGCCATTAATCAAAACTTAGTTACAAAAGCAAGACTGAGTTTAACAATTTTGAAAATATTTGTATATCTAAGCAAGCAATGGTGATAAATATATATATTTATTTTCTGAAAACACTGTCTTATATTTTACATGTTAGGGTACAAAGGGGAAAAAAACATGATGTAACAAAATTCATTGTATTATAAATTACTAAAGAATTTTTTAAATGTTTACCCTCTTCTATATCACATCGTTATTTTTCTTATTGCCTCGTTTTGCCGTGAAAGCGGTACGTGCCAAAGAAAGGATATGTGCCCCATTTATGACTCTACTAATTATACCCATACGAAGGTCATTTTTTCCTGAGTGGACACCTTTCATTTGGCGACTGGGCCAATTCGCTACGGCACTTTAATACCTTTTTTTCCACTAACAACTTTAATATTTCTGAAAATTGCTGGGGGAGATAGTTGTATAAAACCTTTTGTCTGCAGAGATTTTCTGTGTACTTCATAAATATCACCTCTTCCATTTCAAAATGACAAATATTTGTTGAGCAGGAGAAATAGCTTCAATATTTATTTTTTAATCATCCTTAATAAAATTTAATTTATTTTTATGTATTCTTTAAAGGTTAATTATTGCATTTTTTTTCCGGCTCATATTTGTTACTGTATTTTTGAATTAGTAATAAGCATTTGTATCTGAAACTAGGCAATCGCAAGCATTACACATAATTATCAGAGCGCAGTCCTTGTATTGCCACATCATACGTTGGTAGACCTGCTTCACACAAAGAGTCCTTCTTTAGCACATCGTTATAATCAGGCGGTGGTTTTATTCCATCTGTGATCAGTTGATTTAAGTCACTACGTCTTTGGGTTCGACTTGCTCCCTAAAATAGAGATTGTAATAAAAATCTATCAATATAAAAATGACTTGAAAAGAATTTAGTTTATAGAAATTTATTACCAAATAAGTGGTACGACCTGCGCTTTTAGTTTTAGGTCAGACAAAAATAGAATTATAATTTTTTTTAGATGTAATTTTTGTTTTTGAAGTTATACTTCTTATGCGACTTCCAACAAGGAAGCGTTTAACGCTACATTTTTATTGGCCGGGAAATCACGTGGTAGGATCCAGTTTTCCCTCATTTATTTCCATATTGTTTTGGTTCTCACTAACATAAAAGTCATAAAACTTTTGTTTTTCTATAAATATTTTTTTAGTTTGTTTTGATACACATATAATTTATTAGGGAGCAGGAAAAAGAGTCGTTGAATAGAACTAGTGATCCTTCTACGACTGCTGATTCTTCTACAATTAACGTCGCAGGTTACGAAGTTTAACTTCTTCCGCGCCGAGGGACTCCACGCACTATTTTTGTGTTCGAATCCCGCCGTAACCCTGGATGTATTCTTTTTGATGTCTTTCTCTGAATTGTTCTATCTGTATTTTCTACTTGACAATGACTTATAAGCCTATATTGAGCACACAAGTCAGCAAATGTATGTAATTTCAATAAACCTTTTTTTTTGTTTATTTATTTTTTTCTGCCGCTTCGTTTACGCCAAAAATTGATCTACAATAGATTTTAATAACAGCATTCCGAAAACAATTGTGATTATGCACAGAACTCCATGTGAAATGTGAGAAACTAGTTGAAAGTGACCGAAATTTCGATTAACAGTAATTCTATTTTGCATTAAAATTGCGATTAATTTCATTACAGCGTTTAGGCAACAGTTGAAATTTGTAATGTCGTTAGACGAAAATCTAGTGGAGAATTTTAGCACTCTAGTTAGTCAAAAAATGCTCACAAATTTTGATTGAAGCCCTCTACCCTTTCTCGATCTATAACATAGCGATAAATTCTATTTGTAGTGGTTAGGAAATGCACCTTCTGTTGTCAACTAGCACAGATCTTCAGTGGAGATTTGAGCTCTCTAGAATCGGAAGTTTAATTGACGATAAATTCTCTGTGGTGATATGGCAATAAATTTTGCCTATATCAGTTAAAAAATTATTTTATTGAGTCTTCAAATGTCATAAAGCTCAGAGCTTCAAACTAAATGTTAGTATTTTGGCTGTTCAAAGTGATCAAAATCGATTGGTGATAAATTACTATTGATAATAATAGGATGATAAACTCTGCTTGTAGTGGTCAGAAAACAATTGAAACTTCAATTGCTCTACGCAGAGCTCCATTAAAAATGTATGCTCTGTAGCTAGTCGGGAAGGGATCAAAATTTTAATTAACATTTCTCATTTTCGATAATATGGCAGTAATTCTGTTTTTAGAGATCAGGAAACGATTGAAACTTGTATTATTAAATAACTATTGCCTAAATCTACTTTTTAAATATGTGCCATCCTAAACAGAGCTCCTTCGGTGATTTGAGTTCTCTAGTTAGTCGGAATTTTAATTAACGATAGATTATCAGTGGTTATAATGGCAATAAATTTTGCTTGTAGCAGTTAGAAAATAATTTGATTAAATCTGTAATTGTTATAAAGCTCAAAGCTTCAGTCTAAATTTTATTATTTTGGCTATTCGGACAGTGGTCAAAATTTTGATTGATGATAAACTCCCACTGATGGTGATAAATTCTGCTTGTCGTGATCAGAAAACAATTGTAACTTGAGTTGTTTTGCCCAGACCGCCAGTTAAAATTTAAGCACAGTAGCTAGTTGGAAAGAGGTAAAAATTTTGATCTTCATTTCTCATTGTCGTTAATAGGACAATAATTCTATTCGTATCGATCGGGAAACGATTGAAACTTGCATTCCAATAAAACTATTGCTTAAATCTGCTCTGTAGATCTTTGCCATCATAAAGAGCTCCATCGAACATTTGAGCTCTTCAGATAGTAAAAATTTTAATTATGGATAAATTCTGCTTTAGGAAGCCAAGTCTTAACTTGTATTCAAATTAGGCACTTTTGTTTAAAGATTTAAATTTTATAGCTAGCCGAAACGAGGTATAAATTTTGATTGTAAGAATACACCTTTGCAGACATGAAAGCTATTTAATAAGAGCGTAGTTACATAATAAAAATACTTTAATTATAAATTTAGAAAATGCTATATACTCTGTATGTACTTTTTAGCTAATGCAATGCACTCTATATCTTAATAATTTATATGATTTTCCATATGTTTTATATTAAGTTGTTATAATAAGTACTTAAGGCAATAATTTCAATAAAAAATTTGTCTACTATCCGAAGGGCACAAAGGAGTTCTTATCCGCTTTAGAAAGTTCGCTTAATTTGCAAAATTTTGAGGTTCTTATTGGTGTTTTACCAATGATCAAAAAATCAACTGAGAAAAACGAAAAAAATTTAAAAATTCAAGATTTGTTACTTTCTGCTTAAGAAACCAGTATATAAATTCCCCCTAGTTTTACAATGAGTTACAAAGTTTGCTTAACAGATAGCAGTGATGTCTAAAAAATATATAAAACAATGTTTTAAAAATAGCCACCATTTGCCGCATCACCGTTACGCTATGCCCCGACAAAGTTAGTAAAAGCTTGTGCAAATATTTTTAGTTAAAATGGTCTGGTATCGAGCAAAAAACATTGTTTTTAGAATCTCCTGGTCTGCAGAGCAATTTGTTGACGAACTTTGTCACTAATTTTAGGGCTTGAAGCGGGAAAACATTTGGTTTTTGAAACAAATGTAGCAAACCTTAAATTCGCTTTCCTCATGATATCGCCAGTCATTTTTAAGAATCCTGGTGATGTTTTTTCTTTCTTTTTCGCTAAACTTATATGCGTATTTTATAAAAAGGGTGTTGATTTCATGCTGTAGCCTTTGTTAAATATTATAGCCAGACTTTTTTTTCGATCAACAGGGAACTTCCCGTTTTCCCGCCGTTAAATATTCTGCCCGACCTTTAACTTTTGGTCCCTTTAATAAATTAAAAATGGCGCGATATCATAAAGTCTCAAAACTTCTTAATTTTATTTAGTGAAGCGTTTTGTTTTCCCACAGGATTTAAAGATTATAAATTCATCTCACGCTGACGCTTCTTGCCAAGAATTGTTTTAGATAAAAATGTATTTATTTTTTCACAACCATTTTAGCGCGAGACGTGATTGCAGAAATGATGAATGAGCAAGCAAACTACGCAGTGAAAAGAATTATTACTTTAAAATTCACCTTGAATCCTGGATTAGAGAAAATTTAAAACATGAAATTCCTTGAACGCAACATTCATTACCTGTCTTCTTCGTTGACTCTCTATACTCGTAATATCCGCCATGGCTAAAGTTCTTTTTTGTAGTTTTCTTTGGCAACAAAAACAGATAAGAAAAAGTAAGAGAGTACTTCCTCCAAAAACTGATCTGTAAAATAGAAAATGTGAGAGCGATTTCACAAAATATGAACGCAAAAATATGATATTAATAAAAGATATTATTTAATATATATATATATATATATATAACACATAAATGCAACAGTTTTTNCAAAAAAAAAAAAAAAAATTATTCTTTTTTTTCAGCTGTTTGTTATATTTCTTTCCTCCTCATCTTTCATATGTCTGTAATTTTCCTTTGTTTTATCTTCATTTTGAATCTATGGAATCGACTATCTTTTGGTTGTATTTTATTCAATTCAGGTTGGATAAAAAATGTGAGAAACAATTTCTAACTTGTCTAGTGAGCAATGTTAGACATGTGAATGGGCGCAGGTACGAATTACCCTTTTTTACGTAAAACTCATAACTATTAGTCCGATCGCCTCGCGATTGGCCTCATTCAATTCAATATAACCTATAACAACTATATCAGAAACAACGCCTAATTTGTTTAAATGAAGTTTCTTTCTCCATTTTCTTACCCACCCAACTTGCCAAGACCTGACACATGAGATCGTAAAATGTTTTACCACTTACTATGAGGAGGATACTGAACAGTTAGCCGCAAATTTAATTTTAGGGGGGGGGAGACCCTGATTTGTCTTTTTTTGAACCATCTTTACTTCTATACCATATTGAGGACGGTTGTTATTGTTAGGCGACCCCCCATTATATTTTAGTTATTGACAGTATGATCTCTCTGTTGATAGTTTCCTATACTTTGTGAAGTTTAAAATAAGTAATCTTGCCTTAAATTAATTCGAGATCAAGTGAATTTATTAATTCAGAAAATACGAATTTTCTACTTATCATTTAATTTTCAAAGTAAAAAAAAAATGGATATCAGTGAGATGTTAATCGTGTTTTAATTGTTACTGGTGATATATAAAGCTGTGTTTAACTAGCGTTATTTTACTTAACCATTTTAATAATGATTGTTTACGTAGCATTAACAAAATTTAAGAACATATATGACGTAGCGGTTGCTAGTTGCCTTCACAATAAGCCAGATTTAAACAGACCCCAGTTTTAGTATTAACATTTTGTAGTGTTTAATGATACCTGTAACACTAATAACTAATTTAACCTGTAACACTAAAATTCCGTTCCACTTTAGTGAAAACATACCAAGCATAATTAAATCTAAATAAGATAATATTCTAGTTCGCTCCTTCTTGATTGATGTTTGTACGCACACACCAAAAATTTGCCTGGCCTGGAAGAAACGGTGTAATTTTGATCTTACTCTCGAGTCACAAAGTCTTATAATATTTTTAAACATTTTTCTGACTTCGATTAGGGTGATACTTCACTAAAAGTTAAAATAGCCACCTGCTTATTCATAGGAACTCTTTGGCCCAGTAAAGGCTACTGTTGGTTTCCTTAAAGATGTTATAATTTTAACGTCTCTGGCAAGGTAATGATTACATTAGAGAGAAATATGGACATTAAAGAGGAACATTAAACAGAAATGAATAATTATATTAAGAAATAGGTGAAATATCTTTTTTTTTTATGGGAAATAAAATGGAATATAATTTTTTTCCACAAGTTATTGGAAATATGGAAACTACTTCCTTATCCTACAATTTTAGATTGGTTTCGAGAAAGAGATAAATAATGAGATAGTGAATTTGTCAATTTCTTTTATCAGTTTTCGTTGATTTACAATTTTTACTGTCAGATAAAAATAACACCTTTACCTTTTCCTTGTCACTCGACAACTGGCAATAGTTTTGGAATAAAAAGATAAAATCCTAAATAAAGTCAACTACAAAAAAAAATGTAAGAAAAAATTATTAGCCCTTTGTAGATTTATTATTAAATAAAAAACGTAAACGTATCTCGATCGCGGCATAAAAAGTAAAAAAATTTTTATTATTATTTACAAACTTAAATATTGGTAACAAATCTATGGTTATGAACAAGATCTGAACCATTTGAACAAGTGCCAGCCATTGAACACCAAATCTACCCTTATATATTTGAGAAATTGGCTATTGTAGTAGCGTAGGTTTGATAGTCTAGGCCAGTGTTCCCCAACCCTCGGGCAGCGGATCAAATGGTACCGGGCCGCCCATTTCATTGAAGCTGAATTTATACCCTAAATTAAAAATATCTGTGTTCCATTAAAATTTTAGTTATTTAAAAAAAGGGGGAGGGGGCTCCCGAAGGTAGTGACATAAATTTTTGTAATGTATCATTGTCTCTGATTACCCCCAGATGGAACCATCTCATTGCAAAGAAACAAGCTTAGGGTTCTCATTGATTTAACGTTCCTTTGAATCTTTCTAAAAGCAAAACGAAGGATGCATCGAAAATCCTCTTTTTTTTATTTGATATTGCATTTTAATGATAAAAAGAATAAGAAAAAGAAAAGAAAAAACACATAAATTCCGGTATAACAATCATCCTCTTACGAATTATCTAAAGCATTGTATTAAAAATATTTAACGACAGGCAGTAAATGTTTTAAAAAAGTTTCCCGCAGGAATTTAATTGCCAATTCATTAAAACATAACAAACATTGGCAATTATTTCAAGAAGTCAAAAATTGAGGAAAAACTTCGTACTTACTTTTAAAATATTTTAGAATAAATTTGCAGGATTTTTTTTAAGTGCATTTAATAAAATCGCAGTTATGCTTTTTTGTGAATAAAAAATAATCGCATTATTCCAGTAATAAAATGATAAAAATAATAAAATGATAAAAAAGTTGTTATAGGAACACCTATTATCTGTATGATAGCAAAATCATACAAAAAATATATCACAAAAAATTAAGTCTAATCAACATGTATCAACATGTCTAATTATCTTTTAATGGATTAAAAAGGAAAATACTCACATGAAAATGTAGAGAGATGATTGTCCGAAAGATGCCATTCTTCATATACAGGCGCATTGTCACGAAACAGCCTGGTAAAAAAAAAAAAATGTCTTTTGTTAATAGCCCTGAAGCAATATTGCATGACAAAAGCCTGAAAAAAACCCAATTCTTTTCCTTATAACTTGAAACAACATAGGATCAGGGGTAGTAATTTGAAAGGCATCAAAATACTTCAAAATATTTTTTTTAAGTATTTCAAAAAAAATATTTTTGATTTGAATGTTCAAAAACAGTGTCTAGAGATAGCCAAAGATTTTTATTTTTAACAACATTTAAATTTAAAAAAAAAAGTAATATAACTCATGCATTATTTAAATCCTTTAAATTAAATATGGTGTGAACTTAAAAAAAATGAGTTTCATTGTTCTATAATATTAAATTAATAAGAAGAAAAAAAATGTTATATAGACCACTAAATTTAAAGTCACACTCTGTGTACGGGTAGATTCAATACGTCACACAAGAAGCATTATTTGTAGTTATTTAAAATAAAATAATAATTATTAAATTTAAAAACAAAATATAATATTAAATTTGTTGGATTTCCAGGCGAGTTCCCTCTTGCAATTTCACTACACAAAAGATAAATAATAGATATTGTATTTTAGATTGTACACTGGACCAGAAAAAAAAGAAAGGAAAAAAAAACAGATTACCCTGAATAACTTTTGATCTAATGATCGGATCTTCACATTCTAGGACTCGATCATAATGGCTCAAGGAGGTGACCCCAAATATGCTAATTAATTAGTGCAGACGATATTGTAGGAATTCAGATATTGTATTAGGAAATCAGACACTAAAACGTATTTTCTCTGAATAAACATGCTTTTTTCCTTGACGGTTTCGGATTTATGAACCCCTCCTCTATATACAGGGGTTTGCCGCAATCAGGGAAATATGGTCAGGAGAGCAGTTCAAAAATTGTACCCTTTACTGATAATTTTACTTCTTAAGATTCTCTAATTTTAATTCGCTATATCTCAAGAACTTTTTAAGCGAATTGAAAAATTTTTGCACACAATTATAAAATTCGTTTGTCCAAAGATAATTCCATGCAAAAAATAACTTTTAGAAACTATTTATATTTTTCTTATTATTTTATTTAATAACGGTTAAAAAAATTTTGGAATTGTAAGGTATAAAATTTTTCGCATCATTTTATAGTATGTAATTTTCATGCAAAATACAAAATTTAAGTGAAATCGGTCAAATAGTTTCTGAGAAATTGAATTTCAACAAAGTCAGATATTCAAATTTCGATGTCTCAGGAACTATTCAACCGATTTCATTCAAGTTTTGCATTTTGCCAAGTAAAATTACGTACTTTAAAATGACGTAAAATATTGTCTGCCTCACAATTCAAAATTTCTTCCTTTATTATTTAATAAAATAATAAAGATAAAAAATTTTTACAATTTTTTTTTTCCCGCATGGAGTTATCTTTAGATAAATGAACTTTATAATTGTGAGCAATTTTTCTTAAAAATTCGATTAAAAAGTACTCAAGTAATGGCGAAATACACAAAAAGTAAAGTTAACATTAAGGGATCCAAACTTTGGACAGCTCTTCTGACCAAACTATGGGGACCATATTTCCCAGATTGTTGCTTTGCCCTATATTTTGAAGGTCAGAAATCCGAATCCGTAAAAAAAAAAAAGGTATGTTTATCCAGAGAAAATACATTTTTGTGTCTGATTTCGTAACTTAAAATATCGTCTGTTCTTATTAATTAGCATATTTGAGGTCACTCCCTCGAGCCATTAAGATTGAGTCATAGAACGAAAAGATCAAATTTTTTGACGCATTGTGCGCTATAAAATTTGGGAGTAATTTTTATTATTCTTTTCTATCTTGTATTTATATTCATATGTAAAAAAAATATTAATAATATGAAAATAAAAGAATAAAACAATGGAATGTCTTTTGCAAGGAAGACTGGAGTTCTTGCGAAATAGTAAATCAATATATTTATCTCTGCATCAAATATGTCTGTTTAAATTTTAGGATATGTAATTGACATATTTTTCAAACAAATAAAAACTGATAAGCTTCATGTTAATCTTACTACGAAAGAAATATAGAGCAGGGGTCTAAACTAAAGTTCAAAGACCTAAACTGTCTGCTTATGAGAATCATTTTTTGACTGGCATACTTTTCTTCTAAATTATTGTTTTTTTCCTCCTTTTCTTTAAAGCTTGGCTTAGTGGAAGAAGGTCCAAAAAATAATATTTTCTAAAAAAGTTATTCTTCTAAAGTGATAATTTAATTCGTTAGCTCTTAAAATTCAATGGATTTCTGTTGATAAGGGTAAAGGCTGTAAAATTACCATTTATGAGTACTTAAGTGAAAGAAGGTTCCAAGTGCATTTGGCAATAAACCAGTAGGAGAATAATTTTAAAAGAGTCTCTTTTGGCAGCAGTCAAGTCGCCAAGAGTCTGAACGCTGTGTCGCAAACAGTTTAAATGAATCGTGGGAATTAATAAATTTTCGAAGCTTGCAGACAAGAAATAAAGAAGCAAGGTAAAATGCATAATTTTTATTATTTCGTGTTAGTGAAAAAAAAGTAAGTGCTTCATGATAAATTTCTAGAAAAGGGGCTTGATAAGTTTTTTTTTCTTTTGCTAATACTATCTACACTAAAGTAAAATTTCAAAAAAGTGATTCTTAAAAGATTTTTTTCCATCATCATCCAAAAGCGCCAACTTTATAAAAATCACAATTTTGAATCTTTTGTTGCTTATTTTGATTTCTCGGTTGCACAGCGCTGTTATCAACGTATACATTTTAAAGCTAATTCACTCAAATTGCTTATAGTGACACTTCGAGCTTTTTTTCCTCGTAGCTAAATAACTGTTTATGGTTTGAATTTGTATTTAAATTCGAAGATCTGCCGATAACATAAAAAATCTTCGGAATCATACCAATCCTTATCAATGCATCATGGAATATACAGGTCAACAAAAGTTTGCGTATAACTATGTATCCGATACTATTGGAAATCAATAATTCATCGATTTCTAGAGCTTCGACTATGTTATATATTCCATTTCTCAAATGTCAAAAATCTCTTACTCCGTTTCTGTCACGTTATTATAGCGAAAAAAACATTTCCAGAATAGTATAAGCATCAATTAACATTTATGCTAACGTATATTGTTACTTCCTTTTATTGTTTTAGAAAAACAGCAAAAATTACTAATTTTGAACAAAAAAAAATTTAACTTTGACTTTTGTTTATCATAACGAAACAGTAAACGTAATGTTAAATAAATAATCCTAAGAAACTAAAGTGGTAAGATGTTACTGGATAAAAATAACAGTCGATATGTTTCAAGTGCTCAATAACAGGTGCCCATTTTCAAGACTTGCCAGACGTGAATTAGAGAAAACAGACGTGATGTGAAATAAAAACGCAAATTTGCCAACGAAAAATGGAAATAATAATTGATTTCTCACCTTTAGTTTTCTACTTTTAGTTGTCAATTTTATGTTTTTATTTTAAACCACGTTTGTTTCTTCGCATTCACGTATGGCAAGTCTTGAAAATGGAAGCCTGTTGTTGAGCGCTTGAAACATGTCGACTGCTATTTCCAATTTGTATATTTTTGAAACGAATGAAATTTTTAATCAAGCAAATAGTCATTGTTTCTTATGTAAACTAATTTGTAATTGCATTGAATTAAAATTGTGATTCAAATTATGTGATTAATTAATTGTGACTATTTATTTAATAAATGCTGCAGATTCTTTATAAATAAAATTACCTTAAAATCATCGTTGAACAGCCGACCCAATTTTGAGTTTATGACTACTAATGTTCATCTCCGTAACCTTGTAATTTTTAACCCTATCCAGGAGGCAAGGAAATTCCTGGATCAAGTATTAAGGGAAATTCACCTTCGGGGAGGACTTATTGATAGAACTAACCAGCATTTGCGTCATATGGAGAGGAAAATCACGAAAACCTCTCAGAATTAGCCTACCCATGATCCGTCAACCTCTGAAGATATTTTACGTCAGCATTGTGGTCGGATGCGGAATTCGTATAGACCAGCCGTTGCTGGGATTCGAACCTGGGTCAGCTCATAATAATAAATTTAAAAAAAAATTGTTTTGTTCCAAATACTTAAAGAGCTGTTTTTAATGTGTGAAAATTTTGCCCAAGTCTATAAGTATACTATATAAATATCATTATTTAAAAATTTTAACTATAAAAATACATACAATATTAATCTTTCACTTACCATTTTGGCAAATAATTTATTATAACTATCCACAAAATGAAACAAATATACTTTCCGATTGCGCGAAGAAGTCACTGAAATTTTTTTTCTTCTTTTTCAAATAAAATTTTCTTTTTTTTTCTTTCTAAAGATGGTTATGCGAAGCTAAAACAACAATCATTTCGTTGCACTGCATATTGGTAGGTAGCCAGATCGAGTAAATGGATTTGTAAAAAGATAAAAGATGGTTTTATTTACAGTTGGGAAAAGAGACAGGGAATTTTCGAGTGATAAGAGGGAAAATTCAAACAATACCTTACGGAAGAAACTAGAAAATGATAAGATAATGTTATTTTGAGATTATATTTAGTTTGTCTACTTTTGAGGGATATTGTTTTACGTAGATACAAACTATGTATTCAACGTCGTACGTTCATCCTGACGCTGCTTATCGCCTTACTGTAAAAGTCTATTACAACGACAATTCGCAATAGCGAACGAAATTGTTTTTAGAAAATACTCACATTGAATGTTAAAGTAACGATAAAAGTTAAAGAGACTTATTTACCTATTATAGTGAACAATTATTTTGATTTAAAATACATGTCTAGAGCAGACTGTTTTTGGCTAGAGATTTTAGACTGGACTAGGAGTTTTTTCAAGATGCAAGGAGAGGAGATGAACGTAACGCAATAGCCTTTAACAATAACGAAAGCTGTATTTATTAATTCCATTAGTTAGCAGTCAAGAAGGAAAATAAAGAGGCACATAAGATGTGAAGTTAATAAAAGGCGCACTCTGTAAGGAAGGAGATAAATTAGCCGGTGGTAGACCACACATGCTTGCTTTTTATACAGGGTGTCCCAGAATGCCGATACACACTTGGAGGGGAGGTAGAAATCATTGATAGGAGCCATAATTACAGAAGAAAGCATGGGCTGAAATCGATGCGTAGCTCGTGATGTGAGTTCCCAAGGTCGATACGTGGGGATTTTCATTGCAGGTGCTGACAGGTTACGCTCAACATGGACATCCATGGACAATATCGTCGGACATCCATCTCATCTACTGTCAAACCAAAGCAGATGCTCTGTTGTATTTGGAAAGATATCCAACGAGGCGCCAACCAACTCATGAAATGTTCGCTCTAGTGATTTAGAACCTTGTGAAACGTGCATCCTTCACAGCCATGATTACGGCGTGACGGGTGTATATATATATATATANGCATGCATCCTAAATAGCTGTATATATATATATATATATTGTTTGTATAATCCCATAAAAAATAATTTAACCGAAGAAAAAAAACCAATAATGATAAATCTCTAGTAATGGTGGTGGGATTGAAAACATCAAAACTTGTTTGTCTGCGGAGAAAACAGTCTGAAAGTCAATTATTGGAAACATTTCCAACTCGCGATTCCTATATCTACATTGGTGTAAGAAATTAAGAAAATTTGTAATTTTGGACCGGGATCTTTGACTCTAGAACTACTGGACCGATTTTTATGAAATCTGATATGTACATATATTGATACAATACAAAACAAATAACCATTTAACAATTATAATACACACTCATGATCGTACGTAACACTCGTTGGAGTCGGAATGTATAAAACAGCTGTTGTTGAANGATTTTATATTTTGAATTAAAACGTGATTTAGTACTAGATATATTTTTTATTGTTAGAGGGGGGAGGGCACCAAAATATTTTCAGTGCTTAGGGCCTCAAGAGGTCTTAATCCGGCCCTGTATGGTCCCCTCCTAAAGACATACAAGCCTTGCAGCGAGATGTCATACTTGAAATAAGACAGTTTATCATTTTCTGTGGCAGTTGGCCTGAATTGTCCTGCGGCAATTTCATACCTTCCGACTCCAACGAATGTTGTGCACGATCATACTTGCGTATTACAATTGTTGAATGCTTATTTATTTCGTATTGTATCAATGTATGTAAGCATCAAATTTCGTTAAAATCGACCCAGTAGTTCTAGAGATAATCGATCAAGTCTGCATATTCTCTTAATTTCTTACGAGAGTGTCCTTTTTTTTTTTTTTTTTTAATNAATGGTGGGCACTTGGAACTATTGCCCATTGGCCACAGAAAGTAACAGAACTGCTTACTCTCTTTTAGTTACCCAGTGGGCACCTGTGGCGAAGCAACGGCTGTGGAGCAGCGTTGCCCACGTCACACTACCACAACCCGTTAATAGGGCTGGTCACATTCACACACAAAGGAGAAAGGACATAGAACACAGAGAGCAAGAAACATCCATGCCTTGCCCGGGATTCGAACCCAGAACCTTTCGGATGCAGGAACAGTTCCCTGCCCCCTACACAGGCCGGTCGGCACGCCAGTGTACTACATGTCTACATAGGATTCTATAAATAAAGAAATATAGGTTTACGGTCAATGGTTGTTAATTTAACTGTTGAACTTTCGATTAATTCACTTTCTCAATTTTTACGTGACGTCAATATGCTTTTATTTTATAATNAAAAAAAAAAAAAAAAAAAAAAAAAAAAAAAAAAAAAAAAAAAAAAAAAAAAAAAAAGAAGATGGAAAGAATAACTCATCTTCATTCTTTTGAAAACCACTGATGAAAGATGAAAACCACTGATCTCACTGATTTTGATAAAAAAAAACCTGTTGAACTCTTCAGTTTGTTTTCGAACGGTATTGTCGGATCGGAACAGTGTTGAACGAGCTCCAAAAGCTCCGTGTCGAAGACCTGAAACATTAAGATAATCACAATCGCGTTATTTTTTTTTCCACCGTAAATTTAAGATTAATCAATGGAGAATCGTTAAAAGTCAATGTGAGGGAAACTAAGAATTAACAGCTTTAATACTTATCTTTAATATTCGATTTGGAACCGGCGAATGAGGAGTCAAGTAGCGACAACTCCACAAGGATCCGTTCATCTTTGTTTTCTGCTCAGTTAATTATTAATTAGTTTACGTATTTTTCAGTTTCCACTATTTTTTAATGTTTTAAGGGGTTTCCTTTTTTCAAATCCTTTTTTGTGATTATTTCAAATTAAACGCTCGATACAGTATCGATAAACGAAGGAACCGCGAGGGACCATGTTAATTGATCCCCAAAATCGGCTATGTCTATGATAAGAATTTTACGTACAATATTGGTCATATTATAGATTAAAATGAAAAAAATATCTTATTAAAGTTTTATATTATTTTAATTTTTGCCTTACACTCCGAAGTTTCCTGAGTTGTTTTAATGGCGTTTAACGTTATAAAATTTTTATTTTCCGAAAATTTTGATGCTATTCTTTCCTTTTTATCATAAGTAATAACTCCATTTAGACAGAAAGTAAAGGACGAAACAAAGATTCTTTCAAAAACCTTCAGTCTTTGTGTTCCATACTAAAGATTGGATTTGAAGATAATAAGAATGGATTTGAAGACTGGATAATTTGAATATACGAACTTCCGTATTGTTTTCATTAAGTTTTTTGGTTTTGACTTGCTTTGTTGCGTCATAAATGAATGTTTTGATTTAGGATATTTTGTTATTTAAGGCTTATATGATAAGATTTTTTTTCCCTCAGTATCATTGGTAATTTAAACTTGCAACACCAAAAAATTTCAGTAAAATATACAAACGGTATTTTTAGTCTTGTTTAACACTAAAAGATTCACGCGCTTGCAATCTCTGCGTGCAAGGTTGGATCTATTCATTGTTAGATGCAGGTGTATACATCTCTACGTTCAAAATGTTCCTCAATGAATGCCTTTAATATATATTTTTAGAAACTTTGTAAAAAATGAAGTCCAAAAACTATGCTTATTAAAAGCTCCTAACTAATGTTTAGGTGAGAAAAAGCAAAATTTTAAAATATTGATCAATCACTATTGAGTTCAATAAGTGTAAATAATAAATTAAAATCAGTTTATGTGAGGATGTGGCTTAATGGCGGTTCCTAGTGAAAGGTGAATGGATTCCAGTCCTTAGAAAAATAAGAAAAAGATTTTAATTAATATAACTAAAAACAGTTTTCTCCCTATCACTTAAATTTTAATTTATAACCTCTAATGATTCAGATCTCATTGGAGAAAAATACGTAGATTATTATGGGATAAAGAAAAAAAAAACGCAAAAAGCAAGTTTAATATTAAAGGATACAAAATTTCATCCACTGTTTTGATTTAACTATTAATGAAATTTATTTATTAAGTATTAGAGTGCGAACAGCTAAAAAAGTGGACACGAAATCGTTGTGTTCCTCAATAAAAGTTAGGGAAAATTTAGCAAAGAAAATCCGTAAAATGTTTCATTTTAGGGGATAAGGGAAAACTTAGTAATTGTAATTGGTTTATTAAATAGGTCGAGCGATTCCCACAGAGAGCAAAGGGAAAAATGTCTTACTTTTAATTAATGCATACTTGAACCAAAAACAGATTAAAGGACAGGATGTGAATTTTTGAATAATAAATTAAGAAAAGGATTTACAGAAAAGGAATAACATAAAAAGATTAATTGAAGCTTTTTATGTAATATATATATATAGGATTGTTTTTTTAGAAAGAATGTGAGACATAATATCTGGCCTAACTAAATTTTTTCATTTGCTGAACTAAAACTAAATTATGTACTTGAAAAATAATACAATTAAATTTCATTTTAAGTCATCCCCCCCCCCCAAGTTTTCTGGTCAGCGTGCGTGTATGAGAGCTTGAGCTTCAATTTCTTTCATGCATATTCATTTTATTTCAGTTAAGGACGTTGGTTGTTTTCATTGTCTGGGTGCTTTATACTCTTTTGAGTCAGAAAGTTTATCAAGTTTTGCTTGTGGTTTTTTTGTTTTTTTTTCTTTAGAAGTTTTTTGGGTTTTGCATGTAGCATAAGCATCCTAACAAAATTCAATCATTTCTTGAGTGGTGCAAACATCTGTAATCTTTCACAACTATGCCTTTGATCATCTTTCAGGTTTAGATTTCACAGATGGGATTTAAAATCTGTAAATTTTGCTTAATGACAATGCTGTGTAAGAAAATATGGGATTCATAAGACTATTTCGGAAATAAAGGACAAAAGAGGATGCCTTTTAAGATTTTAAAAAATATTTAGGAAATGTAGGATTTAACTGAGGACTGATTCCTTCTAAACCATTAGGATCACACATTTTCAGATCATTCTTTTACAAAATCAAAAATGGGATAAATTTGATATCGATATTAGCGTTAGACAAGGCGATACATTATCACCAATT